GGTTTCTTTACTTGAATGGGTTAGGGTAAGGGGTTAGCGGGTATCTAACGACACATAACTGTGTTTATGTATACCTCTACTAAGATCTGGACGGAACGGTCAATCAAATCAGACAGGGTATAACGCGCGATACACTTCCTCTAAACCATAACCATGTGATGTTGTATGTCAGTTAAAGTTGTGCAGAAATCAATGCTTGGGTTGTAAATACAGAGTACATATATTTAGAGTCAAAGCTCGAGGCCAGTTTATTATATTTGTGCAATCCTGATTTCAGGACCTTGCTGCTCGCAATGTTTTGGTTGGAGAGAACATGGCGTGTAAGGTGTCTGACTTCGGATTGTCCAGAGAGTTGGAGGATAACCCAGATTCAGAGTATCAAACGCAGGTAATTCACCAGTTAAATTTTTACGCAGACACCTAAGTGGATGTGATCATTCGAAAAATTGTTTCACAACCCTTTAACTGTAGCGTAAGTAGAGAGATGACGCACGATTTTGCCTTGTCACAGGGAGGAAAAATTCCAATTCGTTGGACAGCACCAGAAGCGATAAGATATCGAAAATTTAGCTCTTCTAGTGACGTATGGAGCTATGGAATAGTTTTGTGGGAGGCCATGTCGTTTGGCGAGAGGCCGTACTGGGACTGGAATAACTTTGAGGTAATGTAGTATTTTTGTACCAACTTAGATGTGTATGGTCAGGTACGTTTGCAAAAGGAATTCAAAGTTTTACGAAGTTTATTACTAAGCAGATTAGGTAATATATCTCTAAGAGAAAATAAGAGTGAAACTGGTTTGAAATTTTTTAAACAAGAAAAAGGTGAATCCGCCGCTAGCCACTAGACGACCAGTGAGTTACACCAAGAATTTCGCTTTGCTCTAGTAGGTCGGAAAAGGGATGGTAGTCGTCTGGGTTTTCTCAGTGTGTTAGTTTGTTGTTGTTTTTGTTGTTGTTGTTGTTTTCTTTTGTTTTTCTTTTTGTTTAAGACGTTCAGTCCCTTTGTTTAGCGCCTTACTTTGTGAAAAAATTTGTGTCGAAAACCTTTTTCAGCCCCCCCAAAAATAATAATCGCACAATACACTATAACCCCTTGCGGAGGCAGCCACATGCATAAAAAAAAGACAGTCCTAGTAAATGTTTTGCATGGAAATACATGGCATCCGAAACGAAAGGTCAACAATCAAACTGAGCTACTCGTGTTTTACTGTTTTAGGTTATGGACAGAGTAGAAGGAGGCTACAGGCTGCCAGCTCCTATGGTATGCACGATACTTATGTCATGTTCATTTGATTTACGTTTAGGAAAGGGGGAAGGGTTACAGAGGTTAAGTGTGTGTATGTACTATAAGATTTGATTATCAGAGCTATGAAAGATAACCTCTAATGCTTGATTGAAGAAGAAAAAGAAACACCCTGCTCGGGGTGATCGACTGTTTGTTTGCTCCTCACTTGCGTTTTATCTTTAATGACGTGTAAGATGATTTGTTCTTTTTTGTATAGAAATGTCCCAAAATTGTCCACGCAATCATGATGGACTGCTGGGACAAGGACAGGTTCAGACGACCAAACTTTGAAGAAATTGTGAAACGACTGGACGAGCTGATCCGCGCACCGGAAATGTTAAATGACAATCTTGTTTGCTATACAAGGTAACACTTAACACATGTACTTCACTAATTTAAACTTACCTGTGGAGGGAGGGGTGATAAAACCTGGCCTAGATGTCGTGGTAGGCTGTACCTATTTTATGGCTTTGATTACTCTAAGTCTATTTTTTAGAAGGAGGGTGGGGGGGGGGGGGTGGGGCGGGGGCGTACGGAGCTATTTAGTCACGTACGATCATAAGAAGGATTTTGTGTGGCTTTGTAAAAGTGCTCTAAAGCGAATATTTTGTGTTGTTTGCTGTAAGGTTTAGAATGATGGGTACTTGTCCGTTGTAAAAGATTGGCTTTTTCCATCAAATTTTCATGGCTACGTAAACTAACTTTCGCCAAAATTTATTTTAACTCCTAGTGCCGTGTCAGCAGACTTCACCGAACTTAGGACAATCCAAGAATGGCTGATCAGTATTCATATGGGACAGTATACTGCTAACTTCAAGACTGCGGGCTACAATGACTTAACACAAGTAACTCACCTTAAGGACGGCGAACTCAAAGACATTGGAGTGACCTTGATAGGTCATAGGAACAAAATTTATAAGAGTATTAAGTCTATGAGGAAGCATTTTGACAACTTACCGGAGCCGGTGTAGAATACTTCGTAAGGTCGAAAATCCCTTCCGAAGTGTCGAGAAGCTGGAACTGTAGACCTTACCGTGGATGTCGAAAGTGGATCACTCTGTATGTCGTGATGCAAGGCGCCACAGCAACCCACACTCTATGGGTCCACGATTCTCGAAGGGCGCGAGAGCTAGTCCATTATTTAAAAAGATCTAGTTGTAAACTGATTTTAAAGTATTTCGAATTTCTTGTGGTAACTAAGCACCTTATTTTATTCGACTTACTCAGGCAGTCCCCTCAATACTTGCGTAGAAGATTTTTCCCAGGGTAACTCGCGAGTATAGTATTGCAGGAAATCAGTGGATATTCCACTCTAAATTCCTATTTTCTCTTGATTTCATCTACATTTATCCGAGGACAATAGAAAATGGTTAATTGGAGATAGAGAAAGAAAAATGTTAAAAGTGCACGGTATTGAAGGTGTGACCTGAAACTTTGTCTCCAGCTGTTTAGACTGTTTTTGTTTCATAGTGGCAACAAGAAGGGCGTCTTTTAGCGAGCGCTTTTAAGCGTCTTGTTTTGGGTTTTTTTTTCTCTTTTTGGTTGATTAATCGATCATTCCGCCCTTGAAAGGGAAATTGAGATGTACTGCCATAATTCAGATCAATCTTCTGATCTGTCAGCTCGTTTTTTGTTGGTGTGTTAATTTTCATTTTCTTGAATGGCTGATTGACTCCTACGCGGCTGACTTTTATTGAGACCTTAAAATAGCATTTGTATTGTAAGGATTTTAAAAATGCTGATTACATGCTTGGCTAGGGAAATGGAGCAGCTTTGTAGAAAGCTCTAGAACAATGAACATTAGAGATATTTCGTTGTGTAGTTTTACTATCAGACATACTTTAATTTTATTTGTTATATTACTCGTTGTTTTTGACATCGTCAAGTAGCGTATAGGTTAAAGTATTCAAGGCCGTTTAGTTAAACGCAGTTTGGACGTTGTACAGCAAAGCTGTGTCCTATATCATCTTCAATTTAGCCCAACCCTTATCTGAGGGGAATGTTGAATTTTGTGAGCATCGTCAAGAAGCTTATAATTAACATTAAGTATTCAAGGCCGTTTAGCTAAACGCAGTTTGGACGTTGTACAGCAAAGCTGTGTCCTATATCATCTTCAATTTAGCCCAACCCTTATCAGAGGGGAATGTTGAATTTTGTGAGCAGCGTCAAGAAGCTTATAATTAACATCAACCCTATCGAAGAAAACTGAGGTTCATTGACTATTCCAAGTGGCGACCGAAGTAAGACCTCAGCATTAGAGTAAACGACCCTTTCTATTTAGTTTTACATAGAGATTACTTAAAATTCTAACCAGTGCACCTGAGAGATGATTAGTTTATTAGTTCAAGTAATGTTGTTTTACACGAGCGTATTATTAGTATCGTTTGCTTTGCCCTATATTTATACGAAACATGCATCCATAAGATGAAATGGCTATTTGAAATGTTTTGTTGTCGAAATTTCGGTGTCTAATATGTGAAGAGATTTTTAAAGAAAACTATATATTTTAGAGTTGTTCAAGTGTTGAAGTCCTAAGTTATTTTTTTTAGTGACAATTCCCACACTTGTGGAAATAAAAGAGTTCATTACACCTCGTTTTGCCTATTCTGATTGTTCAACAGACAGCGTACACGGATATTTTGCAAGTTAATCTCGTAATATTTTAAGAGTGGAGAGCAAAATACCAGTTCTTACTTAATGGAAAACCATTATGTAAGGTATTTATTTTCCTCTACCGGAAAGTATGTTATTTTGGCTTTTTTCTCCTTACAAATTCTGTTTTCTCAATGAAGTAGTCGAGCACAAAGGCCCCAGACTAATAAAAAATCATGTTGCTCAAGTTTTACCAATAATTGACGATGTGCGCTCTGTTGTTCACTTGTCAAACCGGGCCACTCAAGTTATCTACGGTCTCACATTTTGCGCGATCTCTTCTCCTTATTTAGTAAATAACAATAGTGGATTAATATTATCTTAAAATTTTATTTAGGTGCTCTAAGTTCAGACAGTCTGTTGCGAACATTGCTTGGCAGATGATTAGTCCTTCGCTTTCTCCTCCAGACCTGTTATCTACATTCCACTCTTTTAAGGGTGGAATGTAGATAACAGGTCTGGCCTTCAAAGCTTTTCAGTTTATTTTCTCCTTGTTTGTGGGATGCGAGCCTAGTTCAAAACAAGACTGAGAACATAACGTTTTAAAACATGCATTACTTTTTTTTTTTTCTACATTGGTCAGCACAATTTTGCATTTCCTTTTAACTTTTTCATATGTTTCTTCTTAAGTCTGTTATTTCAAATAAATTTTCCCTGTAGTACTCAAAAATAAATCAACTTTTGAAATACGACTGTCACAATGTGTTAATGGTGTTGTGCACACACTGAGTAGAGTAACCGGCGCTAAATATGAGTCGAACAAAACTCAATCAGCTTGTCACAAATGCTGTATCAAAATACTTAAGCACCGCTTAACACCACGCACTTCAATGTACTTTCAGAGAGGAAGTATATTATCTTGGCATGTATCATCAACCGCCTACCACTTTCAATTAATGATACAAGGGAGAACAAAAGCAGCAGTCGAACACAAATTCATGATGTCACGATATTTGAGCTGATATTAAACCTACACACGTGTATCATTTCACCTGACGCTCCTCCTCGCTTCCATTACGTTAACGCCTGAAACTCAAACAACTCAGAACAACGACCACATTTTGCTTCCTGAATGCAAACCAGTGCTTTAAAAACTGTCCAACCGCGCCTATAAAGGCGTTACGTGCAGCGCTCCTCAAATCCAAATAGGTATTCTTAAAATAGTGCTCTCTATCGAGGAGTTTCATAATAGATCTTATCTCTCACAGCTTGCATCGCCAAGTGAAAACCACACGACATATCGAAGAGCGAATAAACATCGGTCAGTGAGGTAAATTGTGTGGTTAGCGAAAACTAGCATTGGAGGAGATGAAAAGGCGATGAGCAGGAGAGATCCACAGTGGGATTGTCTCTAAACAGACTCAAGGTCATACTGGAGAGAAGAAAGCAAATCAATTTTCATCGTGTTTTAAGAGTTCTTCCTCGTCAGGTAAGTTTGACTACTGCGTCAAGTTAGGGAGGGCCAGTCGTTTCTTAAGGAAGATATCGCCTCTAGCAACCAGAATTGCCACGAATGTTTGAGTATTGTGCAACACTAAACATAGCTTGGATAGAATTTGCTAGTAGTAACAATTTGTTCATGTAGAGATTTCATAACGGTTACACTTTCAACAAAAATAGGAAATAAAGCAAAGAGAAACGAAAACGAAGATCAGAATCTTAATTCTGAAATAAAGGCTTTAAATTTAAGTCTTCTTTACACAACGAAACAAAGCACATTTCTCGCATGAGTGCATGGTTTTTGAAACATGATTAAAATTTTTTTCTTGCCATCCAGCGGGTTCTAAATCGCATGAGAGAAAAACAAATAATAGTGACAAGGAAACGCTAGCAGTGCTTTATAATATCATGTTTTTCCGTGGGTTGGGATTCACATTTAGTGAAGCGCCTAAACACAGCCGAAATCGTTTGAACCCGGGTTCGATAGACGTTTTTAATTTTTCTACTCTTTCTTTCTCTGAAAAGGGAAGTAGATTATACTTATTTCCTTCATTCTTGAGAAGAATTTGAATGAAAGGATGACGATTTGGATAGTCATACGTTTCACGCTTCTTAAACTTAAAAAAAAAACTAAAACCATGTGTTTTGTCTGATATGACACAATATCAAACGAAACTATGCACTATATGCATAACATTACTTCTAGCGAAATGATAATTGAAACGTTTTCCTGTTTTTAAAAGAACGGTTTTGAAAAATATCTTCTTTTAAGTGACCTCGTGTCGAGAATGTAATGTATCACCGTATTGATCCCTTTGTTAGGGAAGAAACTGATATGCCTACTTTAATTAAGTTGACGCCATAATAAGTAGTTTATTTTTGAGTATTCCGCCCATTTCGTCATTTCTCGTGTATTGTGCATTAAGTAAGGTGGCACTTTCACTATCCTCAAACAGCAGCAACTTATAAATTGGTCGTTTGATTGATTATAAGTCGTGTTTACTGGCAGCTTGATGTTGCTTCGTCATGTTGATGATTCTATATATAACCCGGCTTTTGGTCCCAAGATTACTTTAGATTTTACATCCTCATCTCTAGATCACAACTTTACATTTTTAATGTCTACATTCTTTGTGGTAGTCCTATCTGGCCAATTGTTGTTTTAAAAAAAGATGCAGATGACCAATATCAGCCAAATTCCGAATGATTTCATCAATAATAAGGTCTATAAAATAGTATTATTCAGATGAAATGGCCGTAATGATTTGGCAAAGAAACTGTGTTAGAAGGGGAGAGAACGAGCGAGAAGGTATTTTAAACAGCTAGACTACTCGAAAAGCATGACTGAAGCACCAAGCGAATTTAAAAGACGTCTTTGGCTTCTATGTTTTGTTTTTCCAATGCAGGTCTCAAGGGAATTTCCCCCTTTGCGTTTGTAAATTATGCACCCATATGCACGTTAGGACTAGATTTGAAAGAAAGACTTCTACTTTGCGAAAGCCAAACGTACGAGCTTAAGAAGTTCAAGACATCTCTGTGAGTGCTGATTTTCAGCTGTAATTCGAAATAAGGTTAACAACATTAAATTGATTTTTGTCTTTCTCTTTAGATGTGCATGGATCACTTTCTTGTGCTGATTGGACTGTTCATCATTATTCCATGTTACATCAATGGACAAACAGATTCAATTCCAACAGCCATTGCAGCTACTACAGCACCGTACACGGGATGTAAAACGTCTGAAACACACTCTCCTCCCTCGGTTTACTGTAACGCATATTGTGGCGATGATATACCGACCGTGATCGAACAAGTTTGCGACAGTCGTAAAAAGCGATCAAAGACAGGTATCACGTTCTGTCCTATTCATCAGCAAAATTGAGACGCAGTCTCTGTGGAAGCGGTGCGTTTCGAGTCGAAAATCGATTTCTTTCAAACTTTGTCCAGGAATCTATCTTAGTCTTAAAATTTATCGAAACCACCTTGGTCTTTTCAAATATAGAAAAATAATTTTTTTCTGAGCGAAAATCGCTTCAGCTCAAAGCTCAAACGCCCGTTTTTAATAACACTGATTATCAAAATGGTACAAATTGCCGATTCGTTTTTTCAGAAAATTCTAGTTTGAGGGTTTTGTTTTGTTTCACATATTTTGATCAACTCTTCATAAGAACAAAGCACGTAAGTTTTGTTATTTTAACAGTTTTTTCACTGAATTTTTTTTTTGTTTGACACCTACTTTTACGCTACCGCAATGACCTGAAAAATGCAACTTTTTTATCTCGGGTCAGCACAAAATTCGAACTTCTTTCCCACGATATTTTTATTCAGACTGGCTGAGATAGGATAGAAGAGCATGGGAATGTAAAAACTTGTTGTGGTTTCGGTGAAAATTTTGAATAGCCGGCCAACAAACTGCACGCATTTTCGAAAATTCGAACTAACGATGCACATGGAGCGGTCTCAAAAATAAACGAAATTTATATGGCCAGCTTATGACTGACGCGTGATTTGAGTCCATAAAAGCTTTTTTTTGACTTGCAATAAGACAAAACATCATTAAGTTGAGAAAAATCTTCACTCACTTCATGTAGAAAAACAGAGCTGCCGAAAGCTGACTCTTAGCTCTAGGCGACCTATTGTTTTGTCTATCAGTCAATTATAAGAAAGAGGAAAACTTCAGAGGCCAGGATAGCTATGACAAGATTCAGGTATATTCAGAATATTTCATGTTGTTCATTTAGAAACTCTTCATCTTAACAGCACTGAAAGTGCAGCCCTTTTTATTCGAAAATGTAACCTTAAATCTAATAAAATTTCGTAACGAGAACTTTTTTTTATTGAAAGGTCCCCTCTTTTGTGTCTATAAACTATAAGTTAGCATAAAATCGTCGGAAATAAGATATTTTTCGAAAAAAAACAAAACAAAACAAACGAATAAACGGGATGAATTATTGATTTGGTAAAAAAAAGGGAGGAGCATCCTGCACACGTAGCTTGCAATGCTCGCAACACCGATGGCACACGAATGTTTAATCGAATGGAATGGCTTTCAAAGCTTCAAATCCTGCGATTTTTACGCCACTCTCTAGAGTATGCCTCGCTAACAGATGAACAAATGCTTCAAGAAAGCCAGTGTAACAGTCTGAAATTGGTGTCAAGCATACAGTCATGTATGATGTCTACAACCTTTGTGAAATGGCATTTTAAAGCAAACTTTCATTTCTAAAGGATAAGATGCTCAAGGAAATGTGGAAGCATTTTGAAGTCCCATCTAACTCAAGAGACACCAAATCGAGTTTGGTTAAGAAACTATCATAAATGGTCGAAGATTGCTTATTCATGAAAGAGTAAAATTACGGAATGCAAGTTTCAAACAATCACTTCGGTAAATTGAAATTCCTGAAGTCCGCGGAAGCCACGGCATGTTTTTATATTTCCATGCTCTTCTACCCTATTTTAGCCAGTCTGAATAAAAATATCGTGGGGATGAAGTTCGAATTTTTTCACTGAGCCGAGATAAAAAGGTGCATATTTTATGTCATGGCGGTAGCGTCAAAGTAGGTGTCAAACCAAAACTAAATTTTAGTGAAAAAAAAAAACCGTGCCTGTTCTTACTACATGTTATCCACAAAGTCAAATTTTTTCTTAATCTTTTTATTTTCTGGAATTGTAATTCGATTCGGAAAATGAGCTCACTTGATAAACTTGTTTCTAAATGTTTGCTTTCCTTGTAGGTCTAACGTTGAGTGACATCAGCTTTAAAAAGGATGAGGCGTCAAAGTTTCTGTATTTACCTCGCAACCGGATCCACACTAAGAGATCACAAACTGACATTGTCGTCGAATGTTGTGACGAGAAATGTGTTGTAGAGGAGATAAATGAATACTGTTAATACATGTAGCAAACAGCTGGGGCGCTAATAAAGGTTAAAAAAATACGCAATTACGCACTACGGACTCACGCGGTTTTATTGTCTTTAAAAAATCTACTCGTGCTTATTAACACCAAACTGCACTCGAAATCATGTTTTTACCTATACAAAATGGATGTTGTGAAGTGGTAAATGAACTTTTCGTCCGGCAATTTTGGTGTGAAGTCATACTTGTGATTTTGAAATCACGCATTTGATTTCAGACCTAATAATACATATGCAAAAATTTAAGCATGTTGATTTGTTTAGGGTAACCCAGAAAGTTGGAATTAAATTGATTGACAGATAAGTTGCGAAAAGACAACTAAACAAAGTGGCGGACAGGTGAGGAGAAAGTAACAAGTTTTTAATTCAGAGTTTGAGGGAGAATGCTAAAAACAAACATACAAAAAAAACTAACAGGGGGAAAACAAGTGGCTAAAAGTCTGGCTTCCAAAAACGGATATGTAATTATGAACCATAAGCCCCGAATAAAATTGTCGAGGAGTTTTACACAACAGTTCTTATGAAAGACGGGGAAGATTACAAGCGTGATTGCTTTCGTGTAATGAGTTACTGCTGTCAGCTGACACCTAACAGAGAAAGAGTACAAACGCTCAATTATTGTTGAGAGATGTTTTAAAAGTTTTAAGGAACATCTAGAGGGAAAAGCTGGACGACTCCAGTGACGAGGCAAAGGCAAGCGGCCGAACTGGTAAGCCATGACACGAAATAAAAACAGCTAAAAAGGAAAACAGAGTCACATTTTTGCTTTTATATCATTAACTAGAAATCACACGATTTTTCCGGTGCAATTTGGGATAAAACAGCACGAGTAAATTTTTCAAAGACTACAAATTTCATGAGTCTCACGGGCTCATGCAATTTGGTGAGCCTTTGAAAAATTAACTCGTGCTGATTTATCCCAAAATGCGCTCGAAATCATGTGATTACCTATACAAATTGCACTCAGTTCAATTGCAGTTATAAACTTTGATATGACAAGAGACAGTGCCCCGTTAATAAATAGTATCGTACCACACATACACATTAACACAGCTCTGACCGCTGTTGTTGATCTCACTGCAATCACTTAAATCTTGGCCATACCAAATTTGGAACCCTTGGTTCATTTTAACTGGTAGAGTCTTTGAGCTCGTGTTGAATATTATTTCTGTGGAGACGTCATCAAAGCCTTGAAGGTGGTAAATGTATTCAGTAGCGCACGTATGGTCGGGCTCGCCCATGTCTGCTGTTTCTCTCGTTGGTAAGAAAACAGTGCGGTTGATGTAAGTGACCAGAGTCATGAGAGTCTTCTTCCCGTAACTGGACACTTCACAACCCCAGAACGATCTGGTGCTCGAACTGTGGCAGGTCAAGGCACCCGAAATGTGAACAAGCTTCAAGGCAGAAATGGATCCAGCCTTTGCAATGGTAAATGATCCATGATCGTCATTACGTGTTCCAAAACAAAGAGGATTGGTATTTACCTTGAGCCAGCTCCCTATTTTAAAACCTTAAAAACAAGCAGATTTCGGAAATGTAGGCAGGATTAGCAAAAGGGGACGGGGAGTTAAAGTTTAGGGAGGGGTTGTCGGAGTAGTATTCACTTCATTGATCAGGGACTCGCGAGTAAATTTTTTATGTCGTAAGAATTAGATAGAACCAGATATAAGTAGTGAAGGAAGCTTATTCATATGGTGAATGTATGAACAATTATTTCATCCAAAATGAAATAAAGTAGAATTGAAAAACCGAGAAACTGCGAACAGTATGAGGGGTAAAGATCTAAAAAATACCAAGGAAGGTGCTTCCACTGTACATCTTTCCCCCCCCCCCCCCCTCTCTTCATTTTGTATGGTTCTGGGCTGAGAAGGTGGAACATTCAATTTTAGGTCAGCGATCTCACATAAAACAAATATATAGAGTAAAGTCTATAGATATCATATTGTGCCAAGTACCATTCTCTTCATGCTTATTATTTAACTGCAGTTAAACCTTCCTTACCGTTCTCACAGTTATCACCCACAAATCCTTTCTGGCACAAGCAGCGGTATCCCTTGTCCGTAAATCCATTCTGACATTTACCATTACCAGAACACTTGGAATTGGAACAAAAGTTCTAAGAGTTAAAAAGGGAGAAGTGTTCGGTCACTTCGGATATTCAAACCCCAGTTTTAACGATCATTGATAATTTGAACGATATTTCAATACAAATCTATGCAAAACGATCTATACAGAAGCTCTAAGGTTTAAAAAGGAGAAGCCTTTGGTCGCTTTCTGATGTTGAAGTTCAAACGCCAGTTTTTACATGTCATAAATAATATTATCGGTACCACTGATTTAAGGATGAAATTTTTTAAAATTCAGAGGGCCTTACTTTAGTTACACCATATATGAACCCATCTCTTGGCACCAGATCTCCGGGAAATTGTTGGTCGTCAGAGTCACTTAGTTCACAAACGTACTTGCCATCAGTGTTCTTGGGGCCAAGGTTATAAGAAACACAATCGTCCTCTAGGTAGCAGCTCAGTTGACAGTTGTTTTGAACCTCTAATGACAAATTCTTTATCAAGTGACCTGTGAGGGCCACTCCTTCAAACAGATCGGTGAATTCAAGTGCTCTGCAAGCCTCTGAAAGAAAGTCTGTTAACATGAGGCACATAATAATTATTGTGGGAGAAATTAACATCGGGCTGAATTTGCCGTGAGAGTAACAAGCAACTATAAACCATGGTATGTCAAAACTTCTTAAATTATTAGCTCAGTTTTGAGAATAATGAACAATTTGAGTCATTTTACATGTCGAAATTAGCTCCTAGAGTAAAAGTAAAATCTCAGCCACACTCCGCATTATGTTGTCTCGGTTTGTGGATCACAGAATTCGTACAATGAAACGCTTCTTCCTCCAGGTGAGACTCTTGTGTCTTGCTATTTATACCACCCCTCCTTTGTTGGATGTATACCAAATAAGATATTACTGGAGTTACTCATTTGAGAATATTTGACGACCTACGGTAAAGTTCTTATATGGTCAAGTGAGCGAAAACAAACGGAAAGGGCTTAAAGGATTCTCCATCTCGTTTTTCAATTTCGGTTGCTTGTAGTGTAGAGAGGCGAACTTACTTCAAAATTGTTTTTCTCTTCAATTTAGGTATTTCCCTTGGATTTACTCTCCATAAATGGGAGCAGCTAATAATGGCGAGCAAAGTTGATTTTTTCTTGTCTTTACTTTTTGCATCTACTTTAGTCCAGTTAAGGAAGAGCTACATTATACACGATTGTGTAAACTGCGGTGTTAGTTTTCAAATTAGTAAGAGGACTTGCATTGGCAAGTTAGATTGTTTTGGTTTAAGGATAAAATGTGTGGACTAACGAGTGCCAAATCTTCGATAAAATACACTGACTAGATAGGCAGTTACCGAATTAAAAAAATGCAAGACTCTAATTCACTTTCTATTCCGCAGCGGTATCGCCCTGATATGTTGACAGTGGTGGAAGAGTAATGGAAAGGGCTGGTCATTTAATCTGTTAGATGTTTTCACTTTACGTAAACCTTCACCTCAGTGCAACGGTTCGATTCACTTACCTACGGTTCGCACCGTGGTATTTATCCTGTACATAAGGACCGAAAATATCAGTAGTTTAAGCGTCACTCGCAAGTATCTCCCAGGTAGTCTCATTGGTTAGACGTTCTTTTTTTCAGAAGCACGCAGATTTCAACAAAGCGGGACGAAATCTCAAATCGTTGTTTACATATCCTAGCAACGTCGATGATGCTGTAAGAAGTGTAAATGAACGCTAATTAACTCACATTTTCTGCCCTCACCTGGTGATTAAAGTTATCCGATGGAAAGAACTAATTTTTAATTTGTTATCCCCACAATCTCTTGATATTTCCAAAAACAAAATGAAAGTGAAATGAAGGAACTTTCAGAAGGAACTTGGAAACTTATTCTTGTCAGGTCCTGTCAATCTTATCAAAAACATCCTCTCGTTTTCTACTCTTCTAGGAGGATTGCTCGACAGTTTTAAATAGTGGTATTCCCAAACCATTCTATAGTGCATTCACGCTGATTAGGGGATGCAGTTCAGACGTCGACAAGATGAAAGCTGAAAATGTCTTCCTCTTCTGAATACTGAAAATATTCAAATAAGTCTACTCAAAGGTGTTCTTTAAAGTAATTCAAAAAAGCTTTTTGCCACAAGTCGTCGATAATCAATTTTTAATTTGGTCAAAGACAAATATGACAAGAATACTTCGTTAGGTTTACGTGCGCGGTTTTCACCTTAAAGTGCTATGAAAGTAGAAGTCATTTGCGCCAGAATCTTTATCGTTCGGGTATATTATTCTGCATATTCTAATAAAGGAGACAAATCAAGAAAAAAAATCTGTCAGTTTAAAGAAGGTCAGTACCGGGTCAGTAGAGAAACTAGAGACATATGAGCTTGTTTCTTTCTTGAACTGCTGGTGGAATGGCCTCTTCGTACAAACTGATCGATCTCGAGAACCTTCAAACTTCTTCAATGTACCTTAACCCCAAATAACTTTTGTCTCAGAGTTTTAATTGAAGTTTAATTCAGTGCCTCGTGCATAATACACATTGCGCTGCTAGCTGGCGTGATGGACGCAAAGGAACAATCTGTATTTAGAGCTGGTGGCAATATTTAGGTTTTAGGACATTTGTATTCATGAACGCTGACCACACCTCTTTTAAATATGCAACGTTAATCAAGACTCCAGCTGATATAACGATATTTAAAGACAACAAATGGATAAACTTTCTCCTATCAACACCTTGGTAGAATAGATAACTAATATCATGTCTTATAATGGCCATTTTGGCAAATGTACAGTTTTATAGATCGAAATTTTCAAGCGAGTGTCAAAATAATCCTTGACTGTTTTGTTTTTGCTTTTTCTCGCCACTCTCTTGACCAATCGTATACAAAACTAACACCGTTCACGACTCGGTCGCTCGTGTACGATCTCCCGCAATTAAGGCAGTTTGGTTGTCTTAGTTTGAGTTCTCATTGGCTTTTAAAGGCTGGTTTTCCTTCATTCTGCGCTCTATTTAGAAAAGAATACTAATTACTTAGTCAGAAAAAGTGTTCCAGCAACTGTTTTTGTTGAAGTGGGTCCACCTGGCTGGAACACAACAACTGAGAAATAAGAGAATCACAAGGTTTTAGGAATTGAATAGCTAACTCAAGATCCAGACTAAGTTTATCTGATCCGTATGGAGTTGACAGAGCTTATTTGCATCCGTATTTTATGTCTTCACTTTGTGCTTTGTAGATTTTGTTGCGATGAAAAAAAGCGAAGGAATGAAATGAACATTTCTCCTTTCTTTTCAGGACCCTTACGACGACTTTTTTGTTTAAATTATTTATTATCAGCTTATTTCTCTGCTGTAGTTCCAGTTTTGTTATCATTATCCTCTCTTCATCTCAACGCACAAGTGCAATAGCCATTCCCTATGTTCAGTACATGCGGTATTTATCCTAGTTTCTAATTAGTCAGAGGTAATCAAATGTTTATTCGAGAGATGCATGTGAATTAGTTGGACATCAAGGTGATGATATTTGTGTAAATTGTTCTTCTTAAATTGTGATATTTGTGAGCCGTTCATTTTATCATGATTAGCCATTCATGACGAATCTCACTATATCATTGCATTAGCTGTAATTTATTCTTTCCATTTTTGCTTTTATAAGAATATATTTGTATTTTTTTAAATATAACTTATATTGTATATTGTATGTGTAAATTGTAATTTGTGTTGTGGGCTCCTTTTGTATTTTATGTTTCCATACATATTTGTTATACTCAATTGTTTTAAGCAAGCCCCCATTCAAACCAGCTTGCAGCTGAACTTATAAACAAATGAAGGAAGAGGAAGTTACATATTGCCCTACAACGTGCTGTATGCGGCCTACCGAGGTGACTATACAGGTTATGAATTTTTCATCCAAATAATTGATATGCAAAAATTATGAGGAAATTATATGTCACTCGGCATTAGATCCGTTAAAGGCCTTAACTATAACTTTTATCGCCTCCGACTCGTTTTTATAAAGGAGCAAAAGCCCCTGTATTATTTTAGACTAATGACAACATATATTGCAATCAAATAACTTGTAAAACCAATTCTTCCCGTTGGTTTGTTGGGTTTGTCCTAAAATGCCTACCAGTACAAACTACTCCACGTTTAGCTGAAGATACCAACTTCTTAAACTCCCGTCTAAATCTAGCATTCATTACACCATAAATTATAGGATTTACTGCACAGGATAAATACACAAGCGTGAAACAAATCCACGGATATTCAGGAGGAAGAGTGTCCATAACTTTTGCGAGGATCATTCCAATAACTTGGGTTGGAACCCAACAAAGAACAAAGCCAAGCATGACAAAGAAGAGCAGCTTGGTGGTGTTCAGTTCTTCACAATTTGGCCTTACGTCTCCTCGTTGTAATGAACATGTGACTGTCAGGGAGTGTCGGCGGACCGCTCTGTAAACCAAGAAATAGCACAGAAACATCAGGATAGACGGCAGAAGAAAACCAATTACAGCAACTACAAGAGGGACAAAACGAGGGAAACAAGTTCCTGCGTTTGGAATGTAGATGATTTCTCCTCCGCTGGCCCACACGTACAACTCACCAAAACACAGTCCCACCACCCATAACACAGATATCATGACAAATGTAGACCGCTTGGTAAATATTGATGGATATTTTCTTGGACGTACAATACGAAAATATCGATTTGCTGCCGTCAGCGTCATGGTTTGTAAAGAAATAAAGGCCAGTGAGACTCCGAGGATGCCTTGGAATTTACACATTGTGTCACCCCATGACCAGTTAACAGTTATCAAAGCAGTGATCGTTAACGGCATGCACAATGTGGCCATGAAGATATCTGATATGGCCAGGTTTACAATGTACGCGTTTGTCAGAGTTCGAAGTCGCTGACTTCGATACACAACTGCTAACACCATGGAATTACCGATTACTGAGGTTAACGATATGATAAGAACGAGAAATGATTTAAATATCATGGCGGAAAGGGTCTTGGCGTCCATTGTAGGTCGGTCACCGAATAGCAGATCAAACGCATCTGAACTCGACTCAAATGTAATCGCTTTTTTCAATTTTCATGTTGGCTTTGTCAACTTGGGCCGCTGTTCATTGATGAATTAACCAGGAAATAGTATGATTGCTGCTAATTAAAATCCAAGGCACCTGTTTTTCCAACCGCGTAGCTTTCAAATTTTTCTTCACTGGATTAGACATTCCTGCTTTCTTTTTCTGCTAAGAAAATCTTAGGGAGGTCATTCATCTGAGGAAGGATCCTTTTCTCCGTTGTCTTTATCCATTGGTTTGTTTTTTTCGTTGTTGTTGCAAAGACTATTCAGTAAACCATAGAAATTATAAGCAGCTAAATAAACATTTAGTATTGAAGTGTCACTTTTGGTAAATATAGTCACTGGTCGTACAGAGTTAACATGAAATAATTTACAGTCGGAATGGTAAAGACAAAGGGAGACGAGTAAATTTCTGTTGAATTCATCACTTAAATAACCCCCACCCCCCCAAATGAATCATGGTTCTTTTTTTTTTTTTAATAAAAAATCACGAGGTTACTCGCATTATTTTTGTAAATAGATGGAGAAACATTCGGGGATTGAAGTGAGACCCGGAAGAAACCGCAAATGGAAAATAAACAAAGAGAATTTCATTAGGAAGCCGGCGGCTCGCTCAAAGAAAATACATCTCCGTAGAATTATTTGGCCAGCAGTTGTTCTGCTTCGGACGTGTTCGAGCTTTTTAATTTAAGACTGACGTAGTCAGGATTTTCCCCATTATAAGAAGTCCTTCTTCCCGAGTTACATCATTTACTTCGGCCAAAAGAAAATACTGAGACATAATTTGCTCTCGGCAACGTGGCTTAATTTCTTTGCTGACCAAACTTTGGCGTCTTTGCAAATAGATAAATTAAGAACGGGCATTTTCAAGTAAAGCCTAGTAAATCTAAAAATTGTTGTGCTCAAAGTTTCGCACATTAGCTCGCCTTGTATCTCAGAGTTAAGTTATTTCTTGTTTCGAATTTTGTTTCCTTGAATTGAGCAAAGCTTCGTCGGCTCACCACAGTGAGAAGTTTTGATGTCAAGCAGCTGACCTGTGTTCGTTAACAGTTTGATGAAGGACTTCTGTTGATACTAGCCGCGTATTTTTCTAGAAATTCGGTTAATGAAATGATTTATTGACAACCGAAGCAGCACATGTAGGTTGGGGTAACGAGTGGCGACTGGGTTATGAGGCTCATGTGAGAGGAATCTGGACACTACTCTTTCTGTCCAACATCCAACATGGTGTACATGTGATAAATAACACTTCCCGGACACTAAACAAGGATTGCATGAATGGCCTTACTTGTTCCTTTGTGATCCATTCAAAATGATGCAGCAGCGTTTAAACGGGTTGAAAAGCCGCAGTGATGAATCAAGGCTTCAAGCGGCCAAAGATCTGCAGCATTATGTGTCTACAGAACTCCGCGAAGCTTCTGCCGAGCAGTACACGAGTTTTATGGACGAACTTAATCATCACATTTTCGAAATGGTGTCGAGTTCTGATGCGAATGAAAAGAAAGGAGGAATTATGGCAATTGGTGAGTGATGTTATGATAAACTTTGTTCTTTTATGGCTCCATTGCTCATGTATTTGCGGAAAAGTTTTCAAATGCCTTCCAAGACTTGTTACGTACATGTAAATAAACAAAGATCATTCGGTTCGTGATCAGTTGATGATCTTAGACTCAGACTCCACTGGACAATTACTTCCTTTCTTTGCTTTCTACACGACTGAACCATCGATGAAACTTAAATGAACATGACTTTCTACAGTTCATATATACAAAAACGTCACGTGTTTGAAGTTATTTTCATTCTGTTATAGTGGCTCTTATTGGCATCGACAATGGGAATACCACAAAAATGAGCAGGTTTGCCAATTACTTGAGAAACCTGTTACCGTCAAATGATCAAGTTGTGATGCAGATGGCTTCCAAGGCTATGGGAAGATTAGCTCTTACAGGAGGGACGTTTACTGCTGACTATGTGGAGTTCGAGGTGAAGAGAGCGTTAGAGTGGCTTGGAGGTGACAGAAATGAAGGTCGTCGACATGCTGCTGTAAGTACATACACCATTATCCAAGCTTTTTCAGCAAGAGGCTATATTCTACACAAGTGGAGTTTGCGTCTGCTAACTATAACTCTAATATTAATTTTTATGATGTTTTCTCGTATTGTCTCTTTTAGTGATATTTTGTGGTTCAGAAGGGGGTAATTTTCTAAATTTTATTGCTGTGAAGGATTCTGCTTCTCAGTTGAAAACTTTTATCATCATTCTGTTACAGGTGTTGGTCTTGAAGGAACTGGCACTGAATGCTCCAACATTCTTCTTTCAACAAATTCAGCCTTTTTTTGAGAATATTTCAAATGCTGTACGAGACCCAAAGGTAAATTTGGTTCAAGACATTAAGAATCTTGATAAACATGATTTGCCATAATTATTGCAATAGTTACAAATTAGAATTGAGGTTCTGTATGTAGCAAAGAAAGTGTTCACAGGTTGATTTTCATCTCATGTAATGTTTATAGCAAGCAATCCGTGAGGGTGCAGTGGAAGCCTTGCAAGCCTGTCTTGTTATTTTGGCTCAGAGAGAAACAAAGGAAATTCAGCAACGCCCCATCTGGTACACTGTAAGTCTTATGTGGAAAATCTTTTTTTAATATGTGTACATGTACAAAGTGATGAGCACTTTCACTGCAAAACAAATTTCATGGCACATTACTGGTAAGTGGAGTGCTTAATGTCTGTTGATAATCTTATGCAGTGACAGCATTCTTCCTTATTTTAAGCAAGACAGGTAAATTTTCAAAACAGTAAAGCAATACTTTTAAACAATACTGTTGAATGATTTGAAGAGATATAGTTGGTAGTAAGAGGTACTGGACTATAATAGGCCAGTGGTCTCTATTATGACTACACATTTATATATTGGGACTACTTGACTAAGATCTTGCACTACACTGTACAAGCTCCTTTTTTGAAAAGCTCTTATTATTTTACTTTTTTAGCAAATCTATTCTGAGGCAAAGAGAGGGTTTGAGGACACTCTTAACACCAAAGAAAAGGGTGTTGTTCTCACAAAAGATGACAAAGCTCATGGATCTCTGCTTATAATGAATGAACTGATAAGAAGTGCAAGCATTGAAGGAGAGGTTGGCATGACATCTGTAAATTGTAATAATGGTGTGAATCCTGTATGAGATAATCATCAAACCAACACTCAAATCCTATGATATTGCCAGCCAGTTCTTTTAGATTTTGTATAATCTTTTCAGTTCAAGGTGATGTATGTAACCCCTTTGACCCCTAAGAGCAACTAGAATCTAATTTCTCCCCACAAAGTCACCCCTGAATCATACATTGAAGTCTTGATCACCAACTAAAAAAATTCTAGATTGTAATTTAACAAATGTAAAGGGTAAAGTCATTGATAAAAAACCAAAAAGAAGGATAAAAAGAACGAAATAAAACAAACAAACTAAATGTCTTAATGTGAACAAATTGTGCATGCAATTCATAAATACCTATGTCATGTCTCTTTAAACCCAGGAAAGCAACTGTGTTCCATTTTTTTTTTATTTGTATAAACCCTTTACCTCCCATAAAAGAGAATTTCCCCTTACAATATCAATACTATATGAAGTATAGCAGTCATGAGAATGAAGAAAAATATAAATTTGGGGATTACTAGTTAATTCAATACCAAATTCTTTGAACTAATATCATAAGAATTGTATAGCAGACCATAAGGAGAATTACTTTTGAGATCTGGGAGTAAAAGGGTTAAGGGATTTGAGTCAAGTTTTATTTTACCATTACAGAGAGCCAAACAGGAATTAGAAGAAATCTACTGTGATCAAACCCAAACTCAATTTAGTCTGGATGATCTAGGCATTAATTCTCCCAAGAGTAAGTTTGCTCTGCAGACTGGGTACCAACATCAGAGATCATTGGCTTTACTTGGAGGGGGAGGGATGGCGGAAACTATCTGTCATAGTAAAGTTTGTAAAGATTTCATGGATGACCACTTTGAAGAGGTGAATATGTTGTTGCTTTTATATTTCTTGAAGTGTGAAGTATACTGGGTTTTTGTGCATGTGCAGTACTGTAACAGTGTGTCAGTCTGTACACAAGTTGACAAAGTGCTGACTAAGGGATGACCATGGTCAGACTTGCTCTCTTTCTTGTGAGAGTAGCAGTGCTTGTGGTCAGTTGTGGGTGGAGAAGCTAGCATTACCAAGCAGAATGTGAGATTGTGGGACAGTTTGGAACTCAACCATTTATAGACACTGTTAAGTAGAATGCATAGTTAGGGAGAAGAGGAGAATCATTCTCAGGAAAACTGGGCAGAAAACTTTTGTCAACAGATTGCTTTGGGTCAATACGACATTTGAGAGAGCGCTAAATGAGCTGTAATTTGAGAGAGCTGTAAATGAATTCAAATTGAGCATGCTCATAATTTTTTGTTACAAGTTATGTTCATGTAATTGTGTTCTGTGAACTTTGCTAAACTGTGTGGAGCTAAAAAGAGTATTTATAGATCTATATATTACATTGGATATTTGAATACAATTTGTTTGTACTCCTCCTTACCCATTTTTCTTCTTAATTCTTTGTATGCATGTTCTTTAGGTGTGCAAACTGGTTCTAAGATACAAAACAACACGGAACAGCTCCATCCAACAGATGCTATTGACCATTCTGCCCAGACTTGCTGCATTTCAACCAAAACGATTTGTTAAAAGGTAAGTTAAGCATTTGTTTGAATTGGATATTTGCTAACCTGTATGATCCTATCTGGAAAAGTTGTGAGTTCCTTCTTGATTGATGAACACAGAGAGTCAGCAAATTGTTACTGACAGTATTAAATGATATCTGTAATTTTTGTCAATGAAAGTGAATTCTGTGCTGAAAAGAGCATGAACAAAGACTTGTGAGTATTTTGGACAGGATTTATAGATACTAATTATTAATTTTCTTTCTTCTATTTTACATAAATTTCATGTTTACTTTATGCTTAATGTACACATGGCTTTGGGTGTGATATTGATTGTAAATTGATGATTTTTAGATACCTCAGAGAGACTATGGACTACTTAAGTGTTGCTCTTAGAAGAGTAAGTAAAACATAACAAAATTATCATGTGTTGTACATGTGCATGACTGTACTTTTTGAAAATTACAGGTTGGAGTGCACAACTTTAACTTCAAGTTGATATGTCATGTTTATGTTAATTGCAGAGTTTTTGATAAGAAATGGTTTAGCAGGAGATTTAGTATAAGTAGTAATAAAACATTCTCCCTGATTGGGAAAAGTTAAGGCTATTGAAATTTTCTCAGAGGATTCTGCCTTGTTAAGTGGGGAATTCTGACTAATGAATAGAGAATTCTACTTGTACTTGAAAGTAGAGAATTTTGCCTAGTAGGGGAGAGTTCTGCCAGATAAACATATAATTCTCTTCTCTCTCAATGAAGGGCCTGTTCATGAAAACAAATTTTTCCTAGTTACGGTGTATTTTGGGAATTAATGAATAAACAACATGCTTAAATGTACTTCATATTTTTTTATCTGTAAATATGAAATACTTTCTTACTGTAGCACAAAATATGTGTACTGAAAAGATTGTCAATGGTAGATTTTTCATTTTAAAGGAAAGAGAGCGGTCTTCAGCTTTCAAAGCAATTGGATTGATAGCCATTGCTGTACGACAAGATGTTGAGAAGCACAGGGGACCTGTGTTTGAGCAAGTCAAAGTTCTTCTTCCAATGAAGGATCTTGGGCATAAGTGAGTGAAGAGATTCTAGTTCAGTAAATTCTACTTGTCTCTACTCTTTTCAGTTACAAAGTTTTGTACATATACACATCATCCCTAAGTAAGAAGGATCTAAATGCAAATGTGTACCTGGAAATTGCAAGGGGCCTGAGGAATGGTTGTCATGGTATTTGCTATGGCCACAGGGCATATTGCTCATTGGAGCTGGTTCATTTACATTTTTTATTTTTTTCATTGTTGCATCATCTTTCAGTTTTACTGCATATCACACATTCATGTCAACTTACATGTACCAATGATATTCCTGTAACTGTCATCTTTTCAGGCGTCAAAAAGCAGTGACTGTTGATCCAATGGTGTTTGCCTGTGTTGCAATGATGTCAAGAGCCATCGGACCAAAGATCTCAAAAGAAGTTAAAGACCTTTTAGAGCCAATGTTATCTGTTGGGCTGAGGTAAAGTATACACAGCTGTACTCGGTACATGTAATACTAAAAGTAATGGTGATAATTTTGATGTAGTGAATCACATTTGGAGTGTGAGAGTTATTTTCTTTGACATATTAAGTAAATGGCCCTAAGGATTAATCCCCTTGATAAAGGTGTTCAACTTCTTTTAGCCTGGGAGCAGGTCTTATTGTTAGCCCTCTGCCCCCTTGGAAGATTTTAGATGAGTTTGGGAGCAGTTTGCAGGGGGTCTGGCTTCATTAGACCCCTTGCATACCTCTTGCCGCCTTAAATTTCTCAAGGCCTCTTACTTTCCGGTGGGCAAAGAAAGACCCATGCTGAAGGGCTACCAATAATGGCCTGTTCATGTCACCTAACCTCACTGTTAGTACATGTAGATGTTCAGTGTAGGTCTGTCGGTGAGCATTGATGATTATTCTCATACTGAATATGATTTAATGTGAATCTCTTCAACTAGTCATGATGGACCTGATTATAACATGAACCTAGCTCTCATATTATATTATTTTATTTGTAATATCACAGCCCAGCCCTTACAGCATGTTTACATGACTTAGCACACCAGGTACCACAACTAAAGAAAAGTATTCAAGGTTTGTGCCAAATGAAAACTCAATAACAAATGCATGATTGTATTTTTTTGCTCATGTATTGATTCTGTGGCTGACTTTTTCCTTTTGCTTTTGGATTTGAAGTAAAACTTACTGTGACAATTATTTTTAGCTTGGTGACTATCATAAAGGGCTAACCTGTTACACAAATCTGGTTGTAATTTTTAATTTTTTTATTTTGTTTTCAACTTTCAGATGGTCTCCTCAAAATGCTCTCTACTATCTTGATGAACAAGCCTCCACGACATCCTGGAGCACCGAGAAATGCCACACCCACTTTAACTCCTTCAGGTGAGGCTGGGTAATTGTTCAGTAGTGTTAAACTTAATGTATATGAGCATCTGTTGAGGAATGCATTCATTACCCTTGATCTAAGACCAAGTGTTCTTGTTACTTGGAAATCAGCAAAACATTTTTGGTCATGGCTTTCTGGCTCACAAACTGGGACTGTTGTATGTATACATGTGCTCTCTGCACCTTCCCTGATCTTTTCTATGGTTTAGTCATCAACTAACAGTCCAACTTGATAAAAACATTTTCATGTACTTCAAGCTAAGATATCACAATCATCAAATGTTGAATATAAAAGCAGTCTCTGCTTAGCCATCTTTGTGAGACATGAAGTGCTTGACCACTACCAGTACATATCCTATTACTTTAATTGTAGAGATAAAAACAAGGCGATAAAAACTCCACTAAGTCAATACAAAGGCAAAAATTATGAGAAAGAAATTAATACAGTTAACCCAAAAACTGCTTGAGGTTTTTGTTTCTGTGTTTATTTGGAAAATTCAGTTGTATTTCAAAAGTGCAGTTCGGTATGTTTAAGTGTTCAAAAGCATCAGTTTTGGTAGTTATAGATGATCCTTTTGGTGCTTGAAACTTGGTACTAGATAGCTCACTAAATCTTGAAGGTTGCTTGATAAAGGATTTACTCAAGAGAATTTGCTTGTAGAACTCTTTTGGCATCCCTTACATCTTTGAGAAGACTCTTGTGTTTACTGGGAAAAGTCAGTTGCATTTCAAAAGTGAAGTAACAATCCTCTGAGAGCTTCAAATCCAGAGCCAAACATCATGTGCTCTGCCACTGAGCCATCATATTAACCTTGTGCATGCACAGTAAATGTCAGAGGGTGATTTGGGACAGGAAGAAAAACAAACCTTTCCACATAACCCTTTAAACCCTAAGAATGACTTGCAACTAATTTCTCATTACAAAATCACCCCTGAATCACATGTTAAGGTCATGAGAATAAAGGAAATGATCACTAATGTTAAAGAAGCTTTTGATTGGTAAACAAATTATCCTTGTTGGTACCTCAAGAAATTTATAAAGAGCACTATGGGGAATGTAAATATCTTATTTTAGGGTGTAAAGGGCAAATGGAAGCCTAAGTTAAAAGTCATCAAGTTGTAGGAAAAGTGTGAGTATCCAATGTACTGATACTGATTAACTTTTGTACTTATTAGCTTTTGTGCTGACTTGGAAAGTTTTATTATTTTTTCTTTTTTCAGCCTCATCTCATTCACTGTTTGACACTCTGGATGTGACCAGCACTGTCTTGGCTTTAAGGACCTTGGGTACCTTTGATTTTGATGGTGAGAGCTCATTGTAAGGAGTTCTGGATAGTGCCAACAACCATCCAAAATTTTAAAAAAATTGAGTAATGTACAATAGTCTTATTTATTTACATTTCAAAATTGTACAGTCATTCACTAAAACTACTTGACATGTGGTTAATGGTTGTTTCATTAGAATTGATTTACTTCTGATTGGTGTTCTCTCGACCACCATTTAAGTTGAATCCCTTTGTTTTATGATGAAGAATGCAATATGTGGCTTTCAGTTGAGGGTTGTCCAATACCACGGGTCATAATGAGTCGTAAAACTGACTTGATGATGAGTACGGTCCGTATGGGTAGTGTAATGTATTCATGAACAAGCATTAACACTGTATGGGTGAATGTACTCTTCACCTACAGGACATCTGCTGGCTCATGGAAATCTTGTTCGTCATTGTGCTGATACCTTTCTGGCAAGTGAGCATAAGGATATCCGCATAGAAGCTGTCAGAACTTGCTCTAGGCTCTTGTCACCATCTCTCCATGTAAGTGGTAATTGTTGTGTTTACTTATAACAACAAAACAGGGGAAATGGTCATTTTAGTAATAATTATATATTACAGTTGAGTTTTTGAGTTTAATCTCAAAGTGTGGCTAACAAGAAGGATGAACATGATATTACTGATCAGAAATATTTGCATACAGCTGTACATGCAAGCAGTTTCTGTGTCATGAAGCCATATGCAAGCAATTTTTCCTTTGGTATTGTTTTGCGGACAAGAGTGAAATCATTTCCTCAAAACTTCCTAGAGCATCTTGACCCTTGATTTACAATCCTCAATTCTTGCTACTTGAGCCTGAATTCTCAATAGTTTCAAAGTTGAGGATTGAGTTTTGAGTGGAGACTGTCAAGTCACCTTTGAGCAGTAGTATGAGTGCAGTATGTTATTCAGCCTTATCTGCATAATGCTTGTTTTGCAGCCTATGGTTGTACCACATGCTCCTCTTCATCATGCCAACATCAGTGCCAGCTCAACACAAGTTGTGTCTGAGGTGTTGTCTAAGATGTTGATGGTGGGAATAACTGATCCAGGTATGCTTTAGATTTCTTTTTTTTTTTTTTTTTTTTTGAGGTACCTAGGGTGCTTTTTTGCTGCTTTTCCACAGTCATCCTCACAGCTTTGCATAATTGTGCTGACATTAATTGCTTTGAAATGATTGATTTGTTGGTTTTGATGTTATTTCTGGCAGTCTCTTGTATAATTATGATGCTGTAGGTTGCAAAAACACGCTGGCTGTCAAACCATTTTGGATTGGCTATGTCGTGAATTGTGATCAAAGACAGAAAACAAGTCTTTTGAACTGATTCTAATGTTAAGAAAATTGGCTCATATATGTCTCAGAATGCTGGAAATCTTGTCTCAGCGAGTTTCAAATTTCAAAACTTTACATGGGAGCATAGGGCATTTATTCCAGTTCTTCTCAGTTCACATCATGCATTTTATAACATTTTCTAATCACAACCCGTTCATACATGTAACATGAAAAAAAAATTCATGCAAACCATGACACAGGAAGCACTATGTAGGTTTTAACCTGTGTTTTTGTATGTGTACATAATTTTTTGCAACTGTTTTGGCTGCAGACCCAGACATTCGTTTTTGTGTGTTGTCATCCTTGGATGAGAGATTTGATGCGCACCTAGCCCAGGCAGAGAACTTATCAGCTTTGTTTGTGGCTCTTAATGATGAGGTATGTTTGATTGAAATAGAAACTTACTGAACAACTATGCACTGTGTACATTTGCAGTTTATTGTCATAGTATTTATATATGTTGATTGATATACTGTAACTTTTATCTGAGTGGGTTGAAGTTGGTTATTGTTATTAACAGGAGTTTGAAATTCGTGAACATGCCATCTGTACAATTGGAAGGCTTAGCAGTTTGAATCCAGCTTATATCATGCCATCACTGAGGAAAACTCTTATTCAGGTACAGCAGTTATTAATAGTATTTTTTTCTCAGTAACCTGTAGTTGTTGGTATCACAATGTTAATTTCATTGGATTTTTATACTTTGTATCTATCAAACAGTTAGTATTTATTGTTGCTCACCTCAATTCTATATGTTTTTATTGGAGTCATATAGAAATTGTTTTTGCTCAAGACGAAGGGGTCTCTAAAAATTTCCCTATAATTAACAATCATTTGCCAAGGGCACAGTGAATGTTGTTGAATAATCCTAAGATTCAACAATATTCACTGAGCCTGAATCAAATAATTGTTCTTATGAGTATAATTGCTTTCATTGGTGCCTTTTGAATTCTGTTGGTCGTTTTGATGAAGAAACCATTCTGATTCAATTGTTTTCATCACTTGTATCAAGATAAAGAACCAGTTTTCACTGGAATTTGATAGTTTCATTTAATTAAATTCATTTAATTCATCTTTCTTTTGAAAAGGGTTACTCCAAACTTAATAGCATCTTTTGTGTTCTTTTGAATTAAATTTTTGTTACCTTGTTCATCACTTCCTCAGTAACACTGACAAAACACTAGGCAGCCATTTTTAAATTAAGTACTCCTGCTAAATATGACTCATACCTCAACCAATCAGAGGGGACACATCTCTATAATCACCAGAGCAATTATACTAACATACATGTATAGTAAGCTGCACATGTTCCTGAATTGATAACATAAGGTTCTTTTTCGCAGACATAAGTGCTGTCTGCAAAAAATTAATTACTGTATCTGTGGAGTCCCAAAGTGAATGATACTTGCCTATAATATACCTTTAGGAGGGGGGTTCTGAACATTGCATACTGCAAAAAATTCTGCAAATCTGGTAAATAAATATAACAAAAAAGAATCAGTGGATACCACAAGAAGTCAATAACAAGTAGAAAGACAAGGTCATGCTGAAACCACCACAACTCTGTATGTTATGGTTCTAATAGCAAATAACACAGAAATAACAAGAATTTGTTGATGAACATTACATCAGGTAATTGTTTCTGAAACACTGGAAACAGGAAAAGGCTGGGAACAGGGTGAAAGACTTGGAGTATAGTTTTCAATATCCTCCAAAATGAATAAAAAAACTGCATCACACAGGTTCTGAGAATACTGTGAGATTAAAATTTTTGAAATACCACATGATAAAATGTCCAATTAACTGAAATCCCCAGTGTCTTCCTGTTTTAGACTTACATGTATTTGCCAGCTTGTGTGAATGGCTACACAAGTTAGAAGTCATTTGCATTAAGAAACAGGAATTCATCAATGTATGTTTTTCCTGGAGGGTTATGATTTTAGATGTTTTCAATTGTCAGTTATGTTTGTGACATATGACAATTTTGTACATGTACACTGTAGATATTGACTGAGCTAGAATACAGTGGAGTGGGACGCAACAAGGAACAGAGTGCTCGTATGCTGGGTCATTTAGTATCCAATGCACCAAGACTAATTAGGCCTTATATGGAACCAATCCTCAAGGTCAGAATATGTAACAACCTTTTACTGGGAATGTTAAAAGTTTGTAAACAAGTACACAAGTTTTGCTTAAAATTAATTTCATTTGACCAGCAGATGAAAATCAAGTTATGCAAAGATCATTGTAGGTGTACTATAATTTAAAGGCAGAAAGGAAGCCTGAAAAATTCAGGTTTTGGTGTGATTCTAATGTGTGCCTCCTTCAGTATGAATGGGCACTATCATTCTTGATATGCCTGCCCCACCAGTATCTATGAGTTTGAATCCTGCCAAAGTCTGAATTTTTTCAGGCTTCTTTTTAGCAATATTATTGCTTAAATTGCACACTTGTGAAAATTATTGCTTTACTTTCTGTGAACACGCAGATATGAAAGAAAAATGAATTGTATGGCACAAGCACCATTTCCTTTTGTTTGTCTTGTATGGCTGCCTTGTTGAGAAAATTAATTTGTTTTTTTAACAGGCGCTGATTCCAAAGCTAAAAGACCAAGATCCCAATGTAGTTATAAGTGTATTGGCTGCCATCGGAGAACATGCTCAGGTATCATTCAGAGAAACAAATATCTTTTACATCACTTAAACTGTGGGTCTAGATAAGACAATTCTACTTCCAAGGGTGCTTGAACTTGGTAAGAAATTGGTGTATAGTGCAAAATTTTAGTCAGTACAATTATTATGTTTTTTTTTTAAAAAGTAGTAAGTTTCTAAAACAACTGTGGTGCTGTATTGGTAAGGGATGTTTTAAGATCATTTGGTTTTATACACTGATTTGACGATATACTTCCTTTTTTTAAGTGTTAACCCTTTGTTAGAGCTGTGACAAAGGACTAATGCTTGAAACATCAGCTATAGAAACTCTCTACAGTGGCCTATTAACATTATTAACTTAGTTGATGGAGCCAAACTCCTATATTTTTAATTTTTAGCTGCCATGATTTTACATCATGAATAAGGAGATTTTTTGGACAACCATTGTTAATTTCCTTATTAGGTCAGTGGAACAGAGATGAGCAAGTGGCTGAATGAGCTTTGTCCCATAATTCTTGATATGCTGCAGGATGCTTCACTGAACAACAAAAGAGAGGTAAACATTATTTTGTTACTTGTAGAGAATTTAGGGTTCAAATTGTTTGTTAGATTCATAATAAAGTGTTTGCCCTTATTTTAAGCACAACAACTGAAAGAAATTTTTAAACCTGTTGAGCAATCTATTTTATGGAATTTCAGAAGTGATTAAGATTTCCAAGTGATTTTAGGTAGTAATAAGAAGTACTGTGGGTGGTAAATTTTACTAGTTATTACCTGAAAAGGAGAATACTTATAAAAGCCCTATACTGTATCTATGTATGGTTGGAATACAGTCTCAAAACAGTATTACATGTGCCTAGTACATAAACTAGCAACAGCCCTGCTACTGAATGTGAGAGTTATCCTCACACTAATTAAGTAAACACTACTGAAGCAGTAGTGAAAATAAAAAACCCTTTGATCTCTGTGATACTGGTGCAGTGCTCTACCAACTGAGCTAACAAGCCGGTATCGCAGAGGTCATGGGTTCAAATCCCGTATGGGCCTGAATTTTTTTCAGGTCCTATTTACAACTACTCGTTTCAGTAGTGTTCTTAGCTGCGAGGATCTCTTAATTTCATCAAGCCAACAGGGAGTTGATTATTTTGTTTGTTCATAATAACCCCATGAAGTGATGAATGATGGACTGGGAATTTTGCCATAATCAATTTTGATGTGTTTCACCAACAGATTGCTCTGTGGACTCTTGGTCAGCTTGTGGAGAGTACTGGGTAAGCTTTGTACTTGAAGTTGTTTCTCTGAAAGCTGCATCCTATTATTGATATAAACTGTGGTGACTTTAGAGAAGCTACAACTACACCTGTGTAAAATTATGATTACCTTTTTAGGTGTTTTTCTGTTTTGTTTTGTTTTTTTATTGCCAATCAGCTGCTGACATGTCATTTGCCTTTTGTGCCACTCTGTCAGGTTGATGAATAAATGGCAAAGCATTCACCATTCTCAAATCAAGGTCATTTGTCAAATGTTCTTGTCAATAAAGGCCTGTGGTGTTTTAATTTGAAACAAAGAAATGTATGGGCTTGTGTAGAGACAGAATTTCTCTTTTCTTGTGTTCAATGCAAAGAGAAATATTCCACATCTCCACAAGCCTTGGCATTATTCTCTATTTAATCTATTTGGACATAAGCATGAACATAAATTTGAAAACAATACTGAAATTGTTCTGCTTGAATTTCTTAGATATGTAGTAGAACCCTACAGGAAGTACCCTAACCTTTTAGAGGTCTTGTTGAACTTCCTCAAAACAGAACAGGCCATTGGAATAAGGCGAGAGGTGTGTTTGTAGTTCTGTAACACTCATATGTCAGTTGGCTTTATTCCTTTCATTGTCAAATGATTGACTTTTTTTTTAACCCCACTCATATTTTGTTTGTGTGTAGGCCATCCGAGTGCTTGGACTTTTAGGAGCTCTTGATCCTTATAAACATAAACTAAATCAGACTGGAGGGCTCCTAGTGGGTGGAAACTCTGCCAAAGACTCGACAGATAACGAAGCAGGTCAGATTTGAAAACATGCAACTGTAATAATAAAAAAGTGTGGCTGGTAATATGAACATGTAGCTTGGTAACAAAATTTCTTTGCATGTCTTTTTTTTTTTTTTTCAAATCCATTACAGTCTCATTCGTTTATATTCTATACATTTGCAGCTGATACTAGCACAAGTGAAATGTTAGTTACCATGGGCAGCATTCAGCTAGAGGAGTTCTACCCTGCAGTGGCTGTGTCTGCTCTCATGAGAATCGTCAGGGACTCATCACTGTCCAGTCACCATACTATGGTGATTCAGGTAACAGAATAAACAATGATTATAACACTATCCATTCTACTGAAACTTTATTTCAATAGTTTCTCAGAAGTCTCAAAGCATCTTCCTACCTAGCCGTTGGTGTTATGACTAGTACATGTACAATGTAAGAAGGACATTGCCTTAATGTTTGATTAAGGGCTGATGTTTTAAAGAGAAATTGGATGCTGCTCAAACTCATGGGTTGAAGGGTTAAGTGAAGTGTACCACAAGCGCTGGTATTACTTCATTGATCAGAATTTGAACAAAATTCTCGAACGTGATTGATTATCACCAGCCCGATTAGAGCACTGATAGGCCAATTGACACGTCATGCCTGTGTAAGTGGGCAGTTCGCGTCATGTACGCGTGCTGTTGTCGCGCATTTCGCCGATTTTTTTTTATGAAAACGTATGACCGATGTCTAGTTTGTTTCTCAGATTTGTAATACTTTTGATTACTCGTGATAAACAAATCGGACTTCTGCTTCGCAGCTGTCTGATTTTGTCATTCACTTGTATGATTACAGACCGAATTGGATTCCACTCGGAATTAATTTGTAATAATTATACTGGAGGTACAATGTGGACCCAATTGTTACTCATTGTTATTTCTCCTTTTAGGCTGTGACATTTATTTTTAAGAGTCTTGGAATGAAGTGTGTGACCTACCTCTCTCAGGTATGATCATTAATTTTATTGCATATTTCCCTATCGGTCATTGGAATTATTAGTGGTTATTATAAACTTTTTCTTTTTGTTTTCAGATTATGCCATCATTTCTGAATGTCATTAGAACTTGTGATTCATCATTTAGAGAGGTTTGTAAATTTTGGAAATATGTGCTCTGGATGATTACTACCAGTAAATTAATTTCAAGAGCATCATTTGATTCACAATTTGTTGAATTTTTTGTAGTTTGTACTTCAGCAACTAGGAGTGCTGATATCAATTGTCAAGCAACATATCAGAAACTACTTGGATGAAATATTTGGTCTGATCAAGGTGTGTTCGATTAAACAATTAGTTTCCTTTCTAAACCATCAAAAAGTCCCGCTTTTAACTCTGTTTTCAAAGAGGACTTAGACTGCGCTTTAAGTGTATCATATAGACTAACAAAAATTTGTGTCGGCGAGTTGACTAATGCATGGTGTCGGCGAATAGGTAGTCGGCGATGTGACCGGTAAGCGATCTTTGTGTGTAAAGGGAAGTTTGCTGTGAATTTGGACTTGATTCTCTCACATTAGTTTGACATGAATTGTGAAACTTCCATCATCAAGTCGCCGTGGAAAGATGGTTTTTGCAAGTATTGAAACACCTCCAGTTTCTGAGAAGCTAAGTATTAATGGTGTTTAATTTTTCCAGCAATACTGGATCCTTAACAGTCCAATGCAGACGACCATTATACTGTTAGTAGAACAGATAGTTACAGCCCTAGGAGGAGAATTCAAGGTAACATTTTCAAATGGCTGAAAGACTATGTAGAGTCTATTGGCATAAATGAATAGAGCTATTTTCAAGAGAGTGTCGAAAGTAATGCGAATTTGCATTGGTTTTGCTTTACTTCGCGCCACTCTCTCAGCCAATCAGCGACAAAAGTGAAACCAATCACGATCTGGTCGCATGCGTTTTCCCGCGCTTGAGGCAGTTTGCTTGGTTTTAGTTACAGTTCTCATTGGTTCCTTATAATATTTTCGTTTGTTTTGATTGGCTGTTGTGATAACTTTGGTTTTGGTTTTCCGACACCCAATCGAATTATTATTATTATTATTATTATTATTTTGTAATTATGATTGTAGTTTTTCAGAACATACTTACCACTGGCAACTACGGTAATTAGACTGATTTCAATAAACCAGCTGATTTTTAAACGGTTAACCCGAAAAACATAACATTTCTAATTATGATTGTAGTTTTTCAAAGCATACTCACCACTTGAAACTACGGTAATTTGGCTGGTTTCGATAAACCAGCTGATTTTCAAACGGTTAACCCAAGAAACATAACATTTCTTTTCAGATCTACTTGCCGCAGATTATTCCTCAGATACTCAAAGTGTTTATGCATGACAACAGCTCTCAAAGGAGTGTCACAACAAAGGTAATTATAATTAATTATTGCAAACGTTATTGAATGCTGTGCGTTTGCTCGAATTTTTCAACAATGTTACAATCCCTTAATCGCGCGTCAAGTGCGTGTAAGAGGTGCTAATTACACGCTCTTCGGAGCGTGTAGTAACGCTTGTGCTGTAGAGAGATTGCACACGTGCAAAGGTTTACTCTCAAATGCTTTTATTTTGATTTGTCTTTTTTCATTCACTACGCGCATTTGCTTTTACTCTTTCATCGAATGCTGTCTCTGGGAATTTGTGCCTCACTCAACGTGATGATTTTGAAATGCTTTCCTGTGACGGAAAAAACGAAGTTGATCTCTTTATTGTTATTCCGGTCAATAATCCGCCCTTTGGTGAATCTTACTTTCGTGTTAATCATTCGCTTCCCTTATGCGAAGGTTGAAAAACATGAGAAAATCAAGGGCAAATTAGAGATTTCTTCCAGTGGTAAGAGATGGAAGGGAAGAACGGGGCCGGAGTTCGCGGCAAGGCGCCACTCGATCCGCATCGGGTGTATAAAATTAGAACTTTAGTCAACCGTTTATTCCAGTAACAAGCATCGACGAGTCCGCTAAAGCCATGGACGAGTACTTTAGGCGGCCGAGTTGTCGAAAGAGGGTAACATAAGCTGTACTTCTCCTATGTTTAATTAACTATGCAGGTATCTCTATGGGTTATGAATGACTCAGTCATAACCAAGCGTTTTTGTTATCCTGCAGCTATTGAATGCACTTCAGATGTTTGGTTCCAGCCTCGATGACTACCTCCATCTTCTTGTTCCACCAGTTGTCAAACTGTTTGATTCGTCTGACATCCCGCTTGTCGTCAGAAGGTAAGCACATGAATCATGTCGATTTTTTTATTGTATTTTGTTCTGTCCGTCTGTCAGTCTGAACAACTGTGTCTGTCTTTATGTCTGTCCATCCATCCAATTTGTCTTTTGACACTGTTTGAAGTATGCCGGGAGTTTCACAGTAAATGATAGTAGTAATAGTAATGGTGGTTATGATAATATGTATGAATTATTCCGGTGAGCTGTGTTTTCATTACAGATGTGCTTTAGAGACTTTGGACCGTCTCAGTGAGTCTCTGGATCTCACAGACTTTGCATCACGAATCATTCATCCAATAATGAGGACATTAGACTCATGCCCAGACCTACGCCATACAGCTATGGATACTTTGTGTTCTCTGGTGTTCCAGTTAGGGAAACAATATTCTACATTCATTCCCACTGTTCATAAGGTTTGTCTGACTGCTTGTATCATCACAAAATAAATTAAACGACCTTTTTTTTCTTTGTCCAAGTATCTCAGCTCCTTATACTCCTCTATTCTTTATCTTAAACTTGCAGGTAATTGTGAGACATCGGATCCAGCACCAACGTTATGACATTCTGATCACTAAAATTGTGAAGGTTAGTGTACATAACTGCAGCCTGCCAGAATCATAGTTAAAACTTATCAATACTGTGTGTACTCTTCTCTTTTAAATACTTGTTTGGACTGAGTGAATAATCCATCGTCGCGGTTTCGATGACTTGAATTCTATCCTTTTTAAAAGCCCACTTCTGCTAGATTCACGAATAATGGAATGTTGTCTTAGTTACTTTGAGGAGCTTATCTCCTTTTGTTGAATGGAGTATTGACACGGTTTGATTGACCTGGATACTTTCCTTTTTAACCTTTACGCCCTAACATCCTCTGCACATTTCCTTTAGTACTAATTATGAGAATTTGTTCAACAATCCATACTTCTTAGATCAGAATTTATTTCATACATTCTCACGATCTTAATGACTGTTGGTCACTGTTCAGGTGTAAAAGGTCAGGAGACCATTTCCCTTTGATTAGGAGGATAGTGTGTTGTTTGTGTGACCTGAGTACTTTCCCCTTTTGAAAGCCCATTTCTGCTGGATAAGGAGATTAGAGTGTTGCTAACCATTTCTTCTTCAAGAGCCCTTTTCTGTTGGATTGGGAGAACGAAGTATTGTCTCGCCGCCAAAAGGCTGGTAGAGGAAACTTGGCAGATGACTCCGCTACCAATGCAGCCATTGAAGCTGCGAGCATCAAGAAGCTGACATTTAAGGCGGACAGTCTTCAAAGGGTGATGTTAATTTTTCTCCATTCATTTTAAAGATAAAGCTCTGGTTGATGATGTATCTAAGTCAGTAAGACTCGAGTACTTGGCCAAAGAAATCAGTGCGGATTGCTTCCTATTTGATCTCAACTATATTTGTCATAGGTTGGACTCTGTTAGGGAAAATTTGGAATTATCCGTGTTACACTATCTGATAGTGTTTTTATATCTTGTAGGCGTGGGGGGCATCAAGGTGCGTGTCAAAGGATGATTGGATGGAATGGTTGAGAAGACTGAGTGTGGAACTTCTAAAAGAATCACCTTCACCCGCATTACGGTCATGTTGGGCTACAGCACAGACTTACCCCCCTCTTGCAAGGTAAACGTGTGCATTATCATTGCCATAGACTTACTCTCCTCGGACGAGATGCAGTAACACAGTGTGTTACGGGTGCCACAGACGTACCCTCCCCTTGCTAGGCAAAGTAACAATCTGTAGTAACACCAGCCCAGATTTACACTCCTTTAGTGAGGTGCAGTAAGGATTATTACCTCCTGCAAAGTTGTAGCATGAAACGATATTATTATTAATGATCTTGTAAAGTTTTCCCCTAAAGTTTCCACGGTTGAAGCACGGAGGCTATTGGCCTTGAATTGCTCTTTGTATAATTGCATGCTATTTTTCTCCAGCAACTTGTTTCTCAGACATCTAATCTTAATGCGCCCCTTAACTTATTATTGATCTCCTTAGGGACCTGTTCAATGTTGCGTTCGTATCTTGTTGGTCAGAGCTACACGAAGAACTTCAGAATGAATTAGTGAAACACTTGGAGATGGCCTTGGGAAGTCAAATCCCAGAAATCACTCAGACCTTGCTTAATTTGGCAGAATTTATGGAGCACACGGAAAAGGTGCTGGACTTTTATCTCATTTCGTGCTCTGCCCTGTTACTGTTCAGTTAAATGTTTTCTTTCACATAATATCTTCTTCATGGCTTTCTTTTAAGTTTTTCAATGCCTTTTTTCTAGGGCGCACTGCCTTTAAACAATGATCTGTTAGGTGAACAGGCCTCGAAATGTCGAGCTTATGCAAAAGCGCTGCATTACAAAGAAGAGGAATTTCACAGAGGACCAACCACTGAGACACTGGAGGCTCTGATCAGGTAACAGCTGAATAATCAATATCAGAACTCCTCTTGAATGTGATGACTTATCGATTGGGTCTTGGAATACATACTGTGAAGGTTATGCCGAACAGCGAAATTATTACTTAATGATAGGCTTTTCTCGGTTTGCGAGTTTGATTTAGAGTGTATTCATTAGTATCCTTCGAATAGTTACCTTGAGTAGCTTAATTGTTTTTTGTCTTTCTGTCAGCATAAACAACAAACTGCAGCAACCACAGGCAGCCCATGGTGTTTTGGTTTATGCTATGAAGAATCACGGAGCAGATGTGGTAAGCAGTTTGAAAGTATTGATTGACACAGCTCACTTAATCTGCACCACCTTTTATGGTGATTTGATAATACACGTATGTTATCTAACAGAAAATTAAGGAGCGCTGGTACGAAAAACTCCATGACTGGGAGCAAGCGTTGGAAGCTTACAACAAGAAATTGATTCAAAATCCTGATGAAATCAACCTCTCCTTGGGACGGATGAGATGCCTCGAAGCATTGGGCGAATGGTAATTCGTTGTTGGTTACTTTTGCTCTTTTTGTTATTGTTCGTTTGTTTGTTTGTTTTTTCCAATTGCACGCGAATTTTTTTCAGTGGGTTGATAATTAAATTTTGTCAACATACCTCTGTTAAAAGTGTAATCACTGACTCAACAACTACCATACCCAAACCTCAGGGCGGTCATTCAAGCTAAGTTTAACCCTTATTTATCATCCAAACAGCGCTTTAAACAATCTATAGTCGAGCAGAAAATATCACCGAAACGTTGATTTTTTCCGAAAGCATTAAGCACTAAAAGGAAACTCAAGTACCTTCAAAAAAACCCACATTTGAGGACCTTTCAAAGTCCATCAATCGTTAAAGACGTGGTCTAGAATATAGGTCGTTTCAATAAGAAACCCTGAAAGAGTGCGTGTGACTAAAGGTGTGACCTGTTAAGTAAGTCTTGTTTTTTCATTGATTAAACTTCCATCGTTTAGACGTAGAACGGGGGGTAGGTTCTTACGCAGAATAACAGTAATGAAAGTGATATGGCCAAATATTTTTTTCGCCTTATTGCAAACGTGGGACAAAGAGATGCAATATATCTTACAAAACTTCTCTTTGTTTTCACATTATAGTCAACAGTGATAAGGAGTTATGCAGAACTGTAAAATCACTGAACATACCCCAAGATCTGCAGACTTTTATTCTTTAAGATTAAAATGAGTGTTGTATCAAACTAACCTATAACTTCGCAGCATTGACAGTAGACAGGGTGGGAAGGGAGGGGGGGGGTAGAGTTTCCTATTCCTGTAATGAGGAGTCACACTTGTGGTTGTGGTAATTTTTCAGGGGGGAGCTTCATCAGGTAGCTGTTGAAAAGTGGCCGGTGGTAAGTGATGACATCAGACAACAGATGGCTAGAATGGCAGCCGCAGCAGCCTGGGGACTGGGTAAGGCTGTGGTAAATACTTGATAGGGGAGGGTAGGAAGGCGCCGTATTCAAAACTAAATTTGTTGTCCACACAGGTAACTGGGACAGTATGGAGGAATATACCTGTATGATACCCCGTGAGACACAAGAAGGAGCTTTCTACAGAGCAGCTCTTGCTCTTCATCAAAACCATTTCCAACAAGCACAAGGAGTAAGTAGCAACCCTCAACAGTTAATTATTTAGAATTGTGTAGTGATAAATACCTTAATGGGCGCCGCTGGTTTATGTGTTTGTAAAAATAATAACTGTCCGCTTAAATTCTCTCTCGCTCAAAATGGCGGTTCATAATCAGTGAAAATCCTTTTTAACGCCACCTTTTACTCATGACTTTGATGTTGAAAATACTTCTATGGGAATTTATTAGTTCTTTACTGCATGATAACAAGTTTTAATTTTTAAACGTGTGATGTTTTGTTCTTCATCAGTGTATTGACTCAGCACGTGATGTGTTAGACACGGAGTTAACAGCCCGAGCTGGCGAGAGCTACAACCGAGCTTATGGGGTATGGTGCTCATATAAATACTTTTTGGGACAGTCTCATTTTTGTTTTATTTCTCCCCGCGTAGACGTTGAAGAAATCACATTTAAAAATTGCTCAATTCCGTAGGGTGATTGCAGTTTGTAGTCTGATAAATTTACAAATAGAGTGTTAAAGTTGATTGCAGCCAATAAACAAGATAGTTTGTAGGTGTATAGTTGTTTGAAGCCACTTTCGTGTGATTGTCAATGCAGGCTATGGTGAGTGTACAGATGTTATCAGAGCTTGAAGAAATTATCCAGTTTAAGTTAGTCCCAGAGAGGAGAGAAGCCATTAAAAGAACTTGGTGGAACAGGCTGCAGGTAAGTATCTAGTGCTGTTACTTTACATCCCTAATATCCATGGCATACTAAACGGTGGCAATGGAATGTGGGGGGGGGGTGGGGTGGGGTGGGTAATTCCATCCGTACATCCTAGTGATTCAATAAACAAGTTGAACTGGTTTTTTTTTTATGTGTCTTCTGATGGACGAAGGAGTCACGCTGTGTCTTATTTTTTTTTCTTGAACAGGGATGCCAGCGAGTAGTAGAAGACTGGCAAAAGATTCTAAAAGTTCGCTCCCTAGTCCTCTCCCCACAGGAGGACATGAAATCATGGCTGAAGTACTCTAGTTTATGCCGAAAGAGCGGCCGACTTGCGCTTAGTCACAAGACTCTGGTCATGCTGCTTGGAACAGATCCATCGAAACAAGTTGACCAACCTTTACCAACCACCTACCCACAAGTCACGTTTGCTTACATGAAGCACATGTGGAGAGAAAATAAACAGGTTGGACTTTTTCTAGTAAAGCGAAGTTCATAGCATTTGAACTTATTGCAATGAAACAGTGTACGCCGTAAATTTGAATGAGAAAACTATTGTTTTGTTGCAGGATGACGCTTTCAAACATCTTCAGTATTTTGTGCAAAACACGCTGCACCAGCAGGCGTTGTCGTCTCTGTCACCCACTGATGATGGACAGAAGAGAGAGGAGCTCCTCAAACTTGTTGCCAGGTGACTGATGCTCCTCAGTTTTGTCCTTTTCTTGAGCGACTGATAAATAATGAACTTTTTAACGTGCACAGGTGTTACCTGAAGCTTGGTGACTGGCAAACAGCTCTTGAGGGATACAGCGAGAAATCTATTCCTCAAATACTTCAGTATTATGCTGCAGCTACAGAAAATGACAGAAACTGCTACAAGGTACATTTGGAATTTTTTTGTTAAAAATGGATTGGCAGCGGCAAATTTCTTAGTAATGCCTCACTAGTAAAAACGAATCCAGTACAAACGACATTGAGTGTTTGAGCCGTGATCCACATTTACGGAGACTTCTCGCCTTACGTTTTGTTTCTTACTAACATCTTCAGGCATGGCACGCGTGGGCTTACATGAACTTTGAAACAGTGTTGTACTACAAAAGTCAACAGTCAGGAACTGATGGCCCTAATAATGGAAACGCTTCCAAAAATCCTCCGCCGATGTCGACCTCATCTGTAAGTACATTCTTAAGTTCAATTGGAAAGGGAAATGGTTTAAGAGTTGCGTTAAGCTGGGACTTTCCAGACCTTTTTATCAAATGAAGTTGTTTGTTTTTACATGGTGTACATTATCCATTCTAGGTAGCTAACCCAGTGATCACATACGCGGTGCCTGCAGTGAACGGTTTCTTTAAGTCAATTGCTCTGTCCAGCGGCAATTCCCTTCAAGATACCCTCAGGTAAGTGTCCGGTGCCTTTTTCAACACGGCGGTCAAACGTCAACTCATGCGCAAACGTTGTAAAGACAAGGTGGCGTGCTCTCAAGTTGCCGGAACCAAGTTTTCACGCACGAGTTACAAACAACCAAACAAGTAAATAGTTTACAGTGTTTCAAAAGCGTTTAAAGTTTTTTTAAAGCTTAAAAGAGAATGTTAAATCAATAGGATGCTCTTACTTGAATAAGTTTAGTGTTCGAGAGTCTCGAGTTTTCTTTTTCTTTTCTTTAACAGATTTCTATGAACGTTTTAATTATAATTTGTTTATTTTGAAAGACAGCAGTTGTTTGTTATAGTTTGATTTGAAATTTTGCGCGGGAAATGGGTGCACGGCCTTCAGAATTGATGCCCGCGTTTGGCCGCTGTTCTGCTTCTGGAGCTAAGGAGAGTTAGCGGGCCAGCACCAGGACACTTATGTGACAGTTGCATGAGGCCTTGTTGGGCGCTTCTGATGGAATGCACGGACCTTAAAGTACCATGGTCATATATGCTGAACATAATCTATTACATTTACTTTACACATTTGATTTGTTCGTTCGGTCTTCAATTTTCAATCATTAAGTGCGACTAACCTTTAAAAGCCTGGAATGTAGAGGTAGGGAGTGGCACTAATCAATACTGATACGTCTGTTTTCTTCGTGCCTTACTTTATCAGATTGTTGACACTGTGGTTTGATTATGGTCACTGGCCTGAGGTTTACGAAGCTCTCGTGGAGGGAATTAAAACAATTCAGATTGACACATGGCTTCAGGTACGGATTTAAATCTGGACAGGAGTCAGTTTTGGTTCTGTAAAAAAGTGCTTTGAGCATCGATAATGTTCATGTTTTATTCTTTAATCTCTTTAATTTCCTCATCTCTGCATTACTATCATTCTTATTGTGTACTCGTTTTCTTAGGTCATTCCGCAACTGATCGCCAGGATTGATACTCCTCGCCAACTTGTTGGACGACTTATTCATCAGCTGCTCACAGATATTGGAAAACATCATCCACAGGTTAAGTCAGCTTCTACTGTAGTCATTTATCCTAAAGAACAAAAATGCATGAAGTGCTGTTCTTTTTGGTTTATCCTCAAGTCTTTAAACGGTTACTTATTAAGTTATCGGATTGGTAGTTATCAAGGGATGTTTAGCATGAAATTGAAAACTAAAGAAAAAGAGAAAATACGATACCCACACGTTTAGCAGGTACGTAAATGTCTGAAGACAATGAGAAGTCGAGCAGAATCAAAGCAAAGACTACCCCCTTCGAGCAAAGAAACAATTGCAAATCATTTTTTATCCAAGACCATAACCAGTCCATAAATGACACATCTGACTAAACGTATGTTTTATCTCTTGTCAGGCTTTGATCTATCCACTTACTGTAGCCTCCAAATCAGCAAGCAGTGCCCGTCACGACGCAGCCAATCAGATTCTAAATAACATGTGTGAACATAGCCAACAGCTCGTACAACAAGCAGTTATGGTATGTACAGGTCATGTTTGAACGCAGTTTTAAGGTAGTATAGTAAGCGGTCATGGTAGGTTGTGAAAGTGTTTGGACTCAGTCTTAAGTCAGATAGAGCAGCAAGCAGTTATCATAAGAACTACATAGCATGTGTGGACTCAGCCTTCATTTCGTGCAGCAAGTGTTTAACATGGGTGGACACAGTCATAACTTGGATAGGAAAATAGTCGTAATAGATATAGAACTTGTCTGAACATATCTTTCAGATAGATCAGAAAGCAATTATGGTATGTCCAATCTTTAATTGGTTGTTAAGACGGCTACTGTTTGTTTCCGCTGTGGCAGGTTCACCTGAGAAGGCCATGATTGAATAGTCAAACTGATCTGCTTTCCCATTTTAAAGGAAAAAAAATTACTTGAAATGATCATCGTGACCACTTTGTGTCCAAGTCAGATTCAGTTTGCATGAGCGGCTCTTCTCATCAAATTTTGTCATTTATGAATCAATATACGGTTACTATAGAAAACATGAATGCTGGGTCAGTTCAGGTATTTTTAGTTTCTTCCTTATCATGCACTTATTTTAGGTAAGTGACGAGCTTATCCGAGTGGCCATCTTGTGGCATGAATTATGGCATGAAGGGCTCGAAGAAGCTTCAAGGCTTTACTTCAGCGAAGGCAATGTAAAAGGAATGTTTACCGCTTTGGAGCCGCTGCATCAGATGATGGAGAGGGGACCACAGACTCTCAAAGAAACTTCGTTTAACCAGGTAACGTATATGATCTAAAGTGGCGTGGTAGTTGTAGTCTTTGCCAAAGATATTATGCTTTTTCATTTCTTTGTCTACTTACATGTATCCAGACCGTGTTTCGTCCGGTTTTGTCCACCGTGATGCTAATCACAGTTCAGGCTTGAATGGCCGGATAATGGACACACTTTCTTTTTTATCATTTCACGAGGGTTCCTTTTAAGGGGAGACCTTGATAATGGACCCTACCAATGAAGTCTCTCTGCTAGCTGTTCGGTTATAAGTGTTTCCATTCGTTCCTCTGAATGTACGTTCGTTCCTTTCTTCGTGTTTTCGCTTGCATTCGTATATGTAAGCCTAGGAACCTTAGAATTTAAAATTAGAATTTAACACTTGTAACACGCATTTCTTTATTTACATATACTCATATGAGAGAAAAGAGAGAAAAAAATTATTCCAAATAAAGATAAGTTTTAAAGTTTAAAGCTTAAGCGTTAGTCATTTACACTTTAACAAGATCAATTGTTAATCTTGTCCAGGCTTACGGCCGGGACCTTATGGAAGCTCAGGAGTGGTGTAGGAAGTATCAGCGATCAGGAAATGTAAAAGATCTTACTCAGGCCTGGGATTTGTACTACTTGGTCTTTAGAAGAATCTCCAAACAACTACCACAGGTACTGTTTACAATTTGTACAAATCCAAAATGATATTAAAAATAATAGATCGGAGAGAAAATTAAAATAAACGCTTCTTTAATTGTCTTGAAGTTGATCTAGGTAATTAACTGACGTTTAACTGATACTGTTGGTTACTGATTCATGGGAGAGGTGCTAAGGAGCTGCAATTAAAAGCTCTATCAAATCAGTAACGTGTGTGTTTTCTTCATGCAGTTGACTTCTCTAGAGCTTCAGTACGTGTCTCCCAAACTGTTGATGTGTCGGGACCTGGAGCTGGCTGTACCGGGAACCTACGAACCTCACAAACCTGTGATACACATCAGACATGTTCATGCCTCCCTTAACGTCATTACGTCCAAACAGAGACCAAGAAAACTGTTTATTACAGGTAAAGTAATAAAAAATTTGTTTGGAGAAAAATGTTGTGGAAAAAACTGAAAAATGTATGTGATCTTTCTTGCTTATCTCTGTCCTGTAGGGAGTAATGGCTCCGAGTTCATGTTTTTGCTGAAGGGCCACGAAGATCTTCGGCAGGACGAAAGAGTCATGCAACTTTTTGGTTTGGTGAACACTCTGTTGGCTGGTGATCAAGAAACTTCCAAGAGACATTTGGGGTAAAACATGCTCAATAATGTATTTTTTAATTCACTGAGAATAGTTTCATTTACGTTTGTCTCATTTACTTTTATTTCTAGAATTGTGCGTTATGCAGTCATTCCGCTGTCAACAAACTCTGGTCTGATTGGTTGGGTGCCTCACAGTGACACCCTGCACGCCCTCATCCGGGACTATCGGGAAAAGAAAAAGATTCTCCTTAATATAGAACATCGCATCATGTTAAGAGTAAGTTCAGCTCGTAAGGGTATATAACTCTCTTTAGCCAATCTAATATCTTCAGTATTTGACAGCCACACATTGAAAGTCACACACTGACCGTCAGACACTGAGTTTCACGCGGTTGGTTAAATGTCTTTTTATCTCTTGTCTGATCAGATGGCGCCTGATTATGACCATTTGACTCTAATGCAAAAAGTGGAGGTGTTTGAGCATGCGCTGTCCAACACCAATGGAGATGACTTGGCTAAGCTGTTGTGGCTGAAAAGTCCCAGCTCAGAGGTAAAGAAATCATACCAAGCATTCATTGTTGGTGTATTATCTTTTGAATGAAAATTCTTATTTTATGTTACGTGGTGATAAGATGAAAATTGTAAGTACGCTCACAAATCAAACTTTTTTTCCCATACACAGTATGAACCAAATTTGCAGCTTTAGCAGTAAACTCTTAAGGGAATTGTTCGTAGCAGGAGCCCTGTTCGTAGCTGTTATTTACATATTTCTCTTTCTATTTTTTCTTTTTTAAGGTATGGTTTGATCGTCGAACTAACTACACTCGATCTCTTGCTGTTATGTCCATGGTGGGATATGTGCTGGGCCTGGGAGACAGGTTAGATAAAGTTTTACTTTGCCCTATTTCTACTTTGAAGGAATATCACAGTGAATGGTGTGATTTGTGGGACACTTTTACTGAATTACTTTCATCCGATATACAATCTTTATTAACTTAAAACTGTTTTAAATGTCCCAGGCATCCATCAAATTTGATGCTGAACCGCTTAAATGGAAAGATCGCCCATATCGATTTTGGTGATTGCTTTGAGGTATGTTACACTTGTATTTTTGGTTTGTAGGTTTGTTTGTTCCCGTGCCAGGACTTTGTAAAAAATTTGCTTTTCCCTTTTTTTTCGAGGTGGCAATGACCAGAGAAAAGTTTCCCGAGAAAATCCCGTTTAGACTGACGAGAATGTTGACGAATGCTATGGAGGTATGAACCACAATCATAATCTTTAAGGTTTCTGTGGCTGACTCAGGTTGAAAGGGGGATGATTCTAAGGTTGAATTTACTTAGTTGCTCGAAAAAAATAAGTTGAAATTGAATAATGTGTTTTGAGGGTTATGACGTGTAAGGGCGGATGGGAAAATGCTATGCGTGCCTCTTGTGTTAAGGTTGATATCGATCTGTTTTGTTGTTTAGGTGACTGGTATTGATGGAAACTACCGAATGACGTGTGAAAGTGTCATGCGAGTTCTGCGGGCTCACAAGGACAGTGTCATGGCAGTGTTGGAAGCTTTTGTTTACGATCCCTTACTGAATTGGAGGCTTATGGATTGTAAGTTGCATACAGACTATACATTTTAAGCATTACCATTGACGTTCTTTACGATATTTTGTAAACAAAATTAAGGGAAGCCAACTAGAGTTACAGAGCATAATGTCACATTTAAATGAAGTTTTGGTGGTGACGCCGATCTGTTGATCTTATCTGCTCATTTTCATACTACTTGCCTCACTTTACTACATGTTCCTTTTACAGCTACGCCAAAAATCAAACGCTCCAAGGGCAGATCTGACACGATGTCTGAGGGAGGGGAGGGTAAGTTATTGCTGTGCGTTGACACAATTGTTTTTTTTATTTTAAATAAGCTTGAAGATATTTTGTCATAAGCACATGCATATAATTTTGAACGGATCGCAAGTCGAGTTCATCGCCTGAATATTATCTGAAGGACATGAAGTCTTCAGAACGTCGTGGTCTCAGGGGCCAATGTTGTCAGACAAACGATAACCTTTGGTTCCAATTCATCACGACGAACTACCAAAACTCGTTTCTGTTTTTGTTTTTTTCCTTGTCTCGCGACAGGTATAATATGAGTTATTATACCATTGGAGTGAGGCTCTCCTTTGAAGATCTTTTCATGCACTTGTTTAAGTCGATGATACATTAATTGTCTTCGTTTTTTTTCCATTTTCTATTTGATTAGATGTTCTCGAAGGCGTGGAGGTGAATCCTGAACGCCCCACCAAGAAGCAGTCGACAGAACACATGCCATCTTACGGTGCGAACGGAAATGATTTTGGTTTTATCATGAATGACATTCATATATTAAGACCTCTCGGGAGAAACAGCTTTTTGATAAAGAAAAACCATACAGACTCGTTGCTGAATCTGAAGTTCTTCTTGGTGTGGATTATGTTGTTGTTTTGTTGTTTTCTTTTGGTTGTTTATTTGTTTTTAAGTTCTATGTTAATTGTTGATCATTAAGCGCGTTAGATCATATACTTATAATTAATTTTTCGCTATATAAGTATTAAATTTATTATTTATTATTGTTTTCATTTTGCTCAATATTTTTTGCATGTTTAAAATATGGGTGTTCTTTTAATGAAGCATGTTAAAATTTTGCTCTCTTTACAGAAGATGAAAGCGGCCCTAAGCCAGAGGCCCTTAACAAGAAAGCTGTCGCCATTGTTAACCGTGTGAGAGACAAATTAACAGGTACATTTTCACCTTCTTGTCAATTGCTTCTTGCGTTCAGTTATGGCTCAAATTGGATAAACCACCGAAGTTATATTTCCCAGTGTTCATGACGGTAACGTAAGACGTCGGTTATCAAATTGCACGTTTTTAGGTTTTATGAATAAATGAGGTAAGTTTGTAAAGAAACTGAGATGAAAATGTGGAAAATCATGGAAGTATTAAAGCATAACCCTTCGTCACACTGCATTGTTGCTCAGCAAGACACGGTGCTTTACAAATGATAGTGTCTGTTGGAGAAACGTTTGCTACTTACTGTCTTTGTTCTATAGGAAGCGACTTCACTAGTAATAACAACCTCGATGTACCCACCCAAGTTGATCTTCTGATCAAACAAGCCACTTCACACGAGAATCTCTGCCAGTGCTACATAGGATGGTAAGCATTAATAACTGAAATTTCATTGCGTCGAAATAAATCGCTTTTGGATCACAATGAGAACTACTGGTTCTACCAGTAATTGTGTCATCCAATAAAGTCATTATTATTATTATTATTATTATTATTATTATTATTATTATTATTATTATTATTATTATTATTATTATAAAAAGTTTCCAACATTTTGTCCCACAGGTGTCCATTCTGGTGAGCAGAAAAATACAAATTTATAAGGACTACCTTGGATTCTTGCACAGAACAAATGGCAGATATGATTGTAGTTTCAAAGAAAAGCGCTTGAACGAGTAGCCGACATCTAAATAATTATTTTCCCTGACTTGTTCTCAGCTCGCCTTGGTGAAAGGGCATCTGTGCATGCCCTAAAATCAAAACATAACGCCCTTGCTAAATATGAAACCGTCGAAAAGAGGGTCATTAACGGCAACCTCACTGTTATGATCTCCGATTATGTTTGAAATGAGTGGTATTCCTTTAAACTTTAAACGAGTCTCCTTCGCCTTTATTTCTCATCTTTTTTTGTGGATTGCTGTCGCATGCAACAGGCATGAGGTCAGCTGAAACCTTTCCTAGAACTATCCGATTTCCCGACCAGACGGCGCGTTGCTCGTTTATTTAATTTAGTTTTTGTAAATTGTATTACACAAATTTGTAAGTTTTTATTTTGTTAGTAAAATGTAGAGAAAGGCTTTAAACTTGCATCGCACGCTAATTTACTATGAGTGACCTTATTCAGTGCCAACTGTGTTAGAAGATTATGACGCTAAAATAAAATTTCCAAGTTACTTGCAACAACTCCAAGAACAACATTAACCTTTATTTCACCTGTCTAATCACAAGAACTCAAGATGCAATGTAGGAGTGGAAAATGCAGACAGTCGGTGGGAAGGTCACCATTTTGATTTATTCACCAAAATGTAACCAGCAGTCAGTTTTTATTCGCTTCTGTTCGAAGTTCTGTCAATGCGTGTGTACCCATTAAGCCGTTAGGCCTCGTCGTTCATTATCAACGCATTTTAGGTGTCAACGTTTTTGCAATCGAGTTTATCAGTTAATTGGAGATGGAGATCTAACTGTGATATGCACTGTGATACGTACACTGCAACTACTTTTACTGAGAGATAACTGTGATAAGCTGACAGTCCTTATTATCTTTGAGTTTATACGAATACCTCGGCTTGTCCTTTCGATTCAATCCCTGCTCCTTTAGTAGTAGATCCGAGTCCTACTCAGTTGGTTTTCGGAATGTTTCTTTTTTTCACCCCCCCCCCCCCCCCCCCCGACCTTCGCATGACACGCTACAGGCCTCGTGCTGTAATATTTTACAAGATGATCGCTTGAACCAGAGGTGAACTTATCTTTTATTCGTTTGAAAATACTAATTTGTTATGATTGTTAAAGCTCACTGCGTTTACACCAAGAAAAGATCATATTGGGCACTCTTTTGTGCTATGAATTAACGAATTTAGTAGTTGATAGATCGATTGATTAACCTTAGTCGTTGTGTTGAAAAGTCCCTGTAAAACTCTACTAAATTTGAAAATTTGAAGTCACATGAGCTGGCATTAGTGAATTAAAAGTATTCTTTTAGCGGTATAGCGGCCTTTTCAGGTTATTCAATGTCGCCGTTGAGTCTTTGGCTCCAGTATGAGTTATTTATGATATGAAATCTCTCGTGCACTGCTACTCCACGTACTAATCGCCTCGTCCTACTTACAGGGTCACTCAGTGATCCACCTTACAGGGTCACTCGGTGATCCACCTTACAGGGTCACTCAGCGATTCACCTTACATGGTCACTCAGTGATCCACCTTACAGGGTCAACCGGTGATCCATCTTACAAGGTCACTCGGTGATCCACCTTACAGAGTCACCCAGTGATCCACCTTACATGGTCACTCAGTAATCCACCTTACAAGGTCAACCGGTGATCCATCTTACAAGGTCACTCAGTGGTCCACCTTACAGAGTTACCCAGTTATCAACCTTACAGGGTCACTCAATAATCTTAAGTGTGTGCATCTCTCGCTGAGTTGTACCTTTTATTACTCCGTTTGCGTTTTCTTCGCTTCTGTGAACCAGCTAAGTAGAAGTACAAAAGATTGGATGACTATCGTGTGATTTTGGCCTTTGTTCTGGTATTGCACTCGATATGGCATTGCATTATTCTGAGACTCGGAAAACCAGGAACACTTTTAAGAAATAAATATAAGATTATGAACGGTCAATTATGAACTGAGAACGAGATTTAGGGACACAAACGAACTTCAAAGCCACAAACTAACAGTCGTTGTGGTTGTAGTTGGTTGGAACAAAAGGCATTGCTTAAATAATTTTTAGCGTATGGTTTTCTGAGAAGCACATTAGCTATTGTCAGATCGTGAGCTTACTATTGTCAGAAGCACCTATCATTTAGGGCATTCAGGGACCTTTTCAATAGACAGGACGACAAAGCTGAGGAAAACGGATAACAAATGAATAAGGATTTTTTTTTTCAGAATTCCAGAAATGGCTAGGGCTGCTTTCCGTCTCAAACGGCTCTTTACCTCAACTTTGGCATACCATATGTGAACAGCGCTGAGTTCTAGATAGAAACGTAAATAATTATCCTCGGGTTTTGCATTCTCTCGCCATTCTGATTCTGGTGATTTCACTTTGTTGTTTTCCTGAGGACGGCTGATAACTGCAAAATATTTTTAAACACACGTGCTGGGCTATTGTTCTTGCCCTGGTAGTTTTAAGGAAGGAAACTCTTTCCAGATTAATAATTAAATTAGATTAATTTCTATCCGGTGGATAGTGCCGTATGGGTTGTTGGCACCTATATAACTGCTGGATAGTGATTTGTTCATTGAACAGCGTCATCCGCTCTTTGAACAACCAGGCTCTGCTTAGGAACTCTCTTGATCCGCCCACGTTTCTTTTATTCAAGCCCTATTCTTATTTTTTTAAGATCGCTTTCGCATTCATTACGCGATATTTTTCGGTGATACTTTCAACGATTGCCGAGAGCTCCGATTATCCTTTTTAAAAGCGAAGAAACTCCGAAAGTTTGTCATACGTAGAATCAAAAGCATACACAACTGATTCATTTTATCATTAGGGAAATCTAAGCCACGAATACGTCGCATTGAATCGTACGTGGAAAGTATTCTTAGTTCAGAGTTCCTAATTCTTAGCCTTCTCAGGTAAACCGTTCACAGTCCGTTCATTTAAAATATTTGAACTTGTTGGGGTGAATAAATTCAAGCTCTGACTTCCATTAGTCTCTATTAGTTCAGGCGAAGAAAAAGTTTGCTATCGTTCATTCAACGCATAGATCACGTGCAAAAACTAACGATTCAAAGTTAATTGTACAGTGGTTGTGGGTAGTTTGATGCATGGCCGTTTACGTTAACGCTAAAAATTTTTTCATAGGTGCGGCGCTGCCAGTCAGTTTGTGTCGAACACAAGCTTAATTGTCACTGTGTCTCAATGTGACATTTGCAGTATTTTACGCAGGTGTTATTGCCCGCAGCCTTGAAACTCTTAGTTAGTCTCGACGACCATGCTCCAACTCTCCTTGCAGATGCATCTGGGGAACTTTTTCTTGTACCAATCGTCTGTTGTTATCCATCGGACCTGTGGCATTATTTCATTGAACATTTACAGTGTCAGTTACGGGAGAGGTGTTGTTTTGAGGCCCTATTCCATGCTTGCTTGAGGTATGTACCCTAGAAATTCGGCTAGTACGGCATAACATTTTGATCTTCTGCCTGAAACGCTCATTCAGCAGAGCATAAACAAAAGGGTTGATGGCGGAGTTGAACATAAACAATGTGTCAGAAAGAACGTATGAGATTGAGCCAAACAAGAGGATGTCAAGGTAGCTAAGGATGTAAATCAGCAATCCTGTGATCCAACAAGCTCCAAATATGGCACTGACAGTGATTACACTTAACGTTACTCGCTTCCTGACCTTCAGGACTCCCTGGAAAAAAAGAAAAAGGAAGAAAAAATTTGCGAGTGAGGTATGAATGTGTAAATCTACCCAGATCACCAACCAAACGTGGAAAAAAAACTAGCCAGCGCTTGTACTTATCTCGAGGATCAGAAATTCCATTAACCCTTAAACTCCCAAGATCTCATTAATAATTCTCCGTACTGTCTGCCATATAGTATTTGTGATGATAGTTTGTAGAGTTTGGTATTGGATCAACTCCTTATCCCTAAGATAATATTTTTCTTTATTCTCATCACTTGCCTGCTTGATATTGTATTGATACTGTAAGGAGAAATTCTGTATTGGTCTCTTATGGGAGTTAAAGGGTTAACAAATAGATTTCATGGCGCCATGCGCCTCCTCATTATTACATCCAAGAGAATATAAACTCTACATTCTCTTGATAGATCACAAACGGCGTCAAAATGTGTTAAGAACAAAAAAGTGGCTCGTGGCGCAACCGAGTGTATCACTGATGTTCTTACCACATTTTGACGTCCTCTGTGACTTATTACTGTGACTTACTGTCTTCTGTGACATAGAATCTGTTTTTTTCATGTTTGTTTTCATGATAAAAAATTTATTTCATGATAAAAAGCAAAATGTATCAATGGTGTCGTCGTCTACCTTAGGAAAGAACCCGTGGAAATGCGTTTCCCCTGCACTTTAGCTTGTCATATAACAAGTCACAGAACATCCCATCGAATCCTACCTTCTGTTGATGAGCGACTTCATTTTCCTCATTACGTTTGAACCACAACATGTAAACGACCTTTGAATATAAACCAGTCATCACTGTCAGAGGAATTATAGCCAATAGTACAAGCCATACAGAGTCGTATGCTGCACCGATCCACTTTTCAGGCCAAATCCACTTGCAGTCACCGATTGATGAATCAAATCTTGTTGCTAGAAAAAGTGGCATGTTTAAAGCCACTGAGAAGATCCAACACCCAGAAATAATCGCCTAAAACAAAAACGCTTATATTATAATCGATAGAAATACTGTGAGAATGATATAATTAGCAGTAACACCCCTTAGTCCCTTCATCCTAACTAAATTACCCCGCAAACAAAAAGAGGTAAGCTTGTCATTGTTTGGGAGCAGAGAGTATGGAAGATTTTCTTGACCTCAGTTTTTCTACAAAAATTTTCTGACAAGCTCCCGTATCTAATGATTTTCTGCTGATCCTTAACGGCAGTTGAAAGTTACAAAGTAAAAATCATAATTTCCTCACCTTAAGCTTTTTTTTGGTGAGTTTTCCATTACTACCATCAGGACTAGTAACAGTACAGTAGCGCTCAACTGCGATGGCAGTAAGAGTCACGGACGATGAAGCTGCACCGATCCAAGCCACGTTTCCAGCTGTTATTACCAGGCACACAACCAAGCCCGTAGTTCCTTTTGGATGAGTGAAGCTGTCCTCAAAGACATGATTTGGTGCTATGAAGGTGGCAAACATAATGTCTGATACAGCTAAGTTCACAAGTAGGTAATTGAAGGGAGTCCTATGAATTTAAGATCAAACTTATTTCAGTAGATGTCATGACTGACTGTTAGCAATTCACCTCCAAGCAACGCACAAGGGGATTCGCGCCCGAAAATATTGTTAGTAATCGTTGCAGGAATAAATGAGTTACTGAAATCATCTTCCCGTGCTAGTGGCATGTTTACCTCGCCACTTCTCAGTTCGATAAATATCCATCACAAGCTACCTCAACTTTGAGGAATAGTTGTTAATTAGTATATACTAAAACAGAGGATAGCGTCGTAGGCGCGCTCTGATTGGCTACTGAAACTCACAATATCTTTGCCATTCGCCTCCGTTCAACTCGCGCGGGATTTTACCACAAAATAATTTGGGAATCGTTGCAGTAATAATTGAGTTAAAATTGTCTATTTGTGCAATAATATCTCACTATTTTAGTGTATTCTAAAACAACCAGTCGCTTGCCTCTGTGCGTGTGAATCAAATACGTAGACAATAACTTGACGTCTGTTCTGTCGCACTTTGTGATACAATTGTCACGTCACACTATGACTTGAAATTGTCTCACTTAGTAAGAAGAGACCATTTCGAACCATTGCACTTTGTGTTGAAGGAAAGAGAATGAAAATAATGATAATAATGGTAATAATTGTAATCATGACAGTAATGATAATTTGTTCCTTAACGAAGACACCAGCTGCGGTGTTCCGGCTTCAAGATCTTCCTAGGGAAGTACAGTATCAGCTCCATTTATGCGGACGACCTCGTGACCTCAAGATGGTGGAGCGAAAGTCCATAATAATAGCCATTGTATTATGTTATCAGGTTCTATGTGCTAATGAGGTGTCTCTAGGTCGTAACGTGTTCAGTCATGTCACGAAACTGGAGTTCTTCATTTCTCGTGCTATTGAAATTATCTGATTGTTTTGAGTTGGAGTCAAGCAGTCAACTCTCGTCTTAAGGACAAAGACTTTCGCTTTCATGATGGACACTATGTGACGATAGGTTTTCGAGCACTTAACTGGACTTCGCGGGAAACGTACAAAACGGGGGAAATTAACTTAATAGAGACCACTCCGCTTACGAGAACTGAAACTCGTCACGATATCCTAGCACACGGAGATCTACTTCAAGCGAGCTTATACGGACGTCAAGGATAAGACAGCGTTTTGGTTCCACTGCAGACTTTATTCGTAGAGCACTCTAACATATATCGTGCCAGAGTAAAACCTAAGCTAGTAATCGTCACGCGGTCGTCTGTGTAATCGGCACGCCGTCGTGTATCATTCATTAACACTTATATTTACCTAAAATTTCACTAATAATGAACAACAATAGTAACGACATGCAGGTGCATAGTGAAAGCGTGTAACAAGCAAAATCTATTCCAACGGCTACTGTGATATTTTTTTTAATATATTTTTTTCTTTTATTTACTAAAATAAAAGAACTTGAATGAGCTCGAATAAATTGGAAATGGTTAAATGTGAGAAGTTTACGAATAAATGTGTTCCAAACAAACACGCGGAAAAATCAGTATATTTTCTCGTAACAACTATCTTGAGGTCTGGAGATCGTCCGTATAGATACTGTGTATAACTGCACTTACCCAGGAACATCTTGAAGCCGAAACATAGCCGCTGGTGTTTTCACATTATCATTATTTTCATTCTCATCATTATCAACATCCCTATTGTTATTATTATCAATATTATTATAATTATTATCATATACAGAATTAACAGCTATCAATGGATCTACCTGTCCTCTGAACATCTACATCAAGTTTATTTTTAAGAAGCGCGAAGTGTTAAAAGGTGCGACATCTCATTTTAATACAAAGTACGACAGCTTTTTTATTACAAAGTGCCACAGCTTTTTTATTACGAAGTGCGACAGCTTTTTTATTACGAAGTGCGACAGCTTTTTTTATTACAAAATGCGACCATTTCATTATAAAGTGCTACAGAACAACGTCACCTTTAAAAATTCTACCTTATTGAATACGAAAAAGTCAATAAAAATAGACTTGGGTTCACCTCTCTCAAAACCCGCAGTGTTTTTTTTCATGTTTATAACATGAACAGTTATTAAACGACCCAAACTGCGCATAGAACTCATAATATTTTTGTGACTATTTCTTGAAAAAATGAAGAAAAGCGAAGTGAGCGCTTAAAAAACCGGGAGGAAGTACATCAGTCTCGCCTAGACGCACAGCAAACGATATTAGTTAATCAAAGAAGCCGCCTAGTCACGGTGTTTTCTTTGTGCCACTAAATCAGTCCTGGTAGGACAGACACTGCAATTAAAAGATGGTTTTTGTTAACTTCTTTTAATATTGAACATGCATGTCTTCACATTGTTAGAGTTTCTTTCTCAACTTCTTTGTGATTTTGATGAGCTTTCCTCCGTAAGTAACTTTAATTTACGTGTACAGAATTCCCAATGCATGGAATAAGCCGCAGGGGTAGCATTTTATAAAACTCAACCTGAGGTGATTATGCAGTCAAAAGTATCTTGTGGTCATACTTTTCAGAGATACAATTGAGGATGTCTATCTCTCGCTGCGGGAGATCCCGTTGGTAATTTTCCGCCGGAACGATATATGGTGATGATATCACAACTTTCGATCAACGAGAAATGACTATCGTGACATTTCGCAGGAAAGTTATATCGGCAAGATATTGCACGAAAACTTCGATACCACGTCGAATTGTCGTTTTTGACATGTCTCTAAAATGTGCGATAAATCGCCGATCTGCGATATGGCGGAGGAACAAAGCACGAAATATGACGATCTTCGTTTTCTTTACATTTACATAGTTTGATCACAGAAAAACTTGCCATGAACCTCTGAAATTTCATAACCGATTCAAGCATTTTTTACTTGTGGGATTAAAGCGAGAAATATTGCCCTACAAGATTCTTCGCTTGATTTCTTGTATTATTATTGAATCTGTAGCCAATAAGAATACAAAATTTCTTTTATCTTTTGTTACGTGCATAGCCTACGTTTGACAACAAAATTGGCTATTTTATCTTGTCATAGTCAGACTTCAGCGTCAACTCACCTCATATCTTTATTTTTCTTTATAACCAAACAAACCAGACAGTTTCCACTGATGTCCGCTATTATTAGTAGGGCTAACATGGTTGTCACCGCAACGTCGGCTGACTCAGGCATGACAAGAGGCTTGAAAAATAATAAGGTATGTATGCTTTTAGCTAAATAAATAATCGTATTGTTCTGTTCGAAATATGGTTTTTCAATGACATGCCCTTACCCAACTCGTTTGATGTATCGAGGAAACGTCAATGGCTTCTGGGCCTTTTTTTTCCTGAGCAGAGAAATGTAAAGGATTCCATTGAGGCTCTATTTTTGGTTTGCAATTATCTCAGTACTACATTATATCCGCTTCTAAAACTCTCACTTTGAAAAACTCCTAGTTTGTTACGTCCCAGTTTGATAAATCCTTTGTAATTCATGTTTTCAATGAGATGTACTAATTGGAAAGAAAATCATCATGACGAGCTGCGGCAATTTAAAGTTCGGAAGAGTAATTATTAGCCTTGCGAACGTAAAAGGATTTCTGACGTGTTATGGTTGAAATTGTTAGTTCTCCTCTCGTCTTATTTCAGTCGATCAGAACTGAGTAAACGCAGAATCCTGCAACATAGTAATGGTGAACGAGGCTATAATCTGTATTTCGGCTCATTTTGTTCTTTTGTAATAAAGAGAAGACAAACCGTAATGCCTTATTGTTAAATATTGACAGACTTGCTGCCTGTGTTTGTCGCTACCACATACAGCTTAAAATTGGCATGGGTAAAAAATTGCAATAAATTTCACAACACGCCTTACCTTTCGAAACTGTGAAACTTGAATTATTCTGTCAATAGAAACCTTGTGAAGAGATGAAACCAACGACTACAGCGGTGATGGTTAAAATGAACTCGAGAAAAATAGATCTACAGACCAGGTACATCAATAGATAAGGCGTAAGGACACCAACACGATAACAAAACGTTGCCGTTCCGCTGATCAAAAAAGAAAAACATGAACATTATCAGTGCTCAGCTTTAAGAATTTTGCCCTTGTACTTTTGTACAATTTCTTCCGTGCAGTTACCAACTAAACATCCACAGAGATTTCTCTCCATACCAATTTAAACAGCCACACAGCTGAAACTGGCTTTCAAATATTTAACCCAACGAAAGGCGGGATTACCATTAAAATTGGAAAACATATACGAGTTCCGGAAATTGCCCCAGAAATTAAGACACTTATCAAGCTACAGAAAATATTGTGTACTTGGACAAATGAAAAATGACATCCGAGGTCAAAGCGCAAACGCATGAGGACGAAGCATTTATAATTTAATGCTGAATAATTTTAAGTTGAAAGGATAATCCAAGCCTGCTGCTTTCACATTTCCAAACTCGTTCTCGATGGATTTTGAGTCTTGCAACCATTACTGCAGACAATCTGTCATGTTTGTTGTTTACAAATTTTGGTTAAAATATCTGAATTTTCCAAAAATTCTAAAGTAAAGGGGGGGGGGGGGGGGTTTGAGCCATGATGTGACATCGATTTGTGACTAAAAGGGAACAGTTGAAAAGCTCCGTGAATGTGAGCACCTGCTATTTAGAGAAAATAATTATTTAAATACTTCATCCTTTCCGCTTCCTAACTTTCCACTGTGAAACAGCTCCTTGCTTGTTACGCCGCAATTTGATCTATCTTTTGTACTTCATGTTTTGAATGACTTAAATTAGTTGGCTAAAATAATCGTCATGAAAGGCTGTGGCAATTTGCAGGTCTGTAGATGTACTTAATCTTCCTTTCGAGTAAAAAGTAAATCGTGATGTATCATGATAGAATTTTAGATCTATTGAGTTGGCTCCCAGTCTGATTCTTTTGACAAATTTTTTTAACTAAATTTTTCACATGAACACATTTTTTTTAAAAAGATGTGTGAGGAAAATTATTTCAGTTTTTGTCTTGAATATTTGTTTCTTACCTTCTGTGTTAACAGGCATATTACGAAGGGAATTTTTTTCTATCATCTATAGTGCTTACCAGTTTTCACTTGAAAATAATGGTACCAGGGCAGGAGTTCATTGGGCTCCTGTACCTGGTGTCTGAGGCATCAAAATTATTCTAACAATTTCCGACTTCTTGTAAATCGAACAAAGCATGGCTGTTTCATAAAGGCAAATGATTAACCAAATGCAACTTTTTCCTTACTGATATGTTCTATTTTAATATTCTTGTCACCTTTCCTACGTGTCTTCATTTATCTCTGGTGTTTTCAATCAGCTGGTAGCTTGCCGTATAATTAAGGAAATACTCTCCCCGCCTTCTCTGAACAATGCATTATGAACCTGACAAATTCATTATTCAGAAGCAGAAACAGAATGTCAGTAAGTCTGAGGCTCTTTGCTTTGCCACTCAGCTATTCTATTTGTTAAATGCAAATTAAATATCGAAAACTGTTTACATTTTTAACCTTTATCCTGAGAAAAATTCCCCGGCTAAGTATTAACATATGAAAAAAGTGATATATGTAACTTGGATACGTTAATGGAAAGACAGCATCCCTTGGTTTACACTTGTTAGTATAAGAACTAATGCCCCACTTACACCAAGGCCTAAACATGTTTTAAAGCTCTTTTTTTATTATTTTTTTAACATTTCATTCTTTATATAGGCTGCTTAAACCGATCATTGTCGATTGAAAACGAAACACACTGAGAATATAAATTAGTGATTACTTGAATCCTATGAATAATTCAGTATTTCAGTTCTCTCTTTTTGATCTCATGCAGCTAGACCCGGTTTAGATAAACATGTTTTCCTTTTCCATGTGTCAGTGGGGTATAAGTCGGTCAAAATACCTACGCAGTGAACTTAAATGATACCTATTCTTAATTTAAATGGAAGGGCAACCCGCAATCCTGTCCAGTTAAAAAAACAAAACGCTTTGTCATGGTACATGAACTAACTATTTGTTCAGTTTATTTTGAGCTCTTAGAGTAATTAGTGTATTCTTTAAATTTTTAACTGAAGCTCTGACTCCCTCCCCTCGATCTTTTTTAAAAAGAAAAAACCTTATTCGGGGTATCTTTAGTCATTCTTTGCTAATTTTAAGCTCAAAAACATTTAGCTAATACAAAACGGAGATATGTCTTAGAGCTAGCATGTTACAAGAGTTGGTCAGCTCTTTGACCTCATAGTAAGCATGCACCGTCATGATGATTATTTTCAGAAATAACGTAAAGCTAACGTTTTCTCAATTTAAGCCGAATGCAAGCTTTATTTTTAGTCTTGTCCGATTTTATCCCTGAAAGCATATCAGCGCTTCGCCTGATTCCTTCTAAAACCATCTTTGTTTATCCTTGTAACTATTATGTTAATTTTACAACTCATCAGATATTCTGATAACGAAAGATCAAGAAAAACATTTCATAACATGACGTTTCGGCGACATGTCATCATTATCAAATGTAAAATTATTTTAAGTTCAGAGACGTTTTATTAAGTAAGGAAAGTGTGAATCTCCATTACAATAAAATGAGATGGACTAAAACAAAAGAATGTACATAATTAAATGAAAAGTTTCGCTGAGATGGAGTCTGTTTGAATGTTCAGAGTCGGTCTCTTTTTCCTTATTAAAAGCGTTTCATAAATAAGGCGCTCAAACTTTCCGCGGCATTTCTTTAGGATGGCAAATTGCTCGTGAAGATTGTTCGGTCTTTGATTGTATTCGTCCTTAAGATGTTTACCGATAACGGAAAATGCGAAGGTGGAGGTGACAGTTCGTGTAGCCTATATAATCCGCATCACACGAATTACCTTCAAATTCATACACAACGCATTGTTGGTTTATCAGTGAGGGCTTTTTTGTTTCCGTGACTTTTAAACCTTTCGCGATTTTCCTACTGTGAAAACTAGTTGTAGTACACGGTCGATTTTCTTTCCAAGGTCTCCAAGTTGTCTGCGCACGGTGTCGGCAAGGCATTTCAGCGAAACTATTCATTTAATTATGTACATTCTTTTGTTTAACTCTATCTCCTTTAGTCTAATTTTTTTTCACACTTTTCTTACTTTCTATAACATCACTGAAGTTAAAATAATTTTACATTTGGTAATGGTGACATGTCTTCGCCGAAACGTCATGTTTTAATCTCGCTATTTCTCATCATCAGATAACGTCAGACCTGAAACATTTTGTAAAGGGACGTATATCAAACATCACAGCGCCAACACATCCAAACTTTCTTTTAAAAAAATTTTTACAAAAAAAAAGAAGGTGAGAGTCCAAACTCCGTAAAAAATATATATATAGAACTTGTTAAATTAACCACAACATTTGGCTCAAACATAGATTCCGAGATTCCAAAATAACGGGGTAGAAAATTTGGGTGAAAGAAAGCTAAAAGAAATCTAAAAAAAAGCTAAAAACCAACTCTGAAAAACAAAACAACAAAAGCACGCGAAAGTGTCCGGGTCAGTTTTCCAGTATCAAGGTTTAGAGTCATTTAGCGTGATTATCTAATATGGTAAAACTGCGTGCGCCAAGCGTGAATACAAAATGAAGTACTAAAGAGGAAGAGGAAGAGGAAGAAAAATCAAAATTTAAAATAATAACGGAAGAAAATTTCCACATTTCCCTCCTTTTATGTCACCACTCGTTATATTCCTGTGTAATATTACGGGCTTGTGGGAGTCAGTTGGTGTTTCTCCTGTTTTACATGTTGCTTCTCTGTTACTTTTGAGCTCCATTTTAACATGCGACCACTACGTTTACTCTGTGAAAATGCCAAAGTGTTTTCCTTGTTGGAGGTGTTAGTAGTGCGCGCAATGCCAGGCTAGCTTGAATTATATACCCTAGGAGTGCGGTTAGCAGAGCACAATAACCTGAGCTTTTGCCTGAAACGCTCATTCAGCAGTGCATAAATGTAAGGGTTGATAGCAGAGTTGAACATGAACAAAGTGTCAGAAACGACGTATGAGACTGAGCCAAATATGAAGATGTCAAGGTGGCTTAGGATGTAAACCAGCAATCCTGTGATCCAACAAGCTCCAAATATGGCGCTGACAGTGATCATACTCAATGTTACACGCTTCCTCACCTTAAGGACTCCCTGCAAAAAAAAAAAGCAAGAATAAAACTCAAAGTGCGATGACTTACGGGCTGGCAGGATTTTAAGCTCCTGGGAGATCCTCAGGATCAAAACAAACTTTGCCAAACCTACCTAGTTGTCATAACCATTCGGTTGCAGCGATGATGAGCCTTTCCCGGCTGCCTTTAGGATTAATTTCTTGCCTCGCGGTGTAAATCATGTCCAGTTTTGCATTTTAACACGCTGGTGTCAATTAATTACATGCTCACCAAAGAGTAACCTCGCACCTCAGAACAATAACTCTGTTAACTTGCATTAACACGGCAAAGAGTAAAAATTAACATTAGATCCATTTAGCCCAGAGTCCTACCTTCCGTTGAAAGGCGAGTTCATTTTCTTCGTTTCGTTTGAACCACAACATGTAAACAACTTTTGAATATAAACCAGTCATCACTAACAGAGGAATTAGAGCCAAAAGTACCAGCCATATGGTGTCGTACACTGCACCCATCCACTGCTCGTGCCAATTCCACTTACATTTGCCAGATGTTTTATCATAAGTCGTAACCAGGAAGATTGGTATGCTGAAAAGTGCTCCAATGCTCCAACAAGCGGGAATAATCGTCTGAAATAAAGCCGCAGACTGCTGTTAGAAAGCTGCATTCTCATCAAGACTAGGAGCATTTCATTAACTACGTGATTTAGGCACAAACTAGATAGACGAATAGGAAATCAAAACTGTATTTTGATGCTGCTTTGTCACATAAAATTGTGTTGACGCACCTTTACTTTCCGCATGGTTAGTTTTGCATTGCTACTAACAGGACTCGTGACAGTATAGAAGCGTTCAACAGATATGACAACGAGGGTCAAAGCAGACGATGCTACTCCAATCCATGCCACATTACCGCCAGTGAGAACCTTACACAAGACTGATCCAATGGTGTTGTCTGGATGATTGAACGGTTTTTTCAAAACATGATTTGGCGCTATGAAAAGCGCAAACACGATGTCAGAGACCGCCAGGTTGGCCAGTAGGTAGTTGATGGGAGTCCTGCGGAATAGATGCTAATTATGCATTGAAAACACGAGCAGGTAGGTCTTAATTAGTGCACAATGCAGCCGACGACAAGAAAATGTTGCTTCTCAATGCTTGCATGCTTCTCTCAACGTACTTTAGATACGCTTGATGTCAGCAAATCTGATGACGATCCTTACGCACCCAAAAAAGATACTGAAAGCGATCGAGGCACCCGTCCTTGTTTGATTAAATTGTAGTGACATTCAAATATTTTACTATATGGCATGATCCGCACGCGGTTTAGACTGCTGCAAAAATTCGCTGAAACATGGCAAGAACCTTAAAAATACAATACTGCCTCGACACAAGACCATTCAGTCAAGTATGAGGATTTGCTGGCAACTCTCTGCCAGTCTTATAATTAAGAAGGTTTCAAAGTTTGTAGTCAGTTTATCTGGTCTGCCATGGGGTAAGTTATCTTTTTTACTTCTGGTCTTATGAAGAAATTATCGGCTTAAGGCTCGGTTCTCTGAGAGAATTTTTTTAAAGATATTTAACGCACCTCATATCTCTATATTTCTTTATGACGAGACAAACTAGACAGTTACCAATGATGTTCGCAATGATGAGTAGGGCCAGTATCGATGTTACGGCAATTTCAGCTGGTTCGGACATTATTAGAAACTGTCAATGACAAAAGAAATATTTTTACGCCACCTGTCAAACGATTTAACTCGTAATTTCCACGTACCATTTGAAATTTTTGTTCCCATCATTAATTTGGTGTACAATCTTTGACCAAACGCTGTACAATTTTCGGTGTCACTCAAAGTTAAAAATTAGCTGTTTAATATGACAAAAACGACCTTAATTGAACCGCTATCGAAAAGAAACTGTTTTGTCTTTAATTTCATAATAAACAACATCGATAAAGATTCGCAGGATAGGTTAGTAATTGTAAAATTCCCAAAACAACAATAACATGAATGAAAATTGAAAGAGGATTTTTTTAAAACATTTATTCGGCTATTAGAAGGTAATAAACTAATGAAGGTGACATTTTGACGGGCAGCCTCAGAACAGTTGGAGTCACTGCTTATCCGGGCCATTTTCTCTGATGAAAATTTAAATAAATCAAAGTTTTTCTAGAACCATTTCTTTTCTTCTTTTTCTAGATGTCATTTCAGTAACATCTTGTAGTTTAGAAACGATTTTTAACAGATGATTAAAAACAAGAAACTCCGAGCTAAATGGCGTTGAAATGGCGTTCACGGGAAACCCAACTCTCTAAGGAGGTTTTATTTGAGGCGACATGGAAACGGAACGCGACCGTTTCTGATTTAGTCCTTGGGCTTGTCTATAATTTCACTTTATGTAGTCTACAAATACAGGTAAAATATCTCTCTTACGAACTGAAGTAAATGCTGAAGTAATGTCTTATCTCCTTTTCAAACCCTACCTTTTGTCATGCATCAATCCCTTCCTCTTGTGAAAGATGGCAATGCTTATGATAATTAGTCACGTTCCAACGATTACACTGCTTTGAAAACCGAAAAACATCTAATTGTTATGTAATATTCATGAGAGCAGAAGACTCACATTTAATTACCCTTGGACCATCTGGTACCTTATTCTGAAACTATTCATATTGATGTCCGTCAAAAACGATGAAATATTTCTGGCCCACTGTAAGCAATCTCGAAAAAAAAAACTATTTGAAGTTGTTGCGGTTAATGATAAAACAGGAATGCTTTCAAAAGTTCATTTTTTATGAAGCTTTTATGAATAATTCAATTTATATTGGCAAAGGAAATTTTTTGTTTATTTAACTATTTCGTAAGATTGATAGTCGAAGTTTTCTTTCCATGCTCGCAGTAAGCTCTAATACGTCTTTTAGGATTTGACTGTCAATATGGTATTTTTGTTCTTTACCCACGGAACATGTCGTGTTTGGCTGAACTAAGCACCTTAATTAGTAATGATGAGTCGATTACTTTTTTTTAGTTTTCAAATAGTTATTATTAGTTGGAACACCTCGCACGTTTGGTTATGATAATTACAGGGAATAATGGCAGCTAACTAAACACAGTTCAGGATTAATTATGTAAAGAGAAATAAGTGTTTCACGGATTAAAACTAATCTTGAGAACTACAGGAGAACCTTACTGACTATAACCGCCACAATAATTTAAATAGATGGAGTAAGCCAGGGTGGACATAAACTTGAAAACCATAGCTTAAAATTAATATAACAATAATTGATGAGCGAGTTCCATGTTTGATTTTCTCATGTTAATTATTCATTCCTAGACGACAAGTTGTCACGAGTCTTCCCTGGAAAGAACTCTCTGCTTGTTAGAAGCTTTAATATTGCAGTGAAGTATTTAGAGAGATTGTAACAAATCCTTTTAAATGTATGCGACGAGTTCCATCTGCAAGTAACTTAAACCTATAAGTCCAAGGCTAGGCAGACACCGTGCATAGATATTTTAGAATGGGTTAAATCTATAACAATAGTTTGAAATACGGTTACGTTAAAAAAAAAAAACGTGCTACATTAATTTGCGTATGAATTATATCAAGGGAACCATAGCTTAATAGCAAGCTTGGTAATTGTCGTTTACGCATCAAGCATGCGTCTTTAATTTGAGTATTTCTTTCTTATGATGAATGGAAAGTGGAATAAGAGTTTCACGAATTATGCTTATTTAAAAAATCGCATAAATGTTACTTCACGGGAACCCTATTGACTCTAACTCACACAATGATTAAAATACCTGAAGTTCGCGTTGTTGGATATGAATTTTAAGTATCTTGTTAATATTCAGTGATGACTGAGTTTCATGTTTGATATCGTCAAGTTAGTTTAATATTTATATATAGTCTATACATTGTCACGAGTCCCTCTGGAAAGAACCCTTCGCTTGCAAGAATATACCACTGTACACTTCCATTGCAATGAAATGTTTACACTTCATCTTATGAGGTACGCATTTCAAATGCAAGTCTTAATTTCTGTCGTCTATTGACTTCATACTTTTAGGCTTAAATCGTCAACAAATACTTTTGTATGAGTAGCTAAACAGATACATGCACGTGGGTGGTGAACGTCAATGTACTTATCAAGTATCAAGTGAAATTTACTTGAAACCCCTTATTTTCTCTTGCAAGTACATAATGTTCTGAATGGGTAGAGTAGGTATAAATCTACTGTAAAAATGAAATAAAGATAGTGAAAATGTTCTGTTCCAAATTTCGGTTAAATCTAGATCAAGGGAACCATAATTTTGTGATAACCTTAGCACTTTCCGTTGATGATAATTGTCGAGCATGCGCCTTAATATATTACTTTATATATACACGTCATTAAAACGTTTAATCGATATATCCAGCGGCAGTGTTGTTGGTACGGGACGGGTTGTTAGGTAGTTCTATACTTGCACTTTCACTCGAGGTATGAACCCTGGATGTACATTTACTGCAAAACATGGTCTTGATCTTCCTCTTGAAACGCTCATTCAGCAGAGAATAAACAAGAGGATTTACTGCTGAATTAAACATGAACAGAGTGTCTGAAATGGCGTAAGAAGCGTCCCCAAACATGTAGATGTCGTAGTAGCTCAGTACGTAAATAAGAAGGCCAGTAATCCAACAGATTCCAAATATGGCACTGACAGTGATCACACTCATAGTGACTCGTTTCCTAACCTTAAGGACCCCCTAGAAATTAGAAGGAAACAAATTACAAATCCAGTGGTCGATCTTCCTGCGAAAGTTTCTTACCTAAATTATTTAGAAATTTCAACGTGATAGGGTGTGCAGAGTTAATGTTGACGCTGAACGTGAAAGGCATTACTTCTCTCAAATGCTTAATCTCGAACTCCTGCCAGATTTAGATCAATTTTCGTTGAAGTGCATATTTTCATTTTTTTTACCGCGACTCTCGGTGATCTTCCGTACAGTATCCAAATGGAGTGTACTAGCTGATCTCTTGCAATTCCCTGAATGGTCATGTTGGTCTGGTTCTTACCTTCTGACGATAGGCCAGTTCCTGGTCATCATTTCGTTTAAACCATAAACTGTACACAACTCTTGAGTATAATCCTGTCATTATCGCTAAAGGAATACAGGCCAACAGTACAAGCCACGTGGTCTCATTTGCCGCACCCATCCACTGTTCAGGCCAATCCCACTTGCAGTCGCTACTTTCGTCATCGAATGTCGTCACTGAGATCATTGGCGAATTTAAAGCCAGTGCAAAGATCCAACATCCACAAATGATTATCTGAAATGCGTGATAAGCAACGAAAAAAAAACTGTGATAACACAGTTTAGCATTGTAAACTGAGGGTTTTTAGCTGAAATATTTCTTGAAGCAAGTAATTCAACGACTTTAAGGAGAACGTAGGAGATAATAAACTGCAGTTTCATGCTTTTTTACCATTACTGTACGCTTGTTTAGTTTTCTTGTGTTACCTATAGGACACATTACAGTGTAATAACGTTCAACTGCTATTACAACCAAGGTCACAGACGATGAAGCTGCACCCACCCAGGCCATGTTTCCACTCGTTAGAAATTTGCAGATATTTGAACCAATTGCTCCGTCTGGATGGATGAAGAGTTTTTTCAAAATATGGTTTGGTGCCACAAATACCGCGAACGTAATGTCTGATATGGCCAGGTTTACAAGCAGGTAATTGATGGGAGTTCTGTGGGATAAATGTGATAACAAATGATGGAAAAAGTCGTGGATGGTAAAAAAAAAAAAAAGAAAACAACAACAAAACAAAGATAGCATGATAACTGCAGGGTTTTTAAACTATTTTCGAACAGCCTCAACGCACCTCATATCTTGGTTTGTCTTTATGACAAAACAAACCAGACAGTTACCAATGATGTCCGCAATGATGAGTAAGGTGAGAATGATTGTCACGGCAACGTCAGACATTTTGAGAGGCTGTCAAATCTGTAACATGACCTGCTAAAGAAGCAAGTTTTCCAGTAATCACAAACCTAACTTTAAAAAGTTTTTACACCAAGAAAATGCATAAAAATTACTTGACAGTGTCTGTAATGTAGCTTAGTCGACATTGTTAAAAAAAGGATTGATGACGACGTGTACGTGCCCTTGGCGACATATATTCAACTTTGCTCATCAATAGTTCTTACGATTCTCTCGAAGACCACTTCTTTGGCTGACGACTATTCAGAACTTTATAACATTGAAAAATGAATGACTTTGCTCAAGTAAACTTGAGTAGTTTTGAGATTCAACACAGTCCCAGTTCCTTGGCGAATTCCGAACTACATGACAGCTTTTTCTTACCAATTTTCAAAATCGAATTTCAGTGGCCTTTTCATTTATATTTGCATGATTCTACACTAGATTTGATTTTGTTTCTACTCTAAACGAGATTTTAAGCAAATTTTTACCTACTTATAACATCTTTTTCTATGGGCAGAAGTAATTAACAGCTTTTAGAAGAGGATCACCGACTTGGTTCAACAACTGGGCACAACAGCTGAGATGATGACTTGAAAACACATGCTTTCGTAATTGATGGGAAATATATTGTATAAACAGCTTATTCGCCAAAGAATAACCAAGAACAGTGAATATTCTAGCTTGAAAAACATTTCTGCTCCCTGCTTGTGATATGTATTAACATATATATATTAGTTAAATTAAATCTTGCAATGCTTATCAACTTTTATTTTTACCCAGTGAGTTTTATCCAACGATAGGAGATCTCCAAATTTATTGAAAATTTACGTCGACATTTATATTTTGTTGGGAGCAGACCCAGAAATACTTTTTATTAGAGAAAACTCCATTTGCGTATTGCAAAAAGAAAGGAAATTTGTGAGTAATGCTTATGCCAGTGTTTTAAGGAATGATCAAGTTTTATCAGAATATCATGTCGTGCAACTTCGAAAACGATTTAAATTGGAAAAGTCTCAAATCAAATAGTTAAATTCACCGACCTGAACTGTTTGTTTGTGGTCGACAGTTACTCCTTTCATGGTCGTAATTGTTTTCCTGAGGCCGAACAGCTTTAATCAAGTGATAAATTCAGCATCAAACTTCATAGAAGCACTGGTCAAAAACGGTAGCAGCTAATTGAAACATCACTCTCAATTTCACTTTGATGCCCCATAGGCACAATTTTTTTTTAAAGTCATTTTCATGCAAATTGGAAGCAGGTTGTTCAAATTAAGAAAAAAAAACAGCCTGGAAGTAACCGAGTTATATTGGCAAGTGATAGCCGATTAGGTTTCCCGACGGACAGTCCAGCCCTTGGTAAAGGGTTAGACTCCTTAGCCGGCGCCATACATTAACAAACTTTAGATTTGTTTGAAATTCTTGTCACTCCTTTATTTCCTTCATTTAGTAACTAATTTCATGTAAAATTTAAGTCTTCTCTTGATAGTATTCAAAACCAACTACCAGGATAGGATATGAAATGATAGCTTTTTTTGTACTCTCAGACGTTGTCAAAGAATAATGATAATAGGTCTCCCTAGACTGTCCTGACCTGGCGCTTACTTATTTTAGTTGCGATTGAAAATCTTTTCCGTCTTCAATTTTCTACATTTGGTAACAAATTTCGTGTAAGGTATAAGTCTTCTGTCGATAGTATTCAAGACCAACTATTAGGATGGGACATGAAATGATAACATTTTTGTACTCTCAGACGTTGCCAAAGATTAAAATTAATAATGATACAAAAAAGAATCAGTGATTCTGATGTTCAGATGACCATTGTGGAATATGCAATTATTCTTTTTCAACACCGTTTATCATTGAATATTAAGACATGGGAAAATCGTCGTGGGAAATCGCTGTTTCAGGCAGACTGCATAGTGTCGTTACCGAACAATTGAGGCGCATTCCACCTGTGTACGGAGGGAAATGGTAATTATCATATCCTTGGGCCTTCGTTATTTTTCAACTTGTCGACAACATTTTTATAAAAATGAGTAGTCTTTGACAGTTTCTGCTTGTTGAAATAGGTAAATTATGAATGCTGCTAAAATCTGACATCATCTGAAGTAAACGCCATCGTGAATTTTCAAAGAGAATCGAATTTGCCAAAAAAATCATTGCAATGTGGCGTAATACAAACTGTGAAAATTCGGATGCTTTTTGGACACTTCTCGTTCTAATTTCGTCAAAAAGGACGAACGCCTGGGATGCCTTTCTCAGAAAACTTGTCGGTTAAAAAGTTTCTAAGAACGGCAGGTGTGAAGAGGAGTTAGTAACCCTTGGCCTTGTAGGTCTGAAAATCAAAAAAGGTATTTCTAGAGAATTATTTCTATATTTCTGTGATGACAAATAACGCTTAATCGCTATCGTGAATTGAAACTTGTGCTGTCTACTCTGCAATGATGAGGATGTACAAGTCCTTATTTTCGCTTCTTTGCATTTAAACAATCATTGATCAAAATGAAAAAAGTGTCCGACGGCCTACTCAAAAGACTAGCCAGAACCACGTTCACTCGATCGTTTCCCTTATCTATTTTAAGCGATACTTACAGGTAGAAGTGATTGACGCCAATTTCTGATGATGTTTTCAGAAGAAATGTATCTGGGAATTAAGTAAAGAAAATAATGCGAACTAATTATCATATCAAAAATCAGCTTAATTTATACTGTTTGCCTTCAAGTATCGATGCGGGCACCAAATCACAAGAATAATAATAAACTTTGTTATGTATCGGTGCGTTTTACAATCTCGTCCGTCTGACACAACAGTATTGAAAAACAATCGAAAACTTTAATTGTTGTGACTTGGTTGACGGGTTGCGAAATGTAAATTAGACCGAAGTTTGCTACAAAAAGACCAGAGAATCAATTGCAAACAAAATTACTCCAGCGATCTATGTTATTTGAACAGATCCTTTTTTCAACACCTATAAGGCTGAACTTACCTGAATTAGTTGTCTTGACTGCAATTCGTTTGTTTGCTCTGCATTAACTGATACCAACGTGCTAGTTAATCAGGCGATAACTCGAGAGTGGCCAAAAGGTTCACAATTTGATAAAACAATTTTTGTCCTAATATTTGAGGTAGCACATTTAATTAAAAAAGAAAAAACCTATAGAAGCTATCTGATCTACAAAACACAAACATTTATCCTAGTTAACCCTATAGAGAGTTAAAAGAAGAGATGGCTTGATCGCTTAACGATGAAGTACCTGCATCTCGGTTTCTAGCGTTCACTCTTAACAATTTCTTTTTTTTTTCCCTTTAAAATTATTGGAGCTCACCTTTTAATTTAGATTACTTTGAAAACTTGGCGAATAATATTGGGTGCACCTGAATAATAATTAAGGTCGCTTGTTTTTTTCCATGTTGTAATATTCACTTTTATATTATAGCCATTATCCTACATACACGCAATTAAGCATTCCTGAAAGAACGATTCATTGTAATGGATGCAAGCGGATGTTTCAGCTCGCAGTGTGAATATTGGATCTCTCAACGTCACTTTGTTTAAGTTCCGAATTAAAAAATAAAATAACTAAGCTCGCTTTGGTTATCATGAAAATTGCATAAATGATAAACAAACACTTGGCGGATGTCCGCTGCCAATCTGTTTAGACTCCACAGATAATATGCTTTAGGAAGCGAAAGCGAAGGTTTTAATTCTGAGATCGCCTCAGAGAGCCTAGTTGAGCCCCTAAAGGTTTTATTCTATTTTAATTTGAAATTCTTTTATAATGAGTAAATCTGATAACAATTTCACCAAGAGGCAAATAAGATGATAATTAATATATGTTTTGAAAAACGTTTCCTGGTGAAAATAACACAGATATGCAGCCATTGAATGCGTTAAAACCGATAGCCTTACAAGACAACCAATAAGGAAACTATCTTCATTTACAGTTCTTTTGTATCATGGAAGAAAGAAATCCAAAGTGATTTCACGGTATATCCCTCTTTTATAGCCTCCGATGCTCATTTCAAGATTATGATCAGGGTGATACTAGTGTTTTGTTCTAACTTTTGCTGTTTATCAAATATTTTTTTCATTCAGCCAGGATGAGGATCCCTTTAAGAACTTAAGAGCATGTCGTTCTCTAAGTAAATATACTTATCATTAGCGCCATAGTCATAGGTCTACAATTATGCACCTGTCGCTGAGATCTTGTCAACCTACTTTCTTATAAGCTTGGTGATAATGAATACGAAAGCAAGGAACCTGTCATTCTAATGGATAAAGATGCATATGAGTTGTACCGGAAAGTAGATGGGATTTACTAAGAATTTATCTTAAACGAATATCAATTATGATTTTCACTTTTTTCACTAGGTCTCCTATTTTCTGTGTGAGATTTGAAATGGTACACATAAAAACAATTCATAGCTTCTAATCCAGTAAATCGCTATAATGAATCAAGGGATTTCAATTTAAAAATGGCTTTCATGTCTGAAGTTTCTGTCGCTGTGTTTGAACAAATGACGTGCAAATGATGACTAAGGGTGAATCATTTTTTCGCCATCAGCATGCGCCATCGTGAGATTTTTATTTTGAAAGTGTGATAGAAATTTCTTTTTTTACAATAGTGCTACTAATTTGATTGGCAGAGAGAACCCAGCAAAGAAAAAACACTAGCAGGTTATTTTATTGTGTCGGTCGACTGATAACAATCATAAGATAATGTAAAGCGAGTCTTTTCAGTTTTTGAGGAACTGAATTTAGATAAAACTATTTAGCACGAAAAAGCACCGTTTTTGAAACTTGAGTGTAGAGTCAAATATACTACAGGCTATAAGTTTTATTTCGCAAACATGACAAACAAGAACAGAACAAAAAAGGTAATGAGCAATTTCTCTGAGACATGCGATATAAAACTACCGACAAAATATATCGACGCAAATGTTTTTTACTTGACGCACAAAAAACTCACTAACCTGACTTTTCCCATCCAACAGGCGGTCTTCGGCGTCTTCGGAAAATGAAATCTGATGAAATTAGGCGTAGTTCGTAACAAGATAAATTGGTAATTTTGCAATATCTGAGGGAAAAAAAATTTGCTACACCATGAAATGAATGAAAACCTAACGGATTAGCATAGCGACGATAGTTTAAACCTACATGCAACTGACACCAATGTTATTGGCGAAACCTCATTACATTTACGCTGCATCAGTTGCGTTTCTGCCTTTGTAGAAAGAGATTGTAGGAGTGAAATTTATAATAAATTGACAGAATCGTCGATGGCTGAGAATAATGTGATGTGACCTAGTCTCCTGCAATTTTTCTCTTTAATTTATTCTTTAGTTTGGGTTTTTTTAATTGATTGACAATTTCTAAATGAAATTGAATTAGTGTGATTAATTTTGCAATTTTGCCATGTTTTATTGTTTTCTTGAAATAAATCTTTGTCTTTCAAAGATGGATATAAAAAGTAGGCGTTCGAAATGGCATGCAAAAAACGAATTTATAATTAAATAAATTCAATTATTGCTTCACTCGAGTGCTACGAGGGCACTCAATTGCTAAAACTCAGGAACTGAGGTAATCTAAGAAATATTGTTGTTTTCAGTTTCATCGTTATTTTACACACACTGGATTACGACGACAGTATGTTTTATTTATATGGTACTATGATGGCCGATTCTGCCCATTTAGTGAATTAAGCGTTTAAACTAGTGGACGCTAAAATGCTTTTTGTATTGATGGACATGCGGGCGTCGAATTTCTCATATATATTGCAAGTTTTTTAGTTAAGTCAAATCCTTGATCAGTTAGTCAAGTGTCCATGGGCTACTTCCTTACTGACTAAAATAAACCCCTAGCAAACTAACTGAGAATACTAAAAAAAAAATAAAATTTTCTGCGTTAACAACAGCAGTGCTTTTTTTTTTTTTTTTATCTATACAGCATTGAGGTAACCATTCCTTTCGATCCTAAACTCGCTGGAGTGTAAGCAAGTGGTAGATAAAATGTTTTTTTCTTTTACTGGATTTTTCTTTTCCTATATCTAAATATTTCTAAAAACTCCAAGAAAATTGTTCGAGTCCAGAAAATTTCCGCTCTTTAATTCATTCCTCACAGTTGAGTCAAATTACTGCTGAACCGTTTTTCGGATTTGGCTATCGATAGTGTTGAATTTGTGCATGCTCCTGAAGAATTAGTCGCGTGCGGAGAGTTTTTAGGAAGTGCAGCTTCACCAGGTTCGCTAAGGGTGAGATCCTCGTTGGCAGGAAAGGATAAGCAACACATCATTCCCTTCAGCTTCTGTCTGAAACGTTGGTTGAGCAGCGAGTAAACAAACGGGTTGACAGCAGAATTGAACATAAACAAGGTGTCAGCAATGACGTACGAAGCCGAGCCAAACATGAAGATGTCGTAGTTAGCTATATTTGCTAATCCGTGTAGTACAGTCAACTTTTTTCACCAAAGAATTCATTCATCGAATAAATTATCCGATAATGAGAAATTTCCCCGCACTGAAGTACTAAACTTCACTCATTGTTTTTCTCAGTAGGCACTACAATGTGTGGCATAGAAAAAAAAGGAACAATCAGCAGGGGTTTTTAGGACCTTCTCCGATTCCGGCTCTTATCCGGTTTTTATGGCGAAATCAAGCCAGTAAATAGACTTGAGACGCGGTGAATATCAGATTTTTGAGCATCGCCAAGCTTTGGTTTTATCCGTAGCAAGATCTGTTGTATTCTTTTACCTGCTGTAGTACTAGCCAATAAGAAAATTCCCAGAGATGTTTATGAAATCAAGAGAAATGCCAGAACAACCTTCACAAAATGGAAAGCGAGTCTGTCTTCAATGTAATTTTGGTTATAAATTAGCTTATGACCAAAGGTTTGTTGACTTTTTATTATAAATTGTCTGAAGTTGCTAATAAAAGCTGGACATACCTCATTTCAGAATTCCTTGTTATGATGATACAAACAAGAGAGTTACCGATGATGTCCACAACGATGAGGAGGGTTAATATCGTTGTCACGGCAATGTGAACAGACATGATAGAAAGTCACACAGGCTAGTGAACTCCTTTTGAGGGAGAAGGAGTTGGTAAGTCTATGAATCTCTACTTACACAAAACAACCCTATACGAATCTCTCTTGGAATTCCCGATGCAACTGATCATTCAAGGTCTGGAATGAAGGACAAAAATTGCAACCGACCCCCAAAATCTGCAAACCAACAAAACCACTTTCTTTTTTTATCGATCTTCAATTGTTAAAAAATAACTGACTCTTCTAAGGTTAAATTCAACATTTTTAACGTTTCGAAGAGACTACAAGATGGCCATCTGCGTCAATGTACTTATCAAGTATCAAGTGAAATTTACTTGAAACCTCTTATTCTCTCTTGCAAGTACATAATGTTCTGAATGGGTAGAGTAGGTATAAATCTACTATAAAAATGCAATAAAGATAGTGAAAATGTTCTGTTCCAAAATTCGGTTAAATCTAGATCAAGGGAACCATAATTTTGTGATAACCTTAGCACTTTCCGTTCATGATAATTGTCAAGCATGCGCCTTAATATATTACTTTATATATACACGTCATTAAAACGTTTAATCGATATATCCAGCGGCAGTGTTGTTGGTACGGGACGGGTTGTTAGGTAGTTCTATACTTGCACTTTCACTCGAGGTATGAACCCTGGATGTACATTTACTGCAAAACATGGTCTTGATCTTCCTCTTGAAACGCTCATTCAGCAGAGAATAAACAAGAGGATTTACTGCTGAATTAAACATGAACAGAGTGTCTGAAATGGCGTAAGAAGCGTCCCCAAACATGTAGATGTCGTAGTAGCTCAGTACGTAAATAAGAAGGCCAGTAAACCAACAGATTCCAAATATGGCACTGACAGTGATCACACTCAAAGTGACTCGTTTCCTAACCTTAAGGACCCCCTAGAAATTAGAAGAAAACAAATTACAAATCCAGTGGTCGATCTTCCTACAAAAGTTTCTTACCTGAATTATTTAGAAATTTCAACGTGATAGGGTGTGCAGAGTTAATGTTGACGCTGAACGTGAAAGGCATTATTTCTCTCAAATGCTTAATCGCATAGGAACTCGAACTCCTGCCAGATTTAGATCAATTTTCGTTGAAGTGCATATTTTCATTTTTTTTTACCGCGACTCTCGGTGATCTTCCGTACAGTATCCCAAATGGAGTGTACTAGCTGATCTCTTGCAATTCCCTGAATGGTCATGTTGGTCTGGTTCTTACCTTCTGACGATAGGCGAGTTCCTGGTCATCATTTCGTTTAAACCATAAACTGTACACAACTCTTGAGTATAATCCTGTCATTATCGTTAAAGGAATACAGGCCAACAGTACAAGCCACGTGGTCTCATTTGCCGCACCCATCCACTGTTCAGGCCAATCCCACTTGCAGTCGCTACTTTCGTCATCGAATGTCGTCACTGAGATCATTGGCGAATTTAAAGCCAGTGCAAAGATCCAACATCCACAAATGATTATCTGAAATGCGTGATAAGCAACGAAAAAAAACTGTAATAATACAGTTTAGCATTGTAAACTGAGGGTTTTTAGCTGAAATATTTCTTGAAGCAAGTAATTCAATGACTTTAAGGAGAACGAAGGAGATAATAAACTGCAGTTTCATGCTTCCTTACCTTTACTGTACGCTTGTTTAGTTTTCTTGTGTTACTTATAGGACACATTACAGTGTAATAACGTTCAACTGCTATTACAACCAAGGTCACAGACGATGAAGCTGCACCCACCCAGGCCATGTTTCCACTCGTTAGAAATTTGCAGATATTTGAACCAATTGCTCCGTCTGGATGGATGAAGAGTTTTTTCAAAATATGGTTTGGTGCCACAAATACTGCGAACGTAATGTCTGATATGGCCAGGTTTACAAGCAGGTAATTGATGGGAGTTCTGTGACAACAAAACAAAACAAACAAAGGAATTAAAAAGATAGCATGATAACTGCAGGATTTTTAAACTATTTTCGAACAGGCTCAACGCACCTCATATCTTGGTTTGTCTTTATGACAAAACAAACCAGAAAGTTACCAGTGATGTCCGCGATGATGAGTAAGGTGAGAATGATTGTCACGGCAACGTCAGACATTTTGAGAGGCTGTCAAATCTGTAACATGACCTGCTGGAGAAGCAAGTAATCACAAACCCAACTTTAAAAAGTTTTCATACCAAGAAAATGCATAAAAATTACTTGACAGTGTCTGTAATGTAGCTTAGTCGACAGTGTTAAAAAGAGGTTTGGTGACGACGTGTACGTGCCCCTGGCGACATATATTCAACTTTGCTCATCAATAGTTCTTACGATTCTCTCGAAGACCACTTCTTTGGCTGACGACTATTCAGAACTTTATAACATTGAAAAATGAATGACTTTGCTCAAGTAAACTTGAGTAGTTTTGAGATTCAACACAGTCCTGGTTCCTTGGCGAAAAATCGAATTTCAGTGGCCTTTTCATTTATATTTGCATGATTCTACACTAGATTTGATGTTGTTTCTACCCTAAACGAGATTTTAAGCAAATTTTTACCTACTTATAACATCTTTTTCTATGGGCAGAAGTAATTAACAGCTTTTAGAAGAGGATCACCGACTTGGTTCAACAACTGGGCACAACAGCTGAGATGATGACTTGAAAACACATGCTTTCATAATTGATGCGAAAGATATTGTATAAACAGCTTATTCGCCAAAGAATAACCAAGAACAGTGAATATTCTAGCTTGAAAAACATTTCTGCTCCCTGCCTGTGATATGCATTAACATATATTAGTTAAATTAGTTTACACACATTTCTCTTACACGATTTCGTTTGTTTTAATGTAAATATCTTATCTTTGCTGCAGCACGGTGACTCAAGGCTGTGGTACCGTCTTGTTCTCTTGCAATGCTTATCAACTTTTATTTTTACCCTGTGAGTTTTATCCAACGATAGGAGATCTCCAAATTTATTGAAAATTTACGTCGACATTTATATTTTGTTGGGAGCAGACCCAGAAATACTTTTTATTAGAGAAAACTCCATTTGCGTATTGCAAAAAGAAAGGAAGTTTGTGAGTAATGCTTATGCCAGTGTTTTAGGGAATGATCAAGTTTTATCAGAATATCATGTCGTGCAACTTCGAAAACGATTTAAATTGGAAAAGTCTCAAATCAAATAGTTAAGATTCACCGACCTGAACTGTTTGTTTGTGGTCGACAGTTACTCCTTTCATGCGTTGTAATTGTTTTCCTGAGGCCGAACAGCTTTAATCAAGTGATAAATTCAGCATCAAACTTCATAGAAGCACTGATCAAAAACGGTAGCAGCTAATTGAAACATCACTCTCAATTTCACTTTGACGCCCCATAGGCACAATTTGTTTTAAAAGTCATTTTCATGCAAATTGGAAGCAGGTTGTTCAAATTAAGATAAAAAAAACAGCCTGGAAGTAACCGAGTTATATTGTCAAGTGATAGCCGATTAGGTTTCCCGACGGACAGTCCAGCCCTTGGTAAAGGGTTAGACTCCTTAGCCGGCGCCATACATTAACAAACTTTAGATTTGTTTGAAATTCTTGTCACTCCTTTATTTCCTTCATTTAGTAACTAATTCCATGTAAAATTTAAGTCTTATCTTGATAGTATTCAAAACCAACTACCAGGATAGGATATGAAATGATAGCTTTTTTTGTACTCTCAGACGTTGTCAAAGAATAATGATAATAGGTCTCCCTAGACTGTCCTGACCTGGCGCTTACTTATTTTAGTTGCGATTGAAAATCTTTTCCCTCTTCAATTTTCTACATTTGGTAACAAATTTCGTGTAAGGTATAAGTCTTCTGTCGATAGTATTCAAGACCAACTATCAGGATGGGACATGAAATGATAGCATTTTTGTACTCTCAGACGTTGCCAAAGATTAAAATTAATAATGATACAAAAAAGAATCAGTGATTCTGATGTTCAGATGACCATTGTGGAATATGCAATTATTCTTTTTCAACACCGTTTATCATTGAATATTAAGACATGGGAAAATCGTCGTGGGAAATCGCTGTTTCAGGCAGACTGCATATTGTCGTTACCGAACAATTGAGGCGCATTCCACCTGTGCACGGAGGGAAATGGTAATTATCATATCCTTGGGCCTTCGTTATTTTTCAACTTGTTGACAACATTTTTATAAAAATGAGTAGTCTTTGACAGTTTCTGCTTGTTGAAATAGATAAATTATGAATGCTGCTAAAATCTGACATCATCTGAAGTAAACGCCATCGTGAATTTTCAAAGAGAATCGAATTTGCCAAAAAAATCATTGCAATGTGGCGTAATACAAACTGTGAAAATTCGGATGCTTTTTGGACACTTCTCGTTCTAATTTCGTCAAAAAGGACGAACGCCTGGGATGCCTTTCTCAGAAAACTTGTCGGTTAAAAAGTTTCTAAGAACGGCAGGTGTGAAGAGGAGTTAGTAACCCTTGGCCTTGTAGGTCTGAAAATCAAAAAAGGTATTTCTAGAGAATTATTTCTATATTTCTGTGTTGACAAATAACGCTTAATCGCTATCGTGAATTGAAACTTGTGCTGTCTACTCTGCAATGATGAGGATGTACAAGTCCTTATTTTCGCTTCTTTGCATTTAAACAATCATTGATCAAAATGAAAAAAGTGTCCGACGGCCTTCTCAAAAGACTAGCCAGAACCACGTTCACTCGATCGTTTCCCTTATCTATTTTAAGCGATACTTACAGGTAGAAGTGATTGACGCCAATTTCTGATGATGTCTTCAGAAGAAATGTATCCGAGAATTAAGTAAAGAAAATAATGCGAACTAATTATCATATCAAAAATCAGCTTAATTTATACTGTTTGCCTTCAAGTATCGATGCCGGCATCAAATCACAAGAATAATAATAAACTTTGTTATGTATCGGTACGTTTTACAATCTGGTCCGTCTGACACAACAGTATTGAAAAACAATCGAAAACTTTCATTGTTGTGACTTGGTTGACGGGTTGCGAAATGTAAATTAGACCGAAGTTTGCTACAAAAAGACCAGAGAATCAATTTCAAACAAAATTACTCCAGCGATCTATGTTATTTGAACAGATCCTTTTTTCAACACCTATAAGGCTGAACTTACCTGAATTAGTTGTCTTGACTGCAATTCGTTTGTTTGCTCTGCATTAACTGATACCAACGTGCTAGTTAATCAGGCGATAACTCGAGAGTGGCCAAAAGGTTCACAATTTGATAAAACAATTTTTGTCCTAATATTTGAGGTAGCACATTTAATTAAAAAAGAAAAAACCTATAGAAGCTATCTGATCTAAAAAACACAAACATTTATCCTAGTTAAACCTATAGAGAGTTAAAAGAAGAGATGGCTTGATCGCTTAACGATGAAGTACCTGCATCTCGGTTTCTAGCGTTCACTCTTAACAATTTCTTTTTTTTTTCCTTTTAAATTATTGGAGCTCACCTTTTAATTTAGATTACTTTGAAAACTTGGCGAATAATATTGGGTGCACCTGAATAATAATTAAGGTCGCTTGTTTTTTTCCATGTTGTAATATTCACTTTTATATTATAGCCATTATCCTACATACACGCAATTAAGCATTCCTGAAAGAACGATTCATTGTAATGGATGCAAACGGATGTTTCAGCTCGCAGTGTGAATATTGGATCTCTCAACGTCACTTTGTTTAAGTTCCGAATTAAAAAATAAAATAACTAAGCTCGCTTTGGTTATCATGAAAATTGCATAAATGATAAACAAACACTTGGCGGATGTCCGCTGCCAATCTGTTTAGACTCCACAGATAATATGCTTTAGGAAGCGAAAGCGAAGGTTTTAATTCTGAGATCGCCTCAGAGAGCCTAGTTGAGCCCCTAAAGGTTTTATTCTATTTTAATTTGAAAATTCTTTTATAATGAGTAAATCTGATAACAATTTCACCAAGAGGCAAATAAGATGATAATTAATATATGTTTTGAAAAACGTTTCCTGGTGAAAATAACACAGATATGCAGCCATTGAATGCGTTAAAACCGATAGCCTTACAAGACAACCAATAAGGAAACTATCTTCATTTACAGTTCTTTTGTATCATGGAAGAAAGAAATCCAAAGTGATTTCACGGTATATCCCTCTTTTATAGCCTCCGATGCTCATTCCAAGATTATGATCAGGGTGATACTAGTGTTTTGTTCTAACTTTTGCTGTTTATCAAATATTTTTTTCATTCAGCCAGGATGAGGATCCCTTTAAGAACTTAAGAGCATGTCGTTCTCTAAGTAAATATACTTATCATTAGCGCCTTAGTCATAGGTCTACAATTATGCACCTGTCGCTGAGATCTTGTCAACCTACTTTCTTATAAGCTTGGTGATAATGAATACGAAAGCAAGGAACCTGTCATTCTAATGGATAAAGATGCATATGAGTTGTACCGGAAAGTAGATGGGATTTACTAAGAATTTATCTTAAACGAATATCAATTATGATTTTCACTTTTTTCACTAGGTCTCCTATTTTCTGTGTGAGATTTGAAATGGTACACATAAAAACAATTCATAGCTTCTAATCCAGTAAATCGCTATAATGAATCAAGGGATTTCAATTTAAAAATGGCTTTCATGTCTGAAGTTTCTGTCGCAGTGTTTGAACAAATGACGTGCAAATGATGACTAAGGGTGAATCATTTTTTCGCCATCAGCATACGCCATCGTGAGATTTTTATTTTGAAAGTGTGATAGAAATTTCTTTTTTTACAATAGTGCTACTAATTTGATTGGCAGAGAGAACCCAGCAAAGAAAAAACACTAGCAGGTTATTTTATTGTGTCGGTCGACTGATAACAATCATAAGATAATGTAAAGCGAGTCTTTTCAGTTTTTGAGGAACTGAACTTAGATAAAACGATTTAGCACGAAAAAGCACCGTTTTTGAAACTCGAGTTTAGAGTCAAATATAATACAGGCTATAAGTTTTATTTCGCAAACATGACAAACAAGAACAGAACAAAAAAGGTAATGAGCAATTTCTCTGAGACATGCGATATAAAACTACCGACAAAATATATGGACGCAAATGTTTTTTACTTGACGCACAAAAAACTCACTAACCTGACTTTTCCCATCCAACAGGCGGTCTTCGGCGATGGAAAATGAAATCTGATGAAATTAGGCGTAGTTCGTAACAAGATAAATTGGTAATTTTGCAATATCTGAGGGAAAAAAATTTGCTACACCATGAAATGAATGAAAACCTAACGGATTAGCATAGCGACGATAGTTTAAACCTACATGCAACTGACACCAATGTTATTGGCGAAACCTCATTACATTTACGCTGCATCAGTTGCGTCTCTGCCTTTGTAGAAAGAGATTGTAGGCGTGAAATTTATAATAAATTGACAGAATCGTCGATGGCTGAGAATAATGCGATGTGACCTAGTCTCCTGCAATTTTTTTCTTTAATTTATTCTTTAGTTTGGGTTTTTTTAATTGATTGACAATTTCTCAATGAAATTGAATTAGTGTGATTAATTTTGAAATTTTGCCATGTTTTATTGTTTTCTTGAAATAAATCTTTGTCTTTTAAAGATGGATAGAAAAAGTAGGCGTTCGAAATGGCACGCACACAACGAATTTATAATTAAATTAATTCAATTATTGCTTCACTCAAGTGCTACGAGGGCACTCAATTGCTAAAACCCAGGAACTGAGATAATCTAAGAAATATTGTAGTTTTCAGTTTCATATTTATTTCACACACACTGGATTACGACGACAGTATGTTTTATTTACATGGTACTATGATGGCCGATTCTGCCCATTTAGTGAATTAAGCGTTTAAACTAGTGGACGCTAAAATGCTTTTTGTATTGATGGACATTCGGGCGTCCAATTTCTCATATATATTGCAAGTTTTTTAGTTAAGTCAAATCCTTAATCAGTTAGTCAGGTGTCCATGGGCTACTTCCTTACTGACTAAAATAAACCCCTAGCAAGCTAACTGAGAATGCTAAAAAAAAATAAAATTTTCCGCGTTAACAACAGCAGTGCTTTTTTTTTTTTTATCTATACAGCATTGAGGTAACCATTCCTTTCGATCCTAAACTCGCTGGAGTGTAAGCAAGTGGTAGATAAAATGTTTTTTTCTTTTACTGGATTTTCTTTTCCCATATCTAAATATTTGTAAAAACTCCAAGAAAATTGTTCGAGTCCAGAAAATTTCCGCTCTTTAATTTATTCTCACAGTTGAGTCAAATTACTGATGAACCGTTTTTCGGATTTGGTTATCGATAGTGTTGAACTTGTGCATGCTCCTGAAGAATTAGTCGCGTGCGGAGAGTTTTTAGGAAGTGCAGCTTCACCAGGTTCGCTTAGGGTGAGATCCTCGTTGGCAGGAAAGGATAAGCAACACATCATTCCCTTCAGCTTCTGTCTGAAACGTTGATTGAGCAGCGAGTAAACAAACGGGTTGACAGCAGAATTGAACATAAACAAGGTGTCAGCAATGACGTACGAAGCCGAGCCAAACATGAAGATGTCGTAGTAACTCAAAACGTAAATCAATAAGCCAGTGATCCAACAGATTCCAAAGATGGCACTGACTGTGATCACACTCAAGGTGGCTCGTTTCCTCACCTTCAGTACTCCCTGAAAGTCAAAAATGGGGATTTAAGTGCTGGAGAAACAATGCTTCTCCACGGTTTTGAAAGAGATTCTTAAGGCTTATAATGTTCACGATTTCACTGAGCTACTGTAACTGACTTCGCGCTAACAGCAACTCCATTTCCCATAATTGTTCGCAGCTTATTACAGGTTACTGGATGGCTTCAAACTTCATGAAGAAAGATAGCAAAATGAATTAAAATTTTGGGACGTTTTACCCACCTCCCTTTTACTATTTACCTTTTGTCGACACGCTGATCTATTTTCCTCATTTCGCTGAAACCACAATTTATACATAACCCTTGAGTATAACCCTGTCATTATTGTTAAAGGAATACAGGCCAACAGTACAAGCCACGTGGTCTCATTTGCTGCACCCATCCACTGCTCAGGCCAATCCCACTTGCAGTCGCCGGTTGTTTCGTCGAATATCGTCACCGAAATCAATGGCGAGTTTAAAGTCACCGCAAAGATCCAACATCCAAAAATGATTACCTGAATTGAGAGAACGCTACTTCTGTCTGAAATTCATGTTTTAACCATACTCTGTAGTTATTAAATGAAATTATTTGTCTGATCAAATTCAAGTGAAATAGGAGAAAAGGCAATTTCTGAACAAGCTTTCTGTGGGGTATTAAACGATTCCGTTTGGAACAACGATAACTAACTTCTGAATGTTTTTCAGTGACACCCAGACAGACGATTTCTAGTCTGAATTCTTAACTAACCTTCACTTTCTGTTTGGTAAGTTTTCTTTGGGTACCAATGGGACACGCCACTGCAAAGTAACGTTCAACTGCTATAGCAACCAGAGTTACAGCCGAAGCCACCGCTCCTATCCATGCTACATTTCCATAAGTGAGCACTTTACATAACGTTGAGCCAACAGTTCCTTTCGGGTGGGTAAAGGCTCTTTTCAGGATATGATTTGGAGCTTGAAAACTAGCGAACATGATGTCTGAAATCGCGAGGTTTGCAAGGAGGTAATTCATGGGAGTCCTATGGAATATATTTGTTATTAGTACATCATTCTCCTTTCATACTGAATTTTTTCGGGTAAAACGCTTTTCAGTTTGTTTGTTTCTTTCGTTTTCATAGGCACACGAGGAGATTGGACCTGGAGAGACGGAATGCAGTTAGCTATATTTGCTAATCCGTGTAGTGCAGTCAACTTTTTTCACCAAAGAATTCATTCATCGAATAAATTATCCGATAAAGAGAAATTTCCCCGCACTGAAGTACCAAACTTCACTCATTGTTTTTCTCAGTAGGCACTACAATGTGTGGCATAGAAAAAAAGGAACAATCAGCAAGGGTTTTTAGGACCTCAGCTTATGCCTTCTTCTCCGATTCCGGCTCTTATCCGGTTTTTATGGCGAAATCAAGGCAGCAAATAGACTTGAGACGCGGTGAATATCAGATTTTTGAGCATCGCCAAGCTAAGGTTTTATCCGTAGCAAGATCTGTTGTATTCTTTTACCTGCTGTAGTACTAGCCAATAAAAAAATTCCCAGGGATGTTTATGAAATCAAGAGAAATGCTAGAACAAACTTCACAAAATGGAGAACGAGTCTGTCTTCAATGTAATTTTGGTTATAAATTAGCTTATGACCAAAGGTTTGTTGACTTTTTATTATAAATTGTCTGAAGTTGCTAATAAAAGCTGGACATACCTCATTTCAGAATTCCTTGTTATGATGATACAAACAAGAGAGTTACCGATGATGTCCACAACGATGAGGAGGGTTAATATCGTTGTCACGGCAATGTGAACAGACATGATAGAAAGTCACACAGGCTAGTGAACTCCTTTTGAGGGAGAAGGAGTTGGTAAGTCTATGAATCTCTACTTACACAAAACAACCCTATACGAATCTCTCTTGGAATTCCCGATTCAACTGATCATTCAAGGTCTGGAATGAAGGACAAAAATTGCAACCGACCCCCAAAATCTGCAAACCAACAAAACCACTTTCTTTTTTTATCGATCTTCAATTGTTAAAAAATAACTGACTCTTCTAAGGTTAAATTCAACATTTTTAACGTTTCGAAGAGACTACAAGATGGCCATCTGCGTCAATGTACTTATCAAGTATCAAGTGAAATTTACTTGAAACCTCTTATTCTCTCTTGCAAGTACATAATGTTCTGAATGGGTAGAGTAGGTATAAATCTACTATAAAAATGCAATAAAGATAGTGAAAATGTTCTGTTCCAAAATTCGGTTAAATCTACATCAAGGGAACCATAATTTTGTGATAACCTTAGCACTTTCCGTTCATGATAATTGTCGAGCATGCGCCTTAATATATTACTTTATATATACACGTCATTAAAACGTTTAATCGATATATCCAGCGGCAGTGTTGTTGGTACGGGACGGGTTGTTAGGTAGTTCTATACTTGCACTTTCACTCGAGGTATGAACCCTGGATGTACATTTACTGCAAAACATGGTCTTGATCTTCCTCTTGAAACGCTCATTCAGCAGAGAATAAACAAGAGGATTTACTGCTGAATTAAACATGAACAGAGTGTCTGAAATGGCGTAAGAAGCGTCCCCAAACATGTAGATGTCGTAGTAGCTCAGGACGTAAATAAGAAGGCCAGTAAACCAACAGATTCCAAATATGGCACTGACAGTGATCACACTCAAAGTGACTCGTTTCCTAACCTTAAGGACCCCCTAGAAATTAGAAGAAAACAAATTACAAATCCAGTGGTCGATCTTCCTACAAAAGTTTCTTACCTGAATTATTTAGAAATTTCAACGTGATAGAGTGTGCAGAGTTAATGTTGACGCTGAACGTGAAAGGCATTATTTCTCTCAAATGCTTAATCGCATAGGAACTCGAACTCCTGCCAGATTTAGATCAATTTTCGTTGAAGTGCATATTTTCATTTTTTTTACCGCGACTCTCGGTGATCTTCCGTACAGTATCCCAAATGGAGTGTACTAGCTGATCTCTTGCAATTCCCTGAATGGTCATGTTGGTCTGGTTCTTACCTTCTGACGATAGGCCAGTTCCTGGTCATCATTTCGTTTAAACCATAAACTGTACACAACTCTTGAGTATAATCCTGTCATTATCGCTAAAGGAATACAGGCCAACAGTACAAGCCACGTGGTCTCATTTGCCGCACCCATCCACTGTTCAGGCCAATCCCACTTGCAGTCGCTACTTTCGTCATCGAATGTCGTCACTGAGATCATTGGCGAATTTAAAGCCAGTGCAAAGATCCAACATCCACAAATGATTATCTGAAATGCGTGATAAGCAACGAAAAAAAACTGTGATAACACAGTTTAGCATTGTAAACTGAGGGTTTTTAGCTGAAATATTTCTTGAAGCAAGTAATTCAACGACTTTAAGGAGAACGAAGGAGATAATAAACTGCAGTGTCATGCTTTTTTACCTTTACTTTACGCTTGTTTAGTTTTCTTGTGTTACTTATAGGACACATTACAGTGTAATAACGTTCAACTGCTATTACAACCAAGGTCACAGACGATGAAGCTGCACCCACCCAGGCCATGTTTCCACTCGTTAGAAATTTGCAGATATTTGAACCAATTGCTCCGTCTGGATGGATGAAGAGTTTTTTCAAAATATGGTTTGGTGCCACAAATACTGCGAACGTAATGTCTGATATGGCCAGGTTTACAAGCAGGTAATTGATGGGAGTTCTGTGGGATAAATGTGATAACAAATGATGGGAAAAGTCGTGGATGGTAAAAAAAAAAGAAAACAGCAACAAAACAAACAAACGAATTAAAAAGATAGCATGATAACTGCAGGGTTTTTAAACTATTTTCGAACAGCCTCAACGCACCTCATATCTTGGTTTGTCTTTATGACAAAACAAACCAGACAGTTACCAGTGATGTCCGCGATGATGAGTAAGGTGAGAATGATTGTCACGGCAACGTCAGACATTTTGAGAGGCTGTCAAATCTGTAACATGACCTGCTGGAGAAGTAAGTTTTCCAGTAATCACAAACCCAACTTTAAAAAGTTTTCACACCAAGAAAATGCATAAAAATTACTTGACAGTGTCTGTAATGTAGCTTAGTCGACAGTGTTAAAAAGAGGATTGGTGACGACGTGTACGTGCCCCTGGCGACATATATTCAACTTTGCTCATCAATGGTTCTTACGATTCTCTCGAAGACCACTTCTTTGGCTGACGACTATTCAGAACTTTATAACATTGAAAAATGAATGACTTTGCTCAAGTAAACTTGAGTAGTTTTGAGATTCAACACAGTCCTGATTCCTTGGCGAATTCCGAATTACATGACAGCTTTTTCTAACCAATTTTCAAAATCGAATTTCAGTGGCCTTTTCATTTACATTCGCATGATTCTACACTAGATTTGATTTTGTTTCTACTCTAAACGAGATTTTAAGCAAATTTTTACCTACTTATAACATCTTTTTCTATGGGCAGAAGTAATTAACAGCTTTTAGAAGAGGATCACCGACTTGGTTCAACAACTGGGCACAACAGCTGAGATGATGACTTGAAAACACATGCTTTCATAATTGATGCGAAAGATATTGTATAAACAGCTTATTCGCCAAAGAATAACCAAGAACAGTGAATATTCTAGCTTGAAAAACATTTCTGCTCCCTGCCTGTGATATGCATTAACATATATTAGTTAAATTAGTTTTACACACATTTCTCTTACACGATTTCGTTTGTTTTAATGTAAATATCTTATCTTTGCTGCAGCACGGTGACTCAAGGCTGTGGTACCGTCTTGTTCTCTTGCAATGCTTATCAACTTTTATTTTTACCCTGTGAGTTTTATCCAACGATAGGAGATCTCCAAATTTATTGAAAATTTACGTCGACATTTATATTTTGTTGGGAGCAGACCCAGAAATACTTTTTATTAGAGAAAACTCCATTTGCGTATTGCAAAAAGAAAGGAAGTTTGTGAGTAATGCTTATGCCAGTGTTTTAGGGAATGATCAAGTTTTATCAGAATATCATGTCGTGCAACTTCGAAAACGATTTAAATTGGAAAAGTCTCAAATCAAATAGTTAAGATTCACCGACCTGAACTGTTTGTTTGTGGTCGACAGTTACTCCTTTCATGCGTTGTAATTGTTTTCCTGAGGCCGAACAGCTTTAATCAAGTGATAAATTCAGCATCAAGCTTCATAGAAGCACTGATCAAAAACGGTAGCAGCTAATTGAAACATCACTCTCACTTTCACTTTGACGCCCTATAGGCACAATTTGTTTTAAAAGTCATTTTCATGCAAATTGGAAGCACCCTCATTAATTTCAAATGATTTACAAAATGCAGGTTGTTCAAATGAAGAAAAAAAACAGCCTGGAAGTAACCGAGTTATATTGTCAAGTGATAGCCGATTAGGTTTCCCGACGGATAGTCCAGCCCTTGGTAAAGGGTCAGACTCCTTAGCCGGCGCCATACATTAACAAACTTTAGATTTGTTTGAAATTCTTGTCACTCCTTTATTTCCTTCATTTAGTAACTAATTTCATGTAAAATTTAAGTCTTCTCTTGATAGTATTCAAAACCAACTACCAGGATAGGATAGGAAATGATAGCTTTTTTTGTACTCTCAGACGTTGTCAAAGAATAATGATAATAGGTCTCCCTGACTGTCCTGACCTGGCGCCCTACATTTACTTATTTTAGTTGCGATTGAAAATCTTTTCCCTCTTTAATTTTCTTCATTTGGTAACAAATTTCGTGTAAGGTATAAGTCTTCTCTCGATAGTATTCAAGACCAACTATCAGGATAGGACATGAAATGATAGCATTTTTGTACTCTCAGACGTTGCCAAAGATTAAAATTAATAATGATACAAAAAAGAATCAGTGATTCTGATGTTCAGATCACCATTGTGGAATATGCTATTATTCTTTTTCAAAACCGTTTACCATTGCATATTAAGACATGGGAAAATCGTCGTGGGAAATCGCTGTTTCAGGCAGATTGCATAGTGTCGTTACCGAACAATTAAGGCGCATTCCACCTGTGCACGGAGGGAAATGGTAATTATCATATCCTTGGGCCTTCGCTTTTTTCAACTTGTTGACAACATTTTTATAAAAAATGAGTAGTCTTTGACAGTTTCTGCTTGTTGAAATAGGTAAATTCTGAATGCTGCTAAAATCTGACATCATCTGAAATAAACGCCATCGTGAATTTTTAAAGAGAATCAAATTTGCCAAAAAAATCGTTGCAATGTGGTGTAATACAAACCGTGAAAATTCGGATGCTTTTTGGACACTTCTTGTTCTAATTTCGTCAAAAAGGACGAACGCCTGGGATGCCTTTCTCAGAAAACTTGTCGGTTAAAAAGTTTCTAAGAACGGCAGGTGTGAAGAGGGGTTAGTAACCCTTGGCCTTGTAGGTCTGAAAATCAAAAAAGATGTTTTGTAGAGAATTATTTCTATATTTCTGTGATGACAAATAACGCTTAATCGCTATCGTGAATTGAAACTTGTGCAGTCTACTCTGCAATGATGAGGATGTACAAGTCCTTATTTTCGCTTCTTTGCATTTAAACAATCATTGATCAAAATGAAAAAAGTGTCCGACGGCCTTCTCAAAAGACTAGCCAGAACCACGTTCACTCGATCGTTTCCCTTTTCTATATTAAGCGATACTTACAGGTAGAAGTGATTGACGCCAATTTCTGATGATGTCTTCAGAAGAAATGTACCCGGGAATTAAGTAAAGAAAATAATGCGAACTAATTATCATATCAAAAATCAGCTTAATTTATACTGTTTGCCTTCAAGTATCGATGCCGGCACCAAATCACAAGAATAATAATAAACTTTGTTATGTATCGGTACGTTTTACAATCTCGTCCGTCTGACACAACAGTATTGAAAAACAATCGAAAACTTTCATTGTTGTGACTTGGTTGACGGGTTGCGAAATGTAAATTAGACCGAAGTTTGCTACAAAAAGACCAGAGAATCAATTTCAAACAAAATTACTCCAGCGATCTATGTTATTTGAACAGATCCTTTTTTCAACACCTATAAGGCTGAACTTACCTGAATTAGTTGTCTTGACTGCAATTCGTTTGTTTGCTCTGCATTAACTGATATCAACGTGCTAGTTAATCAGGCGATAACTCGAGAGTGGCCAAAAGGTTCACAATTTGATAAAACAATTTTTGTCAATATTTGAGGTAGCACATTTAATTAAAAAAGAATAAACCTATAGAAGCTATCCGATCTACAAAACACAAACACTTATCCTAGTTAACCTTATAGAGAGTTAAAAGAAGAGATGGCTTGATCGCTTAACGATGAAGTACCTGCATCTCGGTTTCTAGCGTTCACTCTTAACAATTTCTTTTTTTTTTCCTTTTAAATTATTGGAGCTCACCTTTTAATTTAGATTACTTTGAAAACTTGGCGAATAATATTGGGTGCACCTGAATAATAATTAAGGTCGCTTGTTTTTTTCCATGTTGTAATATTCACTTTTATATTATAGCCATTATCCTACGAGCCAGCAATTAAGCATTCCTGAAAGAACGATTCATTGTAATGGATGCAAACGGATGTTTCAGCTCGCAGTGTGAATATTGGATCTCTCAACGTCACTTTGTTTAAGTTCCGAATTAAAAAATAAAATAACTAAGCTCGCTTTGGTTATCATGAAAATTGCATAAATGATAAACAAACACTTGGCGGATGTCCGCTGCCAATCTGTTTAGACTCCACAGATAATATGCTTTAGGAAGCGAAAGCGAAGGTTTTAATTCTGAGATCGCCTCAGAGAGCCTAGTTGAGCCCCTAAAGGTTTTATTCTATTTTAATTTGAAAATTCTTTTATAATGAGTAAATCTGATAACAATTTCACCAAGAGGCAAATAAGATGATAATTAATATATGTTTTGAAAAACGTTTCCTGGTGAAAATAACACAGATATGCAGCCATTGAATGCAATAAAACCGATAGCCTTACAAGACAACCAATAAGGAAACTATCTTCATTTACAGTTCTTTTGTATCATGGAAGAAAGAAATCCAAAGTGATTTCACGGTATATCCCTCTTTTATAGCCTCCGATGCTCATTTCAAGATTATGATCAGGGTGATACTAGTGTTTTGTTCTAACTTTTGCTGTTTATCAAATATTTTTTTCATTCAGCCAGGATGAGGATCCCTTTAAGAACTTAAGAGCATGTCGTTCTCTAAGTAAATATACTTATCATTAGCGCCTTAGTCAGAGGTCTACAATTATGCACCTGTCGCTGAGATCTTGTCAACCTACTTTCTTATAAGCTTGGTGATAATGAATACGAAAGCAAGGAACCTGTCATTCTAATGGATAAAGATGCATATGAGTTGTACCGGAAAGTAGATGGGATTTACTAAGAATTTATCTTAAACGAATATCAATTATGATTTTCACTTTTTTCACTAGGTCTCCTATTTTCTGTGTGAGATTTGAAATGGTACACATAAAAACAATTCATAGCTTCTAATCCAGTAAATCGCTATAATGAATCAAGGGATTTCAATTTAAAAATGGCTTTCATGTCTGAAGTTTCTGTCGCAGTGTTTGAACAAATGACGTGCAAATGATGACTAAGGGTGAATCATTTTTTCGCCATCAGCATACGCCATCGTGAGATTTTTATTTTGAAAGTGTGATAGAAATTTCTTTTTTTACAATAGTGCTACTAATTTGATTTGCAGAGAGAACCCAGCAAAGAAAAAACACTAGCAGGTTATTTTGTTGTGGAGGTCGACTGATAACAATCATAAGATAATGTAAAGCGAGTCTTTTCAGTTTTTGAGGAACTGAATTTAGATAAAACGATTTAGCACGAAAAAGCACCGTTTTTGAAACTCGAGTTTAGAGTCAAATATACTACAGGCTATAAGTTTTATTTCGCAAACATGACAAACAAGAACAGAACAAAAAAGGTAATGAGCAATTTCTCTGAGAAATGCGCTATAAAACTACCGACAAAATATATGGACGCAAATGTTTTTTACTTGACGCACAAAAAACTCACTAACCTGACTTTTCTCATCCAACAGGCGGTCTTCGGCGATGGAAAATGAAATCTGATGAAATTAGGCGTAGTTCGTAACAAGATAAATTGGTAATTTTGCAATATCTGAGGGAAAAAAATTTGCTACACCATGAAATGAATGAAAACCTAACGGATTAGCATAGCGACGATAGTTTAAATTTACATGCAACTGACACCAATGTTATTGGCGAAACCTCATTACATTTACGCTGCATCAGTTGCGTCTCTGCCTTTGTAGAAAGAGATTGTAGGCGTGAAATTTATAATGAATTGACAGAATCGTCGACAGCTGAAAATAATGCGATGTGACCTAGTCTCCTGCAATTTTTTTCTTTAATTTATTCTTTAGTTTGGGTTTTTTTAATTGATTGACAATTTCTCAATGAAATTGAATGTGTGATTAATTTTGAAATTTTGCCATGTTTTATTGTTTTCTTGAAATAAATCTTTGTCTTTTAAAGATGGATATAAAAAGTAGGCGTTCGAAATGGCACGCACACAACGAATTATAATTAAATTAATTCAATTATTGCTTCACTCGAGTGCTACAAGGGCACTCACTTGCTAAAACTCAAGAACTGAGGTAATGTAAGAAATATTGTAGTTTTCAGTTTAATCGTTATTTTACACAAATTGGATTACAACGACAGTATGTTTTATTTACAGGGTACTATGATGGCCGATTCTGCCCATTTAGTAAATTAAGCGTTTAAACTAGTGGACGCTAAAATGCTTTTTGTATTGATGGACATTCGGGCGTCGAATTTCTCATATATATTGCAAGTTTTTTAGTTAAGTCAAATCCTTAATCAGTTAGTCAAGTGTCCATGGGCTACTTCCTTACTGACTAAAATAAACCCCTAGCAAGCTAACTTAGAATGCTAAAAAAAAAAAAAAATTTTCCGCGTTAACAACAGCAGTGCTTTTTTTTATCTATACAGCATTGAGGTAACCATTCCTTTCGATCCTAAACTCGCTGGAGTGTAAGCAAGTGGTAGATAAAATGTTTTTTTCTTTTACTGGATTTTCTTTTCCCATATCTAAATATATGTAAAAACTCCAAGAAAATTGTTCGAGTCCTAGAAAATTTTCGCTCTTTAATTTATTCTCACAGTTGAGTCAAATTACTGCTGAACCGTTTTTCGGATTTGGTTATCGATAGTGTTGAACTTGTGCATGCTCCTGAAGAATTAGTCGCGTGTGGTGAGTTTTTAGGAAGTGCAGCTTCACCAGGTTCGCTTAGGGTGAGATCCTCGTTGGCAGGAAAGGATAAGCAACACATCATTCCCTTCAGCTTCTGTCTGAAACGTTGATTGAGCAGCGAGTAAACAAACGGGTTGACAGCAGAATTGAACATAAACAAGGTGTCAGCAATGACGTACGAAGAAGCCGAGCCAAACATGAAGATGTCGTAGTAACTCAAAACGTAAATCAATAAGCCAGTGATCCAACAGATTCCAAAGATGGCACTGACTGTGATCACACTCAAGGTGGCTCGTTTCCTCACCTTCAGTACTCCCTGAAAGTCAAAAATGGGGATTTAAGAGCTGGAGAAACAATGCCTCTCCACGTTTTTGAAAGAGATTCTTAAGGCTTATAATGTTCACGATTTCACTGAGCTACTGTAACTGACTTCGCGCTAACAGCAACTCCATTTTCCATAATTGTTCGCAGCTCATTACAGGTTACTGGATGGCTTCAAACTTTATGAAGAAAGATAGCAAAATGAATTAAAATTTTGGGACGTTTTACCCACCTCCCTTTCACTATTTACCTTTTGTCGACACGCTGATCTATTTTCCTCATTTCGCTGAAACCACAATTTATACACAACCCTTGAGTATAACCCTGTCATTATTGTTAAAGGAATACAGGCCAACAGTACAAGCCACGTGGTCTCATTTGCTGCACCCATCCACTGCTCAGGCCAATCCCACTTGCAGTCGCCGGTTGTTTCATCGAATATCGTCACCGAAATCAATGGCGAGTTTAAAGTCACCGCAAAGATCCAACATCCAAAAATGATTACCTGAATTGAGAGAACGCTACTTCTGTCAGAAATTCATGTTTTAACCCTACTCTATAATTATTAAATGAAATTATTTGTCTGATCAAATTCAAGTGAAATAGGAGAAAAGGCATGGAAATGGAATTGAAAGCAGGGACTTACAGCTATGTCAGCAATTCCTGAACAAGCTTTCTGTGGGGTATTAAACGATTCCGTTTGGAACAACATTAACTAACTTCCGAATGTTTTTCAGTGACACCCAGACAGACGATTTCTAGTCTGAATTCTTAACTAACCTTCACTTTCTGTTTGGTAAGTTTTCTTTGGGTACCAATGGGACACGCCACTGCAAAGTAACGTTCAACTGCTATAGCAACCAGAGTTACAGCCGAAGCCGCCGCTCCTATCCATGCCACATTTCCGTTAGTGAGCACTTTACATAACGTTGAGCCAACAGTTCCTTTCGGGTGGGTAAAGGCTCTTTTCAGGATATGATTTGGAGCTTGAAAACTGGCGAACATGATGTCTGAAATCGCGAGGTTTGCAAGGAGGTAATTCATGGGAGTCCTGTGGAATATATTTGTTATTAGTACATCTCCTTTCATGCTGAATTTTTTCGGGTAAAACGCGTTTCAGTTTGTTTGTTTGTTTGGTTTTCATAGGCGCACGAACAGATTGGACCTGGAAAGACGGAATGAAGTTAGCTATATTTGCTAATCCGTGTAGTACAGTCAATTTTTTTCACCAAAGAATTCATTCATAGAATAAATTATCCGATAATGAGAAATTTCCCCGCATTAAAGTACCAAACTTCACTCATTGTTTTTCTCAGTAGGCACTACAATGTGTGGCATAGAAAAAAAAGGAATAATCAGCAGGGGTTTTTAGGACCTCAGCTTATGCCATCTTCTCCGATTCCGGCTCTTATCCGGTTTTTATGGCGAAATCAAGCCAGTAAATAGACTTGAGACGCGGTGAATATCAGATTTTCGAGCATCGCCAAGCTTAGGTTTTATACGTAGCAAGATCTGTTGTATTCTTTTATCTGCTGTAGTACTAGCCAATAAAACAATTCCCAGGGATGTTTATGAAATCAAGAGAAATGCTAGAACAAACTTCACAAAATGGAAAGCGCGTCTGTCTTCATTGTAATTTTGGTTATAAATTAGCTTATGACCAAAGGCTTGTTGACTTTTTATTACAAATTGTCTGAAGTTGCTAATAAAAGCTGGACATACCTCATTTCAGAATTCCTTGTTATGATGATACAAACAAGAGAGTTACCGATGATGTCCACAACGATGAGGAGGGTTAATATCGTTGTCACGGCAATGTGAACAGACATGATAGAAAGTCACACAGGCTAGTGAACACCTTTTGAGGGAGAAGGAGTTGGTAAGTCTATAAATCTCTACTTAAACATAACAACCCTATACGTATCTTTCTTGGAATTCCTGATGCAACTGATCATTCAAGGTCTGGAATGAAGGACAAAAATTGCAACCGACCCCCAAAATCTGCAAACCAACAAAACCACTTTCTTTTTTTATCGATCTTCAATTGTTAAAAAATAACTTAAGAGTGACTCTTCTAAGGTTAAATTCATTTTGACGTTTCGAAGAGACTACAAGATGGCCATCTGCGAAAAGACAATTACGCATGTTGTAAGTGCATCTAAAATTTAACTTGGATGAGACACAAAGGTCAATATCGAACAGTGATGTGATTATGATAAATTTTGTTAAGGGCTGAAAAACTTTGAAAAGCATCCTTTTAAACTGTATTCGATATTTCAAAGTCGAGTCAGGACACCCTAATTTGTTGTACTACTATCTTTGTTCCTAGGCAAAACAAATTTTAAAAGAATAAGATCAGGGCACTCTCTGAACTTATCAATAAACCGAAAATAGAAATTTTTAGGATTTCAGTTTCATATTGAATAGATAGATACAATATCTTCCTTACCGATGATACTATTTCTTATCCTAGTGCTTTAAAAATTTAGTTATTTCAACATTGCTAGGGCTCCACAAAATACTGACAAGATTTCACTTTTCATTTTGCTCTTGGTGTATTTAATGTTTAGTTTTTTTCTTTCTCTCTGAAAAATGATATTGTATTTTAAAAGTTGTTTTGATGAACTGTGTGTTCGAATTATAACTGCTATTTCCTGTGGAAATTTTTGATGTTGGATGCACCCATTTTCAATTTTTTTTCATTTTACCTCTTGGGCAATTAGTCAATCGAGAGTTTATTTTCCGGCCGGCTTCAAGAAGGAAAACTTAAAAAAAAAAACAGATCGCGTGATGTTTCTATTTCGAAAGGTCAAACAGTTGGCTTTTTGGTCTTATTGGAGCTCAGTTGTATCCAATAATAACAAGAGAATTTCGGCTTCAGAGGATTCATTTGTATTGCAATTGGATATATATATATGCCTGTCGCACCTGATATGTATCTCAACTTTTTCCGTTCTTGGTCACCAACTAGAATTATAAGTTTTCGTTCTGATTATTAATAACCTTGTGAGTGTCCCCATTGAATGACAAAGCAAACATTGACAGGTCAAGAGGGACTTAGTCTATATATTAAATCGCCTCACGCGAGACGATCAATTCTTAATCTCATTAGAAAAGCACGATAGTTTTAAAAACTGCCTCCTTTCCATTTGGATATTTAACAATAGACAACGAAATAAATTCAGTGATAGAAACTAGTATGTGTGACCCTCAACAGCACTTGTGCCATTTACAACAGTATTTTGAACTCTCCACTTCCCAGGGTCAATACAAGCAATACTTCACGCAATGTTGATTTTTATCCATGCAAATTTAACGACACACTTATTCCATAACGTAATTTTAAAGCATGGTTAGGGAAGAGAAGAAGAAAAATCAATTTCCCAGAGGAAGTTTTAGATATATATTTTTTCAAGGCAAGCGGCTGGCAAACAGCTAAAAATTTTACTCTGATTTACGAGTGACGAGGAGAGTTTGACATTTGCCCTGATGATGAAAACCACTTCAAGTTTGACTAAGACGATTACATCGAACAAGCTCTTAATTCTAGGTTGGTGTGACTTACTTGTGACAAATGTATCAAAGTATTTTACCTCACATGATGTCTACAGACGGCCACGTGCCACAGGCAAAATGTTTAGTGAAGACAGTGTTTGAACTGCCGCTCGAAAGGTTTTTTTTCTTTCGTTCGACTGGAGAAAACAAGTTCATACTGTTTCTGTCTTGAGTATAGATTTGTTCAGAAGTATTCTTGTATTTAATCTCTGTTGTCTAATGATCAATTATTATTCCGTGGGGTCATTACGAAAGAGTACAAGAGGGCGCAAGCTTTACTTTGGAAAATACTGTTAATTTTTGGTCGTGTGATATTTGTCAAACCGAACCTTTTAAACGCGATTAATTTAAAATAACTGAAATTTGGGAAACTGGATCTATTATTATTGCTAATAAAGAGCTTCCCAGTTGACTGAAGAATAAAAAATTAATTGAATTTTTATGAATTATCGTCTTGAATTATGTCAGACTGTACTTGTTTGTCATAAATCTTCATTTAAACACTCATCATTTGGAAACGGAAAGTATTTAAAATACTTGAGTAATTCTCGAAGCCTTAGAAGGAAAACATGGCACATTCCAACCGTCGTAACAAAGCAACTTTGTCGGTATAATGATATTTCTGTTAACCATCGGGAAACTGTGTTTGTCGTTACGAACTTATTTGTAAAATAATTTTCCTTTCAATGTGTAACAGAGATAAATTAAATCGTTCTTAAATAGGGAAGCGTGTAATCAGAACGATTGGACGTGAGAATGCGATAAACAACACATAAATATGTTTCAATTCCTAACATAACAAGTCATCTCGCTGATTGTCAAATTAGCTGTGAGTTATCAACTTCAAAAAGAGACAAACATTTAACTCATTCGCTACCTACTTTAAAGAAGACTGGCTTGAGAGCTGTAGAAACCGGTGCTAGAAGTATTACAACCAAAGCTGGCGAAAAACAGTTAAAATAATACCGTGTTCTTCTTCGAATGGCGGATATCAAACGATCTACGTCTCGCCCACCTCTGAATGACATAGACTATGAGTAACGTCCGGTTTGTAATTTCCTCGGTTCCAGGCCTGTTTATTGAGGTGTCCTGTTTAGTGCGTGAGATTACAATCTGAGACAAACTGGAAACTCTATGATAAAGATTAAGGTCCGACTGGAAAGTCTCTAAAGCTTATTAGAAGTTTCCATAGCGACATAATAATATGGAATACACTTCAACCCCAAGAAAGGTAACTGGTGAATGAGAGGTTCCAACACAAGGAGCATAAGAGTCTTATTCCAATGCATTTCACTCCACAACAGTTGCACGGTGCATCGGTCTTGTTGTTTCAGTTTAAAAACACGACATGCAGTGACAATGACCGGAAAGCGAAACTTTCCGTGCGAGGCACGAGGGTCAGAGAGGTTGAGCAGTTAGCCCACAGGGATATCAGTTCATGTGGTTTTCATCAATTCGCAGATACGATTGAAGTGACACGTTGTGTCCGCACGGGTTAATTTTTAATAAAAAAAAGTTGAGTCGCCCTGCAATTGTGGGATGAATTTGCTTAGGTAACGTCCGGCTTGTGGTTTCCTCGGTTCTAGGCCTGCTTATTGACTTGTCCTGCCAAGAGCATGATTTCGTGTGCAATTTGTTGTTGATAAGCGCAATTTAAATTTTCGAAGACAACAAAATTGTACAAGCCTCCAGGGCGAGTGCTATTTGTGCTTACTTATATCGAGTTGCACGAGAATCGTGTTGTTACTTGTTTATAATTTACATGAAAAGTCAAGATGGAATCTTGGCAGTACGTGTTATCTGTAATTTGCACTCGTGTTACACGACAAATGCACCCGTTTTCAGCCAATCAGAAGCTCGTAATTTCATGTATATTATTAAAGTGGAAATAATCGACTCAAATGCATTACTCTCCTATTTTTTTAATTTAATAGAGAGCGCGCGTAGTTAATTGATAATGCTCAATTCATTACTTGTTGGCGTCATTAAATTATTACAAATCCATAACACTGGCCTTCAGTGGAATAAGCGTTGATCAGTCGCCAGGTGAAAACTTTGGTAGAAAGTTAATTTCTGGGTCAGGATTTTATTGTAATGAGCAGAAATACCGTTGTTGGGATTTTGTTCCTTGACTTGCTGCAATATTTTGTAGTGCTAAACGGTAAAATGGTGACGACCAAAAATTATGGAGATATGGTATTGTGCTGTATGTGACTGTCACATAGTATCGTGTTTTCACGTTAAATTATGATGTTCAAGTCTTCGTATCATCTAGGGTTATGGATATTTTATCACTTTTAAGTGAGTTTCTGGTTTTTTTTTCTACGATAAAATGGTGACGACCAAAAATTATGGAGATATGGTATTGTTCTGTATGTGACTGTCACATAGTGTAGTGTTTTCACGTTTAAATTATGATGTTCAAGTCTTCATATCATTTAGGGTTATGGATATTTCATCACTTTAAAGTGAGTTTATGTTTTTTTTCCTACGAATTCCCCACTGTATATGAATTACGAACCTTCAGTTATACGGCCACTTAGGTTACGATGTTATGAAGAAAATATAAAAATATAAGGAATAAATTATCTATTCTTGAAATTTTTAAAGCGTAAATAGAATCAACCAATATTTACAAATTTTCTGCTTCATCAACGAAAAATCTGCTACTATGAAGGGTTTAGAGTATATCATTGACAGATATCTTTTCGTGAACGATTTTCAAAAGATTCCCTCAGGATTTCAAAAGGTGTGAGGTAGTCAAAAGGTTGTGCTGTTAGTTAGTGGAAAGTGGATTAATATTGCTGGCAAACGACCTACATCTCAAAGCAGCGCTCAAATTCACTATCTGGCCAGTTGTGCCGTAGACCAAAATCCTTATAGCTGCTCTCGAACCCGTCATCTGGTGAAACAGATGGGGAGAGTTGATTAAGAAATGCGAGCGTGGGTAGTATCTGTTGCAATTAGACCTGGAAGAAGACTACCAAACGTTGATATAAGAATAAGTAAGGCTCAAGCTAACAATTAAGGAATTTCTTTTTATAAACTAGTCATGTGATAAAAATTACGATCCATCTGTGGGCTTCGATAACTTCCATATATTATGTTTTGGAAAATTCCCGAGTGATTGTGCAAACTTTTATGTGATTATTTTATGCTTCTTTTGCTCCGGCAAGGAGATCACTATAACCTTTTCACCAAAGTTAGGAAGTGGCGAGAAGATATGAATTTTATGTTCGAGTGGCAAGAACAAAATCTCACGAGTGAGTGCTGCGAACTAATGAGATATTGTTCTCGCCACGAAAACATCACATTCAAATCTACAGGCTAAGTTGTAATTTTGTTCTATAACATGGCAATGAATATACAAGACAGAGATTGAAGCCTGGCTTTTAATACAAATACTGGGTATTAATACAAACAAAATACCAAATTATAAAGAGGTTTTGCTTATAATACCTTCGATTAGACCAAAATACATGTGAGCTGCTTTTAAATAAACTTAATAAAAATTCTATTTCTGACTCTGACTTGAATCATCAGATATCATGTTTAGTCTCTTCCACTACAAAACCTTGAGGCTATGAAGCACGAACATAAATTTGCCTTTCCGATCTGGTGGATTTGAAAAGAACTTCCTGTAGAACCACCATGTGAAAAGCAAGCCGTTTCAGTTTCCTCTCCTAACAAAACAGTTGACACGTCCAGAACAAATCTTGCGGCGGTCATTATTCCAAAAAACGAAAAAACCAAGTTCAATCAGCAGAGTTAGAAAAGGCAGAAAATGTGACGTCCTTGCAGCGGACCACTCGTATCATGTATCGGTATACAACCGGATGTACCGGTTGTATTGATTCTATGAGTGTTTTATTTCCCGGTAAAACACACCCGTCCATATTATAAAACAAACATAAAGTCACTGCGGCGATATATCGCTGCAACGCATTGCTCGCTCTACGATAATTTACTACTATTCACCGAAGTGGAGGTCGTTAGTAGCGAATATTTACCGAGGTGCGAGCGGCGAGTTTAATATCCCCCACTAGCCTTGACACTGAGGTTAATAGTTGTTTTAGTATAAACTAAAATAGTAATGTAGTACAGCACTAAAAGATGATTTTAAACATTTTATTTCTACAACGATTAAAATACATCCGGACGCAGATCCCGCATGAGTTGCTCGGAGGTGCAAAGGATATTCGGAGTTTGAGTAGCCAATGAAGGCGCGCCTTCAACGCTGTCCGCTCTTTTAATATGCTTAACTGGAATATTCCGATAGAGCGCCAGATGGTGATGATCGATGTGCCGCGCGCTCTACGGTATGCCGTTGCATTGAAGTTTTGCAAGGTTGATATATTGGGGAAACGGTATGTCACAAAAAAGTTCCATTACCTTGTTGCTTCAATGTTCGAACCTTTTTGAAAATTCGCCAAAAAAATGTGCTTAAATTAATCCAACACAACTCAAACTTAATTACAGGTGATTAGGAAAGACTGGCTTTTGAATCTAACCCACTGTGTCGCCAGGTCTTGAAGTCAAGAACACTTATTTGCGACGATATGACTGTGCTGAGCCAATGCTGGGAAAATGTGTTTATATTTCACTCGAATACAAAGAAGCGGCAACGCTGGAATTGTGTGATGTTCTGGTCTTCGTGAATGAGGGTAAGTTCCCACTGATCTATCTTGCACTACCCATATCAGCCTTGTCTCTCTTTTTCGGTATCTGTTTTGATGCTGGCCACATACCCCTCATCTAACCCAACATTAACCCTAAATTGCTTTCAATTGACTGTTGTTGGGTTAAAGGAAGGGGGAGGTGGGCAGTTGCCCAGATACTGATATTGATCCTTCTCCTCCATCGGCCCCGCCATCAATACGTCCCTTCATCCATTCACATATCGGTCTATTTATTTTTCCACGCTCACACAAGAGTTTATAAATATTTTATAATTTCTTGGCTCACCTTATTTAATACATGTTATTAACTTTTAATACTGCACTAGATAGCTTTTGTAGACTTAGTTTAACTGAATCCTTGATCGTAATGGTATCAATGTCAAGGCTCATTAGATCTCTATCTATTTAACAGCTTTCAGTGAAAAGAAAACCAAGAAAAAGCGAGAGCAGATCTTCCTTTGCAGTATAAGTGACGTGCGAATAAGAAGAGGTGAACAAATATGTGCTGGTATTGAATATCATTTCTTCCTTCCATGTTTTTGTTTTGTCTCGATTGCTTAATTTCTCAAACTTCCTCATCAAATGCACAAAACCAGTTGATCTCACACCGGCTATCAGCATCATAGGAAGTAATTGTTTTTTTCATAGCTAACATCTGTGACCTTCCAAACAAATGTGGTGCCTCACTCGGATCACACTGCGACACGACATTGATCGGTTCGTCTTCTTCTTCAAAACGTGGTATGGACAACTATGTTAATCCCGGTGAACGCCGTATCAGAAAACCAAAAGGTAGTTAGGTTTGTTGATAAAAATTACACAAAAATTAATAGACTATGTCAATTTTTTGTGGGAAAGAGTTGCCTCCAGTGCTCTGAAGGGCGAACCAAATTTACAGATCTAATCACTGTTTTAACTTTCTTCTCATCAAAGGTTGACTTAAGCAATATACACATACTTTTTGTATTGGTTCTTTCATTACCGCGCTTTCAGATACAATACAGCAACCAGAATCTTGCCGTAGCGAGGAAAGTAATGCGTCTTCGACTGGCAACTTTGACGGTTGGAAAAAAGAGGCGGGTTGTAAAGAGGTGTTCGCTTTTGGCCGGTTTATAGTGGATGGTAATCTAAAAACATGCTTCCTTTCACTAAATGGATATAAATCTTGGCTCATTGTGCATCTGGACGACTATAGGCCAGTGTCTTATGTCCGTGTTGCTGCTTCCCCGAAATTTCCTTCGGATCGTCTCATAGTGTCCGTAGGTATGAAAATACTGCAAGTTACGGATAAATCTAACAGTAAACGTTATCTTGTCTTAAGCCTCATTTATCAACCCTTTTGAAAAGGAATATATCTTTGATAGGGACTGATCCAGGAGAGTGACAGTCCTAGAAGATATACTGGATGTAAACGGACTTGAGTGAGAAATAACAATATGACTCTTACTACTAGTAGAGCAAAGGCTGTACATAAGTCCAGCATCCCTATTA